ATGGACAAAGAAAGATAACTCCAATTTTAAAAATACTTGATATTTAGAAAAAAAAAATGAAAAATTGCTGAATTTTTCCATTTGTTAAGGGCATAACTCTGGAACAGTAAAAGTGACGGCACCAAAATTCAAGCTTGATCTGTATATTGTGGTAATAAGCATTGTGTATAAGTTTCATAACATTTGGTTGAGGCAAACTTAAGTTAGAGAACGGAAACGAAAAATTTAGCAATTTTTCCATTTGTAAAGGGGCATAACTCTAGAACGGTAAAAGTGACGCCATCAAAATTCAAACTTGATCTGTATTTAGTAATAATAAGCATTGTGTATAAGTTTCATAACATTTGGTTGAGGCAAACTAAAGTCAGAGAACGGAAACCAACTTTAGAACGTACGTACGGACGGACGTATGTACAGATGGACAAGGGTAAAACTTAATGCCCCTCCGCTATGGCGGGGGCATAAAAAAACCCAACTGATATTTATAAATATAATAAATAACAAAGTATATATGTTGTATTGTTTATCATGATATAATTAACAATTACAGTATCACAAACAAGATGACATCAACAAATGAACACAGGGTGGGGTAGACGAGTATTCTTATGGTTCTCTACCCATTCTACTATTTACTATTATCATGGATCATAAACATATAGTTATTTACTATCTGATATCCATTATATACAATGGAATTCAGGTTCACTTTGCAACTATCTATTTTAAACACTGAAAGAAAAAAATTAGTTTATACACTTGCATGTATTTCATAACAATGTCATTCTAATATGAAGTAAAATACAAGAGGCTCACACTTCAGCTTGTTTTACAGGTGATTTATAATTTGCCTTCAAGAAGCAATATTGATTTGCAAATAAGATATACAGAGAATTTCCTGTTATACCTGGAACAAACTAGTTTGTCAGTTATCAGGGGAAAATAGAATGGTCTACATGTTACCAATAGGATATCATCAAAAGATCAAAGTACATCCTCTGCAGGAATTCCTATTTGTTTTTAATCAACACTTCAGAAATAGAATTCCATCACTGGGATATTCAATAGTTCTTGGAATTTATTCTGAAATACTTTTCTTTATACTCAACTTGTGTGTGACCAGTTGTATTAGCTTTGGCATTCTTCACAACTTTTAGATATAAATTTTATCTCTGCATTTATTCTTTCTCTAGATTCTCTATTTTATAAATATATTTTTTGCAAGGTGATGGTACTTCTTTTAAAATAAGACATTTTGTAATATATTTCTTAAATATTATAAAACAAAGATTGAGACAAAGAAGCAGGACTGTAACATGAATCTCTCAATTTTACTTCTGTTTAAATATACACCTTTATTTTAGTATTGTATCCTTATAGGTGTTTACAAAAATATTGCATTTAAATAATGGAATATAATCAGTGCCCAGTATATGAAATCTGCTCTCAAAAGCTTGTACTAATACTAAACTGTTGCATCATCCTGATTAAGCATGACAATTTCATAAAAAATATAATGTTGCCATCAAAATAATCTGATTTATAAAGCTTAGTAGTAAATAATGTAATTCTAAGTTTTTTGGTTCTTTTTATTTTAAGAACTAATATCATTTTTTTCTTATTGAAATGAGATAATTTAATATAAAGCATGACAACGAAATAAGTAACCACAACCAAAATTTTTATCATGTGTAGCAACAATGCTCTACAACTGCTTACACTTCAGAAAAAACTCTCCATGTAATCAAAAATTACCACAAATATACTGAGTCAAAAAAGTTTGCAACATATATTTTATTAATTTACTGGTTGAGTTAACATTGCACTGTATGGTCTATTTGCTTTGTTATGATAATCTATTAATTGTTATATTTAGTATAGTTTATTTTTCAAATCAAAAATTAATAAATTGCTTTGCCGGGCGCAGCTGGATACGACTGCAGAGGTCCAACCCTGAACAGTTGGGGCAAAAATGGACACAATATTCGAGCTTGATACAGGTCTGAATTTGGATTGTAATTAAATATTTGACACATAATAGGTTTCTGACACAGAAATAACTGTAGTCAAAGAATTGCCCCCCCCCCCCTTTTTTCCCCCAAAAAAATTCTTTCCCTCAAGATATGGTCATAATCTCAATTCAAAATACCAATGGAGTTTGCAACCATAATTACCAATTTAAATGGGGGTTATGGCTCAAACTGTTTAGGAATTAGGGGCAAAAAAGGGGGAAATTAAAGGGTTTCCTGGTTAATAGACAATTTAAAAGCAGTGTAATCGAGGTAATCCAACATTGAACAACATTGTACAATTTTGTTTTTGGATTACCTCCCTTACACTGCTTTTAAATTGTCTATTAACCAGGAAACCCTTGTTTTTAACCCTTTTTTGCCCCTAATTCCTAAACAGTTTGAGCCATAACCCCCAAAATCAATCCCAACCTTCCTTTTGTGGTATTAAACCTTATGGTAAAATTTCATAGAGATCCATTCACTTGAACTAAAGTTATTGTGCGAAAACCGATGTGTCTTTGGACAACAACGACGACGATGACGCCAACGTCATACCAATATACGACCGCAAAAAGTATAAAAATATATTAATTTATTGTGCACTTTTTTTACTCAGTATAGTTTAACATTTGGTTTGCACTATTTAATAATTGAAAAAAACGAACTTGGATTGTTTACCAAATATACTATGAAGTTTATTCCCTTATAATCATCAATTAAAGCTTTATCATTTAAGAGCTTACAAAAATGTAAAAGAAGGCAGTAAGAGTTCATAGATATCTTTCTGCATTGGGATTTATTCAACCGTAAAAATACACCACTACTACAATGTATGTATTATAACCTGTGTATATCAATCTACTTTAGACTACTTTAGACATATATATGTTTAATATTGCACATATAACAATAAATTATCGTAAAACAAATGTACACAGTTGACACATAAATTAACACACAAGTTTTGCATCCATCTTTGATTTACTACATATATGTGTTACCTATATATTAAGCTTCACTCACATTCTATTTACCTTATAGATACTCAACAACTAACTATATACAACACATGTGTAAGATGAAGACAATGAATGGAAGATTAACCCATGTAGTAATGTCTTTATGTATGTGATATCAGGTATTAATGGTCCATCCATGTAGAAGCCTTGCTCTAGAGACTAGTAAAAATCTACCGAGACAAAAAATTCAACCCTGATCTGCAAGTCATATTGAATTGGGAAGGTAATGCATGACATCATGAACTGGTATATCATATGTATGTTGTATTGATGGATATTGTTGAAATATAAGACTAATTACTATAAAATACAGGCCCTATTCATATTGTAAAATGGTAATCCAGACAAGCAAATACTGCTCTCAAATACAACCCTTAATCATTTATGAGAAAATTAACATACTCTTTAAGTGTACAAATCCACTACGACAATCAATTTACTAGTCTGGAAAATTAAAATCTTGTTACCTGAACTACAATTTCCAAATCATTGAATTGATAGATATCGTCTTTCAAATCTTATCTTAAATTTCCTATTTATAAAGTTATACCTCTACAAACATTGTATGTTTTGTTTCTGCCTTCCCAAAATTTTGATCTCAAACCTAACGGATAACAATTACATGAATTACACTATAACTAAGGTTGTAATTCTCTGAGGCAAAGCAAAAAAGTTGATCTTCAAGGTTTTTTTTACTGTTCTGTTTTTGACCATATAGGCTTTTATTTTAGGATTGAGATAAAATTGCATAAATATTTCTTTGTGTAAATTTGATATTTAAGAAGGACTACAATCAGGGACAAGAAAAACATGAAAAATAAATCCCCATAAACAGGTTTGGCTCTAAAAATCACATAATTTAATCTTGAATTATGGTCCCATACTTTTAGTCTCAAATATATTTGATGGCATTATGATACACATGTGTCATGTGCACAGACATCAGTATTAATTCTTTTGATTTTTTAATTATTAAATTTTATTCTTAGATTTATAAACAATTGATATTGTATATATACACATAATTTTCACAATTACAAAACATTTCATACTTTTGTTATTCACTGATTACAATTTTGTATTGAAGTTGAAATAATAAAGCATGGAAATCAAGAGTTTTAATGCCTTGCTTACAAACTTTGTTTGGTTATTTGCTCAGACATTGCAATTAAGATTGACACCTAAATTAAATGGGTAGGCCAATGATTTGTATAGTGAGCTATAGTACACAGACTGTTACTCCGCCTACCCATTGAATTTAGGTGTCAATCTTAATTACAATGTCTGATTAAACAGCCAAACAAAGTTTGCAAGCAAGGCATTTAAACTCTTGACTTGCATGCTATATTATTTCAACTGTAACCATATGATTGGAATATATTATGCTTTTATAGAGAATTCTTGTATTACATGTTAGTAAGTTAACTCTGAAACATCACATGAAAGTTACTCAGTTAATGAGATTCATGAATTAGTAAGCTATTTTGCACCCTGTATAACACACAAGACTACCTCCTACAATGAGACGTTTGGCTACAAAGCATGGATATATACAGCAGGTACAAAAATGTATAAAACAATTATCACAGACAATGTTATATTTTTAACTAGCAAATCTACATAACAATTTGTTTCCACCTAGAAAATGATTCAAGGGCCAACTTTTCGGGGCATAAAAAATCAAGCCGAAGCAGGTTACACAGTTGTTCGTTTTCTGAAAAAAGATTTACAACTCTCTAACAAATTAGTATTGCCCTTGCCATTTCAAGTAATTTGACCGTCATTCCAATTTACATGGAATGTGTTAACAACACCTTTATGATGCAAACAATTATTTACAATAGAATTAAACAATAGATACATACATACATACATATATATTTTATTGCACTTTTATCAACAGTTAGTTCTGTGGCTTTAAAAAGAAGAAACAGTGACTTCACAATAAACTGGTCTTTTTTTTTTTAGATTTGACATTTACAATATAAGAAACACTAGTAACAAGCTTAGCTTCAGCAGTAATTAATCATTATCTATATTGACTGACTTTTTGAAAGTCGGAATGAAATTCATTTAAATGGCACAATAATGGAATGGGAAGGTTTTATCAGTTATTGGTTTTACTTTTTCGTTAGTTTACCTGTACAAAATCATGTTAACCTACTCGTAAAATAACAATTAAATGTCAAAAGAACAAATTGTAACCTTTTCTATCAAGTGTGGATATTTTTACATGTTTTCAATCATTTTTATAGAACTTGAAAGTCAGGGTTTTACTTATTCAAATTGTAAAATTCACACCAGAAATCACAGCATAAATCAATCCATGGTTTTACTTCTGGCACTCCACTATTTCATTACATACCTGTTTTAATTAAAATGATTCTAACAAACTAAATTGGAGATTTTTTAAATAACCTCAACAGGATATTCAAGTTTTATCTCCTGCTAAGACAATCTGTGTATGCAGCCTTGTCATTCTAGAAATTCAGGTATTAAGTTTGTATTTACCAATATAGAAATACAGACATGTGGTATGATTGCCAATGAGACAACTACCAACCAAAGTTAAAAAGGAAGTGGATATTAGCAATTAAAGGCAACCGTACATCCTTCAACAAAACAATTTGAAGTACCTCATTTTATAGTAAGACTGATAAAGCTGCTTCTGTCTTCACAGAAAAAAAAAAATTTGCATTCAATTTTCTGAAGTATGACAGCAGTTTTAATGAATATCTTTCTACAAACAAAATCATAGACTTTATTTGGAGTCCTGTGTTGCAATGCATTCAGCATTAAGATTGAGGACACATTATATTTTCCATATTTGAAAATCAAGGGAAATTCTTTAATGGGTCTATGGATGAGTCATTAATGGGTAATTAGTATTTAAAATAGAACTATCCATGTATTCCTTAAAAATCAACTATGTCATCTTTTATTCTTAGACAACAAGTAAACAAAAAGATACACTAGATAATAAATTACAAACAAATTCTGTTTTAAGATAAAGGATTCCACCCACTATCATATTGCAGTAAATCATTATATTTTTAATTTCATATCTATAAAAAAGAGATTGAAGATACTAAGGGAACATTGGTTAAAATTAAGTGTTTAAATATGTTTAATATTTTATTTATGTAATTTTCCATAAGATTATTTTATAAAGGGGATATGCTTGAACACATGCAAATTGCGCAGTAGCAAAAAGCATGTTGACTTGTGAAAAGTCTTATTTTTTGCAATTCCAGTAAAGATTCTCTATCAATTGTTTAATATATCCGAACCAATATGAGACTACACACTTCTGTGTAATCACACAACATTTAAAAAATCTGCCTTGTCTTGACAGTCAAAATGGAATGTGATATTATATTTTTATCTAATTCTATCACAACCAAATATCACAAAAAATGAAATATAACTCACATTATTTCAGCATGAATTATATAAGTGGTTTACAAATACTAAACAGGTTTCGTTAAATAATTTAATCATAAATTGAGTATAATCTAATATTTAGTAGAAGTAGAAAAGCACTACTGACAAGCATAAATATATTTAACAATCTGACAATATGGAATGAAATGCCATAGAAAAAAGTAACAATGCCAATATGAAGTAAAACAGAATCTTTTTAAGAATGACAAAATTTGTCTTCTGAAAATGCCATGATAAAATTAGTATGCCGACATTTTTACAATCACTTACTTACATACTTTGTCAAAAAAAAAACTTATGCCTTATCTCAACAACAAAATAATACTTTATAATTTATATCTCTATGTAAAAAATGTACAAAATAATTCTAATTTACAATAATGACTAGATTATCATAGAGAAGATCATCGACTCAGATCATGATTTATCTCCCTTGATAGATTTATAGCATTCCTTACATACTCGTACTGGTCGTAATATCATCCGTCTTCTTATTTCTGTTTCATATCTTGTGCACCTGTAAAAAAAGAATATTTACTTAAACTTTACCATAATACTGGACATGCTATTCATTTATAGATAATTTTGTGTAGAAATATGGTTGTTGATACGAGAATTTACCCATATATTTCATACTTTGTCAAATACAACTGCCAATACAAACAGATTATGATATCTGTAAAGCAAAGTATCAGCTGATATAAATCATGGCAAAAGTAAAACTGCATAATATACTTGCTTATTATAATACATTCTGCGAGGTGCATATATATTTCTAAGAAAAAGTAACTTATTATCGTGATAGAAGAAACTATGATTTATAAGTATCAATATATCTAGATGATTCATTTTTGTTAAAAGAAATGGGTAATTTTCCCTAATCTGAATATATATCTAGCACCTCAAACTATTTTTGCAAATGGAACTTAAGCTTTAACTAACACTAACTTTCTATATCAATACGTGTACTAACAAGGGAAAATTATGTGTATACTGAAATGTTTTATATATTTCTAGTCAAATCATAGAAATCAGTGTATATATGTGCAAGGGAAGACATGAATTAGAGACAATTTGATAGAATATAGGTGAAGCAGTCAGCTGTCTAATGAAGGAAGAATTTGTACACACTTTGCACAGAAGACATTTCCACAGTCTCGACAGTGATGTCGTCTATCTGAAAATGAGAATTTAACACCACATTGACAAGCATCAGCTACTTCATCTTTCATCCAGTGGTCTGCTACAACACGGCCAGGCTGGTCACTTACCGTCCAGCTGAAGATACGACCTTTGTTATCACCCACATACACTGTCTTGTGATCCCTGAAAAGCATAATAATATAACTGAATGTTTCTGTATAAAAGAGAAAGCAGAATTTATATTAAACAAAAATATATCAAACAGATATTAAACAAAAAATTATTTTATTTGGTCAACACTAATAATTTGAGAGAGGATATTTAACTTTAAACACAATTTTTTTCTCACATAATTTACCACCTTTTTCTGAATATCTAACATAACATGGCTACATAAAAACGAAGTCAAAGAGTAGCCAGACAGACAAATTATAGATTATCTAGCTTAAATTTTTAGCTTTAAAACAGAGCTTCCAAAAAATATTTGAGCCAGCAAGCCATTTTTTTCTAATCCTGATATTAATCCCTTTAGACTTAGTAACAAAAGGCAATCATGGTAATCAATCAGGCATCACAACAATGATTGACATAAAAACGATATCAAACTTGAGACTTTTGATATAAATTCTATGTTCTGAAATTAACTGTTACATTGACAGTGCATCATTCGAAGTATGAACATCAGTGTACTAACATCTGCCTTAGACTCTTTATTATTGCAAAAGTACACTGTCAAAAGCTTTACTTTCGTTATTAAAAAGCACATTTTCCTAATACAGGATGTTGACTTGACAATGGTAAAACAGGCCATACAGAAACCTAAAATCTGTGTACATTTACAAAGCACAAATGAGTTAAAGTAGTTCTTTCCATGTTATTTCTTCAAGAAAATACTTGAAACAAGCATTCTGAGAGTATTGCATGGCAATACATAGTCCCCTACCGGGAAAAAATTCATTATACTGGAACAAAAAGCTAACTTATTCTATAACTTGTCATGGTGTAAACAAAAAGAAAATATCAAGTTAATATCTTCAAAGCATGACTAAAAACAGTGTGGAAAACAGATTAAATGAGTGAATTTTTCAAGTCCAAGGACCATAACTCTGCACAAAATTATCAGACCGAAACAAAATTTTGAACTTGATCTGTATAACTTGTCATGATAAAACTATATACCAATTATCAATCAATATCTTCAAGCATGATGAAAAAAAGTGTGGAAAATACTTTAACATTAGATATGATTAATAGTCCTCTAAAATTAGATATGATGTAATACAGTGTATATCTATTTTCAAATTATAATCAAATATAATTAATAGTTCCAAAAATTTTTTCTTTTATTTGTCACAAACTAATATAGATTTGTAACTTATCTATAAAATGTCAACAATCTTTATCTACACAATGTAATGTAATATATACATTAATAAAAATAGATTATTATCTAATTAAAGGATTTCACTTCATAATTTTTTTTTATATATATAGCATTCAGAAAATTAGTTTATACAAAATAACAAGCAAACCAGCCAAAAAATTCTTCAAATAATTTACCAAATAATGTCTTTTAAAAAATGAGTTATCTCCCTTTGTACAGAAATTAACATTAGATACTAAATCATCAGACCGGAACAAAATTCGAACTTGATCTATAACTTGTCAAGGCAAAACTATATACCACATATCAAATCAATATTTTCAAGAACGAAGAAAAAAAGTGTGGAAAACTGATTTGCCGGACTGACGGATGGACAGACGGACGGACAAACAGACGGACAGAGTGCAAACCTAAAGTCCCCTTTGACTTAGTCGGTAGGGGACTAATAAACGTAAGATAAAGGTATCAATGATATTTTCAGCATTTTTGAAGAATTCAGACGCATAATCAAATCTCATACCTGCGCACATGTGCACACGTGTAATAGTTCAAACAACATGGTTCTGATGATATTTTGTTAACAAACTTTATTACTTCCTTTTTAAATTATCATAAAATCATATTTTAATACGTATAATGCAAACTATTGAAATTTAAGAAAATAACTCAAAATAGACTTATCAATGTCTGGTACAAAATAGTTTACCTGTTGCCAGAACAGGTAAATTTCAGCTGTCAGACAACTACTAAACCTTGATTTTAATGAGGGGATATTAAAGTAGCGCTTGTTTTAGAGACCTCAACTACTGATAGGGGCAAATAATGGGAAACAAATTCCTGACTATAATATTTTTAGTGTTAGGTCGAGAAACAGATCATTGACATAGCGTCATTTAGAAGGGTGATGTGTGAAAAGGGAACACATAGTTGGTTAATAAGCTCCACATAAGGATATTTTTGGTGCAAAATGTTGAAAAAAATTATGCAGATTTTCACTAAAAAGACTATTTGTAGGGTGTCATTAGTTTACTTAAGTACTTAAGAAAAGGATATTCTGCAAATATTGCTTAACACAGCTAAAACCTCTATGGACTCTTTCAACTAGATATCAAAATATATATATCAAATCAAATACCGGTAATATAAGTTTTGCTCAAATAAAAAAAAAAAAAACTAACGGGTTACCAACCGATACATATTTTTGTTCAAAAGATGGAAAAATTACTTCCCTCTTTGCTATAGTTCATGTTATATTTGATTGATTGATTGGTTATTGTTTAACGCGACTTTCAGCACTATTGTGCTATTTCGTGGCAGTCAGTTTTTATTGGTAGAGGAATCCAGAGTGCCAAGAGAGAACAAAGACCTTTGATGAGAAAACTGACAATCCTAGTCAATTAAGATTGGAGGCGAATGCAAACTCAGTGTTGACAGACTAGCGATATAGTAGTTTGACTACTTGAAGTCCCTTGTTGTATTTGAGAATTTAAGTCCATATCAAAACTGGAAAACAGAATAAACTATTTATAGGAAAAATATATCAAAATGTATTAAAAAATATCAGCTGCAACTCATAATAGTCATTTGTGAATCTTTTTTTGTGGAGATAATTGAATGAGCATACAAAAAAAAAGGTAAGCACAATAGTAAATTTAAAACATTAACAGTTAACTCCCTTTACATATAATTTTTATGTTATTGGGAAGAGTTACTGTTATCATTTTACAGATACAACTTCTATATATTGTAATGTTTTTATTAAAATCTATATTGCTGCTTAATTTCAAGTCAATATCTGTATAACATTTGTGTAGTAGATCACTTTAATAACCAATTACAGCAATTATCATTCATAATTCAGAAATTTATGTTTTTAATTGATATGCCTACTTATCTTGTAGTTCTTATCAGTCACTTTTCTGACTGGAAATGTGTGGCTGTTTAAGGCAAAATAAATGGAAAATGTGTCCCCATGGACACAGATGATGCCCCCACTTGCATACAACATTATAAAGGGACATAACTCAAAAACAATAAAAGTGACGCTACCCAAATTTGTACTAGATCTGAGTTTTGTGGTAATAAGTATTGTGTATAGGTTTCATAATGTTTGGTTGGGGCAAACTTGAGTAACAGAACGGAAACTAAAAATTTTGCAATTTTTCGATTTATAAAAGGGCATAACTCGATAATGGTTAAAGTGACGCCACCAAAATTCAACTTGATCTGTGTTTTGTGGTAATGAGCATTGTGTATAAGTTTCATAACATTTGGTTGAGGCAACTTAAGTTAGAGAACGGAAACTAAAAGTTTTGCATTTTTTTTCCCATTTATAAAGGGGCATAACATGAGAATGGTTAAAGTGACCCCACCAAAATTCAAACTTGATCTGTGTTTTGTCTTAATAAGCATTGTGTATAAGTTTCATAACATTTGGTAGAGGCAAACTTAAGTTAGAGAACGGAAACTAAAAATTTCGTAATTTTTTCATTTATAAAGGGGCATAACTCTAGAACGGTTACAGTGACGCTAAAAAAATTCAAATTAGATCTGTATTATGTGGTAATAAGCATTGTATATAAGTTTCATATCATTTGGTTGAGGCAAACTTTAGTAAGAGAACGGAAACTAAAAATTTTGCAATTTTTCCAATAATAAAGGGGCATAACTCTAGAATTGTTAAAGAGACGCCACCAAAATTCAAACTTGATCTGTATTTTGTGGTAATAAGCATTGTGTATAAGTTTCATAACATTTGGTTGAGGCAATCTCAAGTTAGAGAACAGAAACCAATTTTGGGACGTACGGATGTACATATGTACAGACGGACAAGGGTAAAACTTAATGCCCTCACCGCTACGGCGTGGGCATAAAAAAGGTCAGGCTATAAAGGTGGCATAAAATTCACCAAAACTTTTGTCTTACTGAATAATGTTAAAATGACAAACCCACGATACAAATCCAGTTCATGCTCAGCACAACATGACAAGAATATAATTTATCAAACTTGTCCGGACAATACAACATTATGGAAGCCCTACTTCATAGTTGACATTTCCGTTGCTAGATTGCATCTCTGTCTTGTCTTCTGAAACTATTGAGGACAGGCAAGTTAAGATACCATTTGACTGATTGATTAATTGGTAAGTGTTTAACACCCCTTTCAGCACTGTTGGCTATTTTGTAGAGGCCAGTTTTTATTGGTGGAGGAAGCTGGGGTGCCCTTTCGAACTACCAACCTTTGGTAGGAAAACTGACAATATTAGTCAATTAAGATTGGAGTTAAATGCACCTAACATGTGGGGGACTCGAAATCACAACCTCAGTGTTGAAAAGCTAGGGATACAGTAGTTGGACTACATAGACCATTCGGCCACTGAGGCCCCAGGAATCAATTTAAAAAAGCTTATCAATCATCAATAAATTGCTTCGCCGATTGCAGCTGGATACGACCACAGAGGTCCAACCCTGAACAGCTGGGGCAAAAATGGACATAATATTCGCGCTTGATACAGGTCTGAATTTGGATTGTAATTAAATATTTGACACATAATAGGTTTCTGACACAGAATAACTGTAGTCAAAGATCTTAGAATTGGTTATATGATTTGAATTTATATTCAATTTTTTGCTTTTGTGCAATACACTATGGTGTTGCAAATTGACCCTCCCCCCTTTTTTGAAGAAATTTTCTTTTTGATTTCTGAAATCTGAAATGAGAAAAAATTGTCCCCCCCCCCCCCTTTTTCCCCAAAAAAAATTCTTTCCCTCAAGATATGGTCATAATCTCAATTCAAATTTCCAATGGAGTTTGCAACCATAATTACCCATTTAAATACATCATAAAAGTCTAAAAATAGATAAAATGCTCAGCTGGGGCACAGCTTGATACGACCACAGAGGTCGAACCCTGAACAGTTGGGGCAAGTATGGACACAACATTCAAGCTTGATACAGCACTGAATTTGGATTGTAATTAAATATTTGACACAGCATAGGTTTCTGACACAGAATGAATGTGGTCTAAGAACTTAAAATTTTTTAATTTACCTATTCAAACCATATCATTATTATTTGCTTTTTATATATAAATCAGAAATAACCAATTTAAAATGGAAAATTTTAAAGAAAAAAAAAAGGAAAAAAAGGAAAAAAAAATCCCTCCTCCAAATTTTTTGAACCCCCTTATAATTCATCGCCCCCATACTCAATCCCAGCCTTCCCTTTGTGGTATGGTACCTTGCAGTACAATTTCAGAGAGATCCATACACTTGAACACAAGTTATTGTCTGGAAACTAGAAAAATGCTTGTTTTTTTGGCCCCTTTTTGGCCCCAAATTCCTAAACATTTAGGGCAATTACCCCCAAACTCAAACCCAGCTTTCCCTTTGTGATATGGAACCTTGCAGTACAATTTCATAAAGAGCCATACACTTACACACAAGTTATTGTCTTGAAACTAGAAAAATGCTTGTTATTTTTTGCCCCTTTATGGCCCCTAATTCCTACAATTTTAAGACAATTACCCCCAAAATCAATCCCAGCCTACCCTTTGTGGTATGGTACCTTGCAGTACAATTTCAGAGAGATCCATACACTTGAACACAAGTTATTGTCTGGAAACTAGAAAAATGCTTATTTTTGGCCCCTTTTTGGCCCCTTATTCCTAAACGTTTTGGGCAATTACCCCCAAACTCAATTCCAGCTTTCCCTTTGTGATATGGAACCTTGTAGTACAATTTCATAAAGATCCATACACTAACACACAAGTTATTGTCATGAAACTAGAAAAATGCTTGTTTTTTGCCCCTTTTTGGCCCCTTATTCCTAAACATTTTGAGCAATTACCCCCAAACTCAATTCCAGCTTTCCCTTTGTGATATGGAACCTTGTAGTACAATTTCATAAAGATCCATACACTTACACACAAGTTATTGTCATGAAACTAGAAAAATGATTGTTTTTTGCCCCTTTTTTGCCCCTAATTCCTAAAATTTGGAGGCAATTACCCCCAAATCCCAGCATTCCCTTTGTGATATGGAACCTTGTGGTACAATGTCAGAGAGATCCATACACTTACACACAAGTTATTGTCATGAAACTAGAAAAATGCTTGTTTTTTGCCCCTTTTTTGCCCCCAATTCCTAAAATTTGGAGGCAATTACCCCCAAAATCAATCCCAGCATTCCCTTTGAGATATGGAACCTTGTGGTACAATGTTAGAGAGATCCATACACTAACACACAAGTTATGTCTGGAAGTTACAAAAATGCTTATTTTTGGCCCCTTTTTCCTTAACTGTTGGTACCATAACCCCCAAAATCAATCCCCACTTTCCTTTTGTGGTATTGAACCTTATGGTAAAATTTCATAGAGATCCATTCACTTAAACTAAAGTTAGAGTGCGAAAACCAATGTGTCTTCGGACGACAACGACGACGACGCCAACATCATACCAATATACGACCGCAAAAAAATGTTGTATAATAATGACATACATAATCATGGCTAAAATAAATATTCCTTAATCAGCATTTTTAAATAGTAACTTCTGAAAGTAAATTGACAGCTAATCACCTCAAGACAATACAACATTTCTTTATACATAATTTAAAAGCAGTGTAAGGGAGGTAATCAAAACATAATATTGTACTTTTTTTTAATTGTTCATTAACCAGGAAACCCTTGTTTTTCCCCCTTTTTTGCCCATAATTCCTAAACGATTTGAGCCATTACTCCCCAAAGCCAATCCTAACCATCCCTTTGTGGTATGGAAACTTGTGGTATAATTTCAGAGAGATCCATATACCATACCACAAGTTATTGTCTGGAAACTAGAAAAATGCTTATTTGGGCCCCTTTTTGACCCCTAATTGGTAAACTGTTAGGACTATAACCCCCAAAATCAATTCCAACCTTCCTTTTGTGGTAATAAACCTTGTGTTTAAATTTCATAGATTTCGTTTTACATTTACTAAAGTTATTGTACGGAAACCAAATGTCTTCGGATGATGCCGATGACGACGACGTGATACCAATATTTTTTGCAGTTGTATAATAAACACACTTCCGTAATCGGCCTTGTATAGTTCGCACTGGTTCATAGTCCGCACCCCCCTACTCGCCACGGAAATTCAGGTAAAAAAAATTTTTGAAACTGGTTGAAAACGTTCCTTAAAACTCCGATATTATCAAATCATATGTTATCATTTTCGGTCTTTTCATTCAAGTAGAAGTTGAAAATGTTTGTAAATGATTCTAGAACATTTCAAGAGTGTCAAAATAAGTCAAAATCACAAAAAAAACAATTTGGAAAGTTGAAACCAGAAGTAAGAATAGCACGTGTAAATTGAAAAAACAAATACGGTGAGAGAGTGCAGAAAATCCATATTTTAAAGATATTACTAGAATACATCTTAGAAATTAAAACAGTTTCATCTTTTAGTAAAATACCGTTAAACATATCCATCATATTAACATTTGAAGGATCTTAAGCTAAAACAAAACACATGCGTCAGTATGAATCACCAAAACGGAATGAATAACTGGTTTTGTTTTGTTATGCATAAGCTGGTTCCCGGCTGACTTATACACATTTTCCGTTAAAAAATTCTGTTAAATACAAGCCGTTTCCAGTTTATGTTATTCAATGCTGTGAAAAGAAATGAGAATTTGTATAAATGAAGCATTTGATTTTAGAATTAATCACTATCAAATGAATTTTGAATTAAAATTGCACATTTATATGGATTAGGTAAAATATAAGTTTTGACAATAAGGGTGCCCTCTACAATTTCAAGAACAAACATGGCGGAACCTTGCAATATCAAGTTTTTCTCTTATTTCTTTCTTATTGTACTCTATAATCCGCAACCCCTACCTGGCAGCTTCAATTTTGGAGAATAAAACCGCAGACTATACAAGCCTCAATTCAGTATTCCATACTGTAATATATGAAAAATCACCTTTGCAATAATATCCTGATTATTGCCCTTTAATGAATGGTCATAGAGGCAAAAAAATCTTACTTGGAAATAGCTATAGATGTAACAGATGCTGGGTCTTTGTTGTCTTTTCGTTCAAATGCTGTGTGCATTGTTAATTTATTTCTAAATACCAACTGTCTCTGCCATCTAAAACCTGAATATAAATACATCATTCAGTTAAATCTGTATGCATAGTTAAATAAATTCAAAACTCCAATTGTCTCTAGTAAATATTGTTTACTAACTTCAAAAACTTAATTGCCTCTGTGAACTTCATCTTTTATATATTTTCTTTTCTTTCTTAATGATGACGATAGATAAGTATTTATTATCCAGTTGCAATTATTACATGCATATCAGCACAAGAACATGTTAATGTGATAACAATATAAACCTGTCTTGTAATAGACCATTTGTACTAGACTAACACGCTGAGTCGTAATTTTAACTTGCTATAGTTCATAAGGTAAATAACTGGGGATAAACACACAATCTCCCATAGAGTTCTCTATTGAGGTTTTATTTTCCTTATTGAAATTATGTTATAACATTTATTTCAGGCATTCCACAAGATCCTGTTTGCAGAACTGTTCACAATATTGCTGCATGAAATCTCTTTTGAAGTACAAAGGCTTATGTTAGAATGTAAGTAAGACAACATGATTTCTATATCAGCTTATTATCACTTTGTGCTTGCTTTCAGTAATTATAGATTATTGATGGTTTTTCAACATGAGGGTGTTTCTCAGCTACAATTTCATCGAAGGGTGACAGCCCTGAGCTGAGATGTGGCTGAGAAACATCCTTGAGTTTGAAAGACCATTGATAATCTGTTTATCGCTATTTTGCCAATGAGGTCGTTCATGTTTATATTGACGTCACGTGCTCCCTTAGTTTCTGACGATAATTTTCCATCTCAAGCAAGTAGCATGATATGAAAAATTATCACAAAAAAAATCAAAGGAAAAATGCACGAAATAGCGATAATATCTAGTATTTGTCACTATGTGTTTGTCATCTGTTAAAACAATATTATCCAGAATTTTATTATTTTTGTCTGTGAAAAGATTACCATGTCAATGATGACAAATGAAATTTACCTTCTCTCAAAGCATGTCGTGTTCTTGGTCTGTATTTTTTAAGAATGTCTTCCACTGTTTTTGGAGAATTTCTTGCTTCTTTGTCGGATATTATTTCAAACTCTGAAGATCCCGATCTCCCAAAATCTGGTTTCTCTAACTCCCCAGTCTTCAAGTCTGGATGACTTTGACTCTTATCCATTCCAGAACCCTCTGCTAGACTAACCAAATTTGGTTCAGAAAGGCTGGGAAGTTGAGTATCGCTGATGTTTGATTGAACCATTTCATCGTAAGCTTCCACGGCTGTGTCAATAGATAAATCAGCTGATTTAACGGAATGTGTATCATCAGGAATTACATCGTCACCATATCCTGTCCGACTGTATTGAAAGTCACTAGTACTACTAGTTCTACTGGTAATACTTTCCTCCCTATCCAGGTTTCCAGGAAGTCTACCTTTACCCTTTGATCCTAAGATTTTTGTCATATTACTTTCACTTTCTAAAGAACTACTAATGTCTACAAGATTTGGCTCTCTGAATTCCTGTAACCTTTCAATGGCTGAATTCTGTTGAAGTCCATAACTATCACAAGATACCTGACGTGACAGTTTGGATGTAGGACTTGTTAAATCTCCTCCTGTTCCCTTTGTCATTGTATCACTACTGTCATTTTGTGCATCTTTGGAAGGTCTTTCTTCAACAGGAACCTGCACATATTCAATGGACCACATCTAAAAGTACAGAAAAAATGTTTAATAATTTGGTGCAATCAGATATAACTCATGAACAGTATGAGGCACAGCTTACATGTAACTGATGGCTTTTAAATTTAGTAGCCAACATTACAAATAAATTGTTGACACAGAGATATGTCTTTTTTTTTTTGCAAAAAAATTCAGAAAAAAACAATCTGATGGACAGATTGCTAATTAATTCAAAGTTGCTGGACCATGACATAGAGGGCTTTACGTCAAAATGATCTTCAAACTGAGGTGTACTGATAGTAATGCAACTTTATAGAATATATCATTGTCTATAAGAAGTTCCTTTCAAACTAACTTCAGCAGAAAACTAAACATTGAAAATTGGTAGTTAATTGAGTCACTGGACCTTTTCTACGGGGTTAGGGCCTCGTTCCTATCAAATTAGCTGAAGTAGAAAACTTAACATTGGTAATTGCTTATTATTTAAAAGTTGCTGGACCATGACCTAGATGGCAGGCCTCAAAATAGTCATCAAACTGATATGTTCTGTTAGTAATGCAACTTTATTATATAGAAAATATCTTAACATTGAAAATTGCTTATTTATTCAGTCAATGGACCTGACCTAGGAGCAGAGCCTTAAAATAGTCGTCAAACTGATATGTACTAATAGTAATGCTGTCAACGTATATTTGTTCCACCTAACAGATGTTCCACCAGAAACTTTGTTATAAACAATGTCATAATATCTGTTCCTGTTGGAACAAATATTCTATATCATTTATTCCATTAGGAACATATACTGTAATATTTATTCCAGTGGAAATAATATTCCAGCATACAGCAGACAATTCAGAAAATGACTATCTGATGGACAGCAAAACAAGAACTTGAACCAATTAAGAAGACAATGAGTGTAACGTTCTGCAGTGACTGACAGGTTTCAAGTTGACTATTGCTGTGAATGAGCTAATAAAACGATACCCCCTGCAGCAAAATTCAATCAGTATATTTAGAATATAAATGACTTGGTCTATAAACGTTTACTAAATAGAATACAGAGCTGAGTTGTTAGTATTCCTTTATACACATTTTTCAATCGTTTATAATCTTATTTGTATCGCTAACAAAGGACTTTTACCACATTGCACTATTGAAGGAAATGATTTTGATTATCTCCCCTTGTTGAACCAGGAGCATATCCTTAGGTAATGTTCTACAGCTATGTAAAGTTTCATCACTATCTGTCCTGGAGTTCACTTACAAGGCTCACAGACAGACATATATTCTCAAAAACTAGTTTGGACAGACAGGTGGTATTAAAACAGAAATAACATATTCTGTCTTGTTTTTTCAGCTGTATGCTTGTATTTAATGTAATTTTATCCTACATCCATCTTTCATTAATGATTCTGTGCCTTTGTGTTAATGTTTGTATGACCCACCTTCCACAAGTAATAAGTAAGTGCATAAAATCACTCATGAATTTTCCGAATGTTTCATTAGATATAAAAATATTCCACGCCCTCAAAGCCTTTGTAATAAGAGCAAAGTTCTGAAAGATGAATCTCATTTCTTTTTATTACGTTAAATAAATAATGATTTAAGACACGACGCTAATAACGATTTAAAAACCAATACAAATATTTTTCTGATAATAAAATGAAATATATTCTAAATCCAACTTCTAGTCAGCAAGACTCCTTTATATTACAGTTTAAGGGACTGAGGACAGAGGGCACTTGTGTTGTGTGTTCAATATTTTATTTTATTTTCAAGTAAATGTCATGATTATACATGTATTTGTAATTGTTATTATGCCTTTGACCCTCTTATGGGTATAATTTGTTCTAGTTATTAAATCCAATATCTGGTTTACATGATAGTCAGACAGATGAACAAACAAAATGAAGGTATGAGCTAATGAACAAATGGACACAACACTCACTATAACCCCTGCTTCAGTAAGACAGAGTTAAACAATAAATACATTTTTTTATTGAACCATAATCAGAACATTTTATTATGAAAGTTTTACTAAGTGTACATTATCCATATATAGATATCAAAATAAAGCACCATTATAAATGAAACGTTGCCTTAATTTAATCCTGTATCTTACAACCTTAAACAGCTCTATGTAAATAATTCAAGCTCTGATACACATTACTTACCCTTACAACACCATCACCACTGCCAGTTAATATTACATTTCTGTTATCCCACTCAAGGATCTGTGAAAATAGAAATGTAATTGTATAAGTGTCAGTAAATCAGACAGTCCATTTCCTAACTTCTTTGAAGACATGACCTGTCATTGTTTCTGATATTGCTGTTTATTAACTGCAAAATATGAAACATTTCCATAGAGAACTAGCAGGTTTATTAGAGTATTATCCATAGTTTTTACACTATACATAGGCTCAATAATTAATTGTAAAAAAAACAGTTTGTAAAATTGTCTAGTTTTTGTTGAGCACCAAATTGATAGTTATAGTCAAATAGCAATTCAATTTTGTATTCCACCCTATCATGGCAACAGTATAAAATGTAGTGGCTATGAAGCAACTTTCTGACACAATACAATTTTTGTATTAGATAACCTACAAATGATAAAGTTTAAATTGTTTGATTAAATGATACTGGTCTTAACATAGCATCTGTAACATCCTTACTGAAGATGGCCATAACATTTTCTTTATCATTTCTAAACTAAACAAGACCAATACCGGGTCTGGACCTACGTCACTACAAGCAATTTATTGAGGTTATATGAATACAGGAGCATAACTGATCCTTCCTTTTCAACGATGCCAAGAAAACTTTGACGAAATTTTTCCTTGTACAATGAGTGTTGTAAAATTTCAAACTATCAGCAAACAGGAAGTGGCTCCATGGCAGATGTAATAAAATGATTCATCATATAAAAGAACTCCAAGAATTCAAGTTTAATTTTGGACCCTTTGGACCTTAATAAGGACCAATTTAAAAACCAGGTCCAAAATCAAAAATCTAAATATACTATTAGCTTCAGCGTATTAAAGAACCATAAGAATTCAATTTTTGTTGAAATCAATTAAAGTTGAATTTTGGACCCCATTTGAGAATGGGGCCCAAAAATAAAAAATCAAAATACACTGTTAGATTCAGCATATTAAAGAACCCCTAAGAATTCAAGACTTTGAATTCAACCCCATTGAAATTGGTCAAGAAATAAGCAATTCATACAAAGTATTAGAAAAGTATTGGTTTTTCCTAAATGGTTAGAGCCATGACCCCAAAATCATTCCCAACCTTCCCTTTTTGGCATGGAACCTTGTGGTACGATTTCATAGAGATCTATAGACTTAAAATCAACTTATTATCAGGAAACCAGAAAATCCTTGTTTTATGGCCCCCTTTTTGCCTCTAATTCCTAAACAATTTGGGCCATAACCCCCAAAATCAATCCCAACCTTTCGTTTTGAAGTATGGAACCTTGTGGTACAACTTCATAGAGATCCATACACTTATACACAAGTTATTGTCATGAAAAACAAGAAAAATACTTGTTTTTGGCCCTTAATTCCTAAACAGTCAGGACAAAAACCCCCAAAATCAAGCCCAACCTTCCTTTCTGTGATATGAAATCTTGTGGAACAATTTCATAAAGATCAATAAACTTATACTCAAGTTATTGTCTGGAAACCAAATGTCCTCAGACAATGTCATACATCATTTCATAAAAAAATTTGTGGTCATATAAAATTTGCTTACTCTCTACAACTTGTCATTTTAAAGCTGCAGACTAAATATTTAATCATTCCCTTCAATAGGAGCCTTGTTTAAAGTTTGAAGAAAATTTTCCTTGTACAATGAGTGTTGTAAACAGGAAGTGGATACATGGCAGATGTAAAAAATTGTTTAATCGCTACAACTCAACATTCTTCAGACCAAATATTAAATCAGTCCCTTTCATAGAAGCCAAGTAAACTTTGATGAAATTTTTCTTTAGGAGGGACAAACTTACAGAAAAACGAACGGAAAGATGGACAGAGTCGAGCTATTACTAGACCTGCTTCTGCCTTCAGCGACAGGGGTAAAAATGTCCTGACAAAGAATCTGTTTGTCTAATAAATTCTGACTATTCATGCTCTCTAATCTGTATCATCATGTAGGATACAACTTTACCTGTGACATGGCAAGACAAAGGATCTGTTGACTTCTCAATGAAGCTGTGTTTACACATGCAATTTCTTCACCATTTATGGACCAAACATACAGGTATGTTCCTGCACATGTTGCAATGTCACCCTGTAAATATATATACATTCTTTTGTTGTCTTTATTCTAAATCTTATCAAATTATCAGGTATCGTGTTTGCTTTTCATTTTTTTTATTATGTTTACGTGGAAAAATTCTTTAAAATCTTATATAAATTTTTAGAAAAGAACCCATATCATAACACCTTCTTAAGGAAAAGACAAGCAGGATATTTCTTGGACACTGACCGAAATATGTTCTCTTTCAACAGGAGAAATGTTGCTTTACAAAACAGATGACTTCTTGTAAGACGGTTGAATAACATACTGGAAAATTGCAAGTTTTACCAAACAGTCATTTATGGACTGAAATACCGATAGTTTACAAATATAAACAAAAGGAGATGTTGGATATTAACAATGAGACATCAAACCAATGACACAAAATTCTAAAGAGCTCTAACTCTCACTGTCAATATAAGAAACGTAACAGTAGAAAAATGCAGAAATGATTACAGAAAAATGTTAGAATTTTCAAACTATAATAAGGGACATCTGAAGATAGTATTTCTTATATTTACTATCTACCATAAACTCATTAATACACACATTTGAAGATATTATTTCTTGTATTTAGTACCTACCGTTAGTTCATTAATACACACAGCAGCCACTGGAGCTGCATGACCCCTCAGCTGTTTGACATAGACCAATCTACTTAGGTCCCAAATAATACAGGTTCTATCTCTGGACCCACTGACTATCACATTGTAGGCCTGAGATGATGCTAGACAGGTTACTGTTTCTGTATGTCCATATAAAGGCTGCTTCAGACAAACTTTCTTACTCTTTGGCTTCAGCTCCCAGACATTAACAACCTGCAAGTCAAATTGTGTTGAATTTATATCTCTGGTGTTGATTGCACAGGCAAGTATTATTTTCAACCGTATCCCCACTTACCTTTTTATAAGTTTTATCAGAACATAATTTAATCTTGGAAGTAAATGTAAGTCAGAATAAAATGCTCCGCAGGGCGCAGCATGATACAACCGCAGAGGTCGAACCCTGAACAGTTGGGGCAAGTATGGACACAACATTCAAGCTTGATACAGCTTTGCATTTGGATTGTGATTAAATATTTGTCACAGTATAGGTTTCTGACACAGAATGAATGTGGTCTAAGAACTTAAAAATTTTAAATTGGACATTCACCTATTATGGTCCAATATCCAAAATCTAAATACATGGTTAGATTCAGCATATCAAAGAACCCCAAGAATTCAATTTTTGATGAAATCAAACAAAGTTTAATTTTGGACCCTTTTGACCTCAATGTGGACAAAGTTGATAACGGGGCCCAAAAATCAAAAATCTAAATACATGGTTAGATTCAGCATATCAAAGAACCCCATATATTCAATTTTTGTTGAAATCAAACAAAGTTTAATTTTGGACCCCGATTTGGACCAACTTGAAAACTGGGCCCATAATCAAAAATCTAAATACATGTTTAGATTCAGCATATCAAAGAACCCTAAGAATTCAATTTTTTTAAAAATCAAACTAACTTTAATTTTGGACCCTTTGGACCTTAATGTAGACCAATTTGAAAACGGAACCAAAAATTAAGAATCCAAATACATGGTTAGATTCGGCATATCAAAGAACCCCAATAATTCAATTTTTGATGAAATCAAACAAAGTTTAATTTTGGACCCTTTGGACCTCAATGTGGACCAATTTAAAAACGGGGCCCAAAATCCAAAAACTAAATACACGGTTAGATTCAGCATATTAAGGAACCCCAAGAATTCAAGAATAAAACCCAATTGAAATTGATCAAGCAATTTATACGAAGTATCTTCTTTTGCACAATACTGTGCAATTAAATATTTCTTGCTATTGGGCAATACTGTACAATTGACAATTTCTTGCTATTGCGCAATATTGTGCTATTGGATATTTCTTGCTATTGCGCAATACTGTGCAATTGAAGATTTCTTGCTATTGCGCAATACTGCGCAATTGAAGATTTCTTGCTATTGCGCAATACTGTGCAATTGAAGATTTCTTGCTATTGTGCAATACTGTGCAATTGAAAATTTCTTGCTATTGCACAATACTTATTATATAATAATTTACACATCCTGTTTGGTGTGTATCTCCTACCATATCATTATTATTTGCTTTTAAATATAAATCAGAAATAACCAACTTAAAATGGAAAATTTTAAAAGAAAAAAAAAAGGAAAAAAAGAAAAAAAGGAAAAAAAAAACATCCCCCCCCCAAATTTTTTTAAACCCCCTTATGATTCATCACCCCCAAACTCAATCCCAGCCTTCCCTTTGTGGTATGGTACCTTGCAGTACAATTTCTGAGAGATCCATACACTTGAACACAAGTTATTGTCTGGAAACTAGAAAAATGTGTTTTTTGGTCCCTTTTTGGCCCCAAATTCCTAAACGTTTAGGGCAATTACCCCCAAACTCAAACCCAGCTTTCCCTTTGTGATATGGAACCTTGTACAATGTAGTACAATTTCAGAAAGATCCATACACTTACACACAAGTTATTGTCCTGAAACTAGAAAAATGCTTGTTTTTTGCCCCTTTTTGGCCCCTAATTCCTAAAATATTGAGGCAATTACCCCCATCATCAATCCCAGCCTTCCCTTTGTGGTATGGTACCTTGCAGTACAATTTCAGAGAGATCCATACACTTGAACACAAGTTATTGTCTGGAAACTAGAAAAACGCTTATTTTTGGCCCCTTTTTGGCCCCCAATTCCTAAACGTTTCGGTAATTACCCCCAAACTCAATTCCAGCTTTCCCTTTGTGATATGGAACCTTGTAGTACAATTTCAGAAAGATCCATACACTTACACACAAGTTATTGTCATGAAACTAGAAAAATGCTTGTTTTTTGCCCCTTTTTTGGCCCCTAATTCCTAAAATTTGAGGCAATTACCCCCAAAATCAATCTCAGCATTCCTTTTGTGATATGGAACCTTGTGGTACAATGTCAGAGAGATCCATACACTAACACACAAGTTATGTCTGGAAGTTACAAAAATGCTTATTTTTGGCCCCTTTTTGGCCCCTAATTCCTTTACTGTTGGTACCATAACCCCCAAAATCAATCCCAACCTTCCTTTTGTGGTATTGAACCTTGTGGTAAAATTTCATAGAGATCCATTCACTTAAACTAAAGTTAGATTGCGAAAACCAATGTGTCTTCGGACGATGCCGGACGATGCCAGACGACGACGACGACGACGACGCCAACGTCATACCAATATACGACCACAAAAATTATTTTGCGGTCGTATAAAAAAGAAGAGAGTAAATTTGGACTGTAATATTTTGAATTTGTTTGGATTACATAGTACGTAACGTTTCTTTCATGGTTTAAAATTTTTTTTTTGGCTCAACAGCTATTTTATCATATGAACCATTTTGATTGTGTATACTTACAGTACTTGTACCTCCAGTTATGAATGTTTTGGCATTAGGATAGGAAGCACACAGGATTTCTCCATTGTCTAGGTTCTCAAAAACATGTAAAGCCTATAAAAAAAGATAAAAACATTTGAAACATGTTTTTTAACTTTCTGGATATGAATTTTTTTATGGTGAATGTTGAAGCTGCAAAAATAAGAATTCTGTTCAAGCAGCAATAATTTAAATGGCCTTTTTCAAGCTTAAATATCAACTTAGAGTCTAAAACTCCTGGTGATATTATGTATATTACATAGGATGAGGTCATTTGATGTGTTTCTTACTGAAATTTAGCTGCCAAACATCAACTTTATACTTGATTTCTGACCTTGAAATAAAACTCTTTACATGGTGACTGTATAAACAAGTAATTAATTCTTCGGTTGAAACATGTTTACATATATTTCAAGTATCACATCCTGGTTAATTCATAAATAACCAAAATGTGATATCTTTGAGCACCAAGCTATCCATTTTTTTTATCAATGTGATTTTGTTTTACTTTTGTCAGGATCATAGGTAATATTTTCATATACATTTGTTGCTAAAAAAGTATTTCTCTTTTAAATAAAGTACCATAAACTTACTTTTTCTGATTCATAGTTGCCTATTCTAACACTAAGATCCGAGAATCCCCATGATAAATATTTGTTATACTGTGGAGGTATCAGCACTTTGTTCTGTTCTACAGCTAGCACATTTTTACTTTCATGGTGAAAAATCTGTCCAACTGCACCTTTCAATTCTACTCAAAAATACAATAAAATGTAAATTTATTCTATCAGGTAGTTGGCTTGAGTTCATATTTTTCACAATTAAAATAAAAAGTACTGCAGATTTATAAATGTCACATAATATATTTGTTTAGTTTCATTTTCAGTACTTTTTACCTGTATTTCAATTGCATACATCAAAACGAAGGAGGCTTTTCAATTTAAATCAGATTTAGCATTTCCTGTCTTTAAAAAAAACAATATTCTATTTTATCATATTGGTTGCAATGTGGTATTGTGATTTCCCATCAAATAAAAACAGATAATTTCACATGTGACTCCTATAACTTCATACAACAATAGGTGATATCAAGACTTTGTCAATGACCAGATCAAAACAAAATGAGATATCATGATACAAAGTATAGTTTCTACCTTACATGTTTTTACGTTAGAAGTCAAGGTACCTGTCAACTTTTCAAAATCTCCATGGGGCATTTTAAGTGCAAGAGGACCTAATGCTTCTCTTATATTTTCATTAGTGTTTTTAATCTACTATTATATTGTTTAAATGAGTGTGTATGTGATTAAATACCCTTTTGACTCATTTCATACCTGTTTTGAAGTTCTCAGTTTATATAATCAAGAACATCAAAATTCATGTCAACACCTCTCATGGGAGAAATTCTCCATAACTTATGAAAGTTGGCAGGTCAGAGTTAATGCAATATGCACATTTGTAAATTAATGTGTTCTTCAGTCATCAGTCGAAAAATGTTCATAAATTTGAATTCTTAAATTAGTTGATACCAATCAAAATTTCACTTCATTTTTTAATTTCTTTTTTTTTTATTCATTTTGTTTGGTAAGCTTGTTAATTTTTCAGAACTAAGATAATACAGATTATGAATATCATTTCTACATCATTTTGACAAAAGAATTCACCCAATATGTTATCTCTTTACTTTACAATGATATTATATAAAATATTCCATACCTTTAATTGCTTGTTTTGTTGGTCTGAGATTGTCTACGTTGTGGAAAAATAACTTATCATTGGCATTAGGTGGTAGTGGTCCCATTGGTATGGCGTCACCAAGTCTTAAAGCTAACTTCTTCTGTGGATGAGGTTTCTTAAACAGCTGTTTATATAGAAGAATATGTCTTATTTATAAATGAAACTTGCTACATGTATTTTGTATTTTACACATTCTTCTTTCAAATCTATCTAGTGGAAAAAAATCAGTTTACTCATTAATTTAGGTACTGTGTAAAGTTTTCAAACAAAATATGTAGATCTTTAAAGGGTTTATCAAGCATATTTCATGTTTTTACTTGGATGCAAATATAACTTAATACAAAAATAAGAAGATCTGGTGTAATTGCCGACTATCCACCAGAGTTCAATGGCGAAGATAAAAGGAATTATAGGTCACTGTACAGCCTTTAATAATGAAAAAAACCTTACTGTATAGCTATAAAAGGCCACAACATGAAACATAGTATTATTCTGTAATTCATCAAGTACAGATAATCTAAATATTTTACAAGGGCAGGTAAAAATGTTTTCCCAAATATACAATATTAAAAATCCATATTTAAAGCCAATAAATGAAACTTCTTAAAATAACACCCAATGATAGTATAATGCTCACTTGTTTTGGTATTTGTCCAAAGTTGTTTATAAAACCTATGGTAGCATGTTTTTTGAGTGGATCGTCTATATTATATATGTCTACATTTCCTTCATAGAACAGATGATGGAAGACATTCACTGCATCAACTGCTGCCTGGCCTTGTTGTTTGCAACCAAATATCAGATCAATCCATTCATGTAGATGGGCACTCACATAATCACACTCAAGGGCCTGAAATATATACCATTCATGTAATTTTTGTACTTATTTAAATAAAAGAATCTTTTTCTATCATTGGAAAACTAGCAAAAAAGTATTGTACTGTAGACAGATTATAGTCATATGAGTTTGTCAAATGTGTATGATTTCCTGTATGGTAATTATCACGATTTAAATGATATGATGAGCATTGTATTATGGTATGGTCCGTTAGGTGTGAGATGAAATTGTCTATCAGTATCATGCTAAAGTCTGTTTTAGATTAGATAAAACTTCTCGAATTTGAATTTTTGTATGTCAGCCCTCAATTATTTAGTAACATAATTAACAATTTATAAACCATACTGTAATTGACAAGGTAACTGTTATCTTATTTTCCTATTTCAGACCATATTTTTAATAACTAGGTGGGATTGTTTAATGGGCCAACCTTATATCTTCCCCTTTATTTATAAAAGACACTCCAGTAAAGATCACATTGTAGAACTTAAAAGGTATGATCATGGCAATTAGGAATATTTATTTATGGTTAATGGGTTGGAACTTTTACTGTTTTCAATATATTTAACTATTTGTGATATGAGGAGGTGGGCCATGACCAAAAAATTCCAACCCTAGACAAAATCTTTGGTCATTAAAAAGATCACAGCAGTTCAGAATACATATGATTTAGTGGTGGGGATCTGAACATTTTTAATACATTATCAATAATCAATATAAGGGGGCAGGGCATGACCTCACAAGGGCAAAATCTGTGGTGTATTGTAACGGACCTGCTCTGACAATTAAGAATATACATGGTTAAGAGTAAGAATATGAACTGTTTTCAAGATGTTTTTCAACTAAAGATATGAAAAGGTGGGGCATAAAAAATGCTCACATGTTACAACTCTTCACTATCAAATTGTTGATCAAATAGGATGTCATTTTGTTCAATGGTTTCTAGTTTCTAAGAAATATGTAACATATGTCAGACAAGGAGTGGGTGTATAATCACTTTTACATGTATATCATGCTCCATATAATTATTTCTGTCTTACCTCTCTATGTGCTCTGATATATTCCCGTGCATATGTCAGACAAGGAGTGGGTGTATAATCACTTTTACATGTATATCATGCTCCATATAATTATTTCTGTCTTACCTCTCTATGTGCTCTGATATATTCCCGTGCATATGTCAGACAAGGAGTGGGTGTATAATGACTTTTACATGTATATCATGCTCCATATAATTATTTCTGTCTTACCTCTCTATGTGCTCTGATGTATTCCCGTGCATATGTCAGACAAGGAGTGGGTGTATAATCACTTTTACATGTATATCATGCTCCATATAATTATTTCTGTCTTACCTCTCTATGTGCTCTGATGTATTCCCGTGCATATGTCAGACAAGGAGTGGGTGTATAATCACTTTTACATGTATATCATGCTCCATATAATTATTTCTGCCTTACCTCTCTATGTGCTCTGATATATTCCCGTGCATCTTCTTTTGCCCACTTTGGAAGCATCACATTATCTAACTGCACACCACTTTGTTTCATCCCTGTTTAAAAGTGTTACATTTAATAATTCCACAAACCAAAAATTACCATAGTTTAGATTTACTTTTTCAATATTTGTAAATGTTTTTTATATGATACGGTAGTTCTGAATCTACATCAAATGTTTTTGCAAATTCTTTAAAGCTAATACATGGCTTGATTGTCATCAGCTCCTTATTGGATAAAAATCAATTATGACTCGACATTTCTTCTTTATTATCTGATTTTGACCAGCATGAAAATAGGTGATCAGCTTAATGACATTGCACAAAAATATACTGTAAATTCAGAAATTATTGCGATGTTTTTATTATTGCGAAAAATGCGACAGGGTTATCATCGCAATAATTAAAACTCGCATTTTGACATTTTTTATATGAATCAAACAGGATTTTTCTGAATATCGCAAAAATTAAAATCGCATTTTAGTCTAAAATGACAAAATCGCAATAATAAATACACGCAATAATTTCTGAATTTACAGTATTCAAATATTAACATATCTCGAAAATAGAAAGTTTGTATCTCATGCAATCTATATAGAATTACACCTGACATTATTGTGATTGATTCTGAATTGTTTCATACCTAAATCAAAGTTGTTAGAATTGCCAAGGAACTCTGGGAGATAAAAGAATTCTGGAATCAGTTCCTTAACATCAGCCATGTTGTTTTTAGAAGCAGAACACCATCCTTCCTTAATACTGTGAAACATTCTATCTGCAAGGTCGAAGTGACCACCCTAAAATAACAATAATGCATGTACTTTAAAACTAAGAAATTGCATATAAATTATAAATTAAAACATATAATGTAATCATATCAATTTAATTTCAAAATAATGATGGATATCTGAACAGTTCATAATTTTTATAAATTTATCCTCAATGTTAAGGATGTTAAAGTGATCAATATACTTAGAGCATTCGGAAAATAAGTTATATAGTAAATCATCGTAAAGTTCAAACTCAAGAAGGAAATGTTTTTTTCATTTTTTACACGTCCCAGATTGCAGAAAAACACAGTCTACCTGGATTTGCGGCCTGGAGTACCTGCCAATCTCATAGACCAAGGGTACTAGTAGTTCACCAACAGAAACAGAGCATATATATGTCACTTCTTTTTTAAATATCCTTAAATATATATTATAGAATTCTATGGAAAAAAATAAAGAAATTTACCTGTAATTTGAGGAAATGTTGTGTAAATGGTTCCATTCTGACTAGATAAGAAGCTACAATCATGGCTGAAGAATAATGAGTTCCATAATGGTATGGTGGGGTTTCACCTAAAAAAAGTCAAATAAGTAAATATTGACTAGAGCATCACAAATAACATATTCCAAGAATTCATTGTGCTCAAATTATCACAAGTCTTTTTTTTAAAATGTGTACCCTCCCTCCAAAATGAAAAAAAAATAAAGAATTGGAGGTTGAAAAAAAAATTGAGATGCAAAAAAGCAGAGTTTCATTGACATTCAGTCATTTTTTTAGAGGATTTGCTTAAATAAGATGTCTACCCTTTATTACATATGACACAGTCCATTTTTTTCTTTGAGAAATTCTAAAACTTATTTTTAATTTAAACATTAAGCAGGAGGTACACAATGCCATTTGATACTATAAACTTCACTTCAGTAAGTGAGGCTATAATTAGTATATTGAGAACATTACCAGATAAAAAAGAAAATATCTTATATGAAAATTTACCTTGAGGATCATCCCAGTCAGTGTACCTTTTCCTAAACTGTGCCAGTCTGTTTGGAGTTTGTGCTCCCATTGGTTTAGCCAGATCTCTAAACGTAGTTTCACTATACAGATCTAACTCCTGAAAATAAACCGATGTAAATAATCATAAAATTTTGACATTCTCGCTTATTAACCTTCTTTCATTTAGAAAATTTCCAACAGACTAAAATTTTCTCAAAAAAAATTTTTTTAAATATGGAATGAAAAAAAATTCAGATAGAAAAATTACTTTTGTAAAATTCTTCTTTATACAGAGTTTAAACTCCTTGATGTTAAAAGCAATGAGTTAAAATTTTAAACCAATCCAATCATTGTTGACCCTTTTAACACCAAATAAACAGTAGTAGTGTGTTTATCCAGTTGTCAGGATATTCTATGAATCCTTCATGTGTGGTATTGACTTTAAAAAAAATTTGATATCAAATCCAAGACAAGACAAGACAAGACAATTTATAACAACTTAGGCTCACGTATGTGCTACAAGAGGATAACAATTATACATGAACAATTACATATAAGATATATATAAGTAACATCTTCACTGTTAATTTTGCAAGAATATATTTGGATTATGCTCAAACTTACTTCAGAATCATAATCTGCCACGACCCACGGAAAGACAGGATACTGCATCAGATCATTGTAAGAACGTCCAGCTAATGTGTTCAGGTGCATTAAATACTGAAAATTGTTTATTTCTCCTCTCTACAAATTTTAAACACAATATTACATAAAGAATACCATAACACACATAAGAAAAATATCACACATACATTATTTCAGCAATCAATTAAACTCTTAACATTTTCATAACTTTTTGAAGATGATATTGTTGAACAATTCACAAGTTTGAATATTTTGCAATATTTTTGACAGTTTTATGCACCTTCAACCAGAAATTCAATACCATAACTTTGCCCAACTAATTCCTTTCAAAAACATCTAAGTCTTATATTTGTTTATTTCAAGACTTGCTAAACTAATCTTACTGAGTACTCTATCTTGGGTAAATTAGTCTGTAATATGATGAAGCAAAACTAACCTTACTGAGTACTCTATCTTGGGTAAATTAGTCTGTAATATGATGAAGCTAAACTAATCTTACTGAGTACTCTATCTTGAGTAAATTAGTCAGTAACATGATGAAGAATACTGAATAAGCATATCAATTTATAACTTTAAAAATAATATCTCAACATAGAGTTACCTCCCATCTCTGTGTAACAGATTTCTCACCAATAAAGGAACTGATCAAACCAGAACTGAAATGGGAAAACACAGTATATCACCATCTCATCTTATTCTATTGCATAAGCATCATTATAATAATACAAATCTTGAAAAAATGTTTGTATCTCAAATATTATTCTGTGTTAATAAAAATGTATCTAAAACAATATTTTCATATTCAAGGTTCTTTTAATTCTTTTAACCCTCAAACTATTCTATTTTCCGTTTTGATTCTTCAAATTGGCCCACTCAATATATCTTCAAAAATCTACTTTTACTTTTAAAATCATGACCCAATATACCTTTCAAAGGCACTATACTATGTTTACCTTGCTTCAATTTTGGCTCCCACTTTTTGTCCAGATACTGACTGCTGAGCATTATCTGTCATCTCATTTGCTACTGATAAAAATCTGTAACACAAATAGGTAAGATGAGCTAGTTATCACAAATAATTATGTTCCCCATCATACATATTTTAGAGAATAGTAGCTCAAAATAAGTACACAATTTACAGTTAAAAATGCATATCTTTTCCTCCAATAGGAAGTTGCATGCAACAGGTGTTTAAATGTTTCCCCTTGTATACCTACACAACTATCTATTGTGTTGTTGCTGTGATATATGCAGCAAATATTACCTACATGTGTAAGCCAACACATAATTTTATTGAACATGAACTCGATATGTCACAGAAACTAGGATATACTGCCAGTTAAGGATGTTCGCTTGTCATGTTTTGGAATTTTTGTCAGATTTTCAGAATCCTCTGGTTTTATTCATTTGAATGCCTTAAAAAATTTTGCCCACTAAACCCCCATTTTTCTTTTTATAAATCTTTTACATGTATACCTATAAGCCATCTGTAAAAGTCTTATAAAATCTTTGTTACTTTTTAATAGTTTTTGAGAACTTAAACTTGTCAATGATAAAGCTATGAAAATTCAAGAGAGAACATTTTCCCGCCAAAATTTCAATGGCTAATATCTCAAGCACACGGACCTATATTTTTTTTCTCGCTCTTTTTGTTCCTTTATTAATCCCCTATCAATATATACTAGTGTTATGAAAAGCTTGTTATTTTGAAACTGAGTAGCGAACTTCCTTAAAGCTGACCTAGATAAATTCAACATTGTGAGATTTGTAGTTGTAGACCTAGTAAACACTTTTTCATCATTAAAATGGAAGTTAAATGCATAAGGTGTGAATTAATATCACTGTAGATCTGACCTAGTAGAAGCATGGTACAAAATGTTAGCATGCTTCAAATTTAAATGCACAGAAATGTGAATTATTTTTATATTACTGTTCATGCATCTTGCAACCAAAAACTTATGTGTTTTGGGCTATAGCTTCTACGAGACCTTGTTCATTGGTGTTCTAACAAATATCTATTTGCCATTATATGTTGTACTCACTTTGCATAGACTTTATTCCTTAGCTTTCTGGGAAATGCTAAGAGGTAATTTCTTCCATCAGAAGAGAAGACTTCTACTGCTATAGGTTGTAACAAGTACCTTCTCTTGTGAACTTCTTTGATATCATCATAAGCAAATTTACTGTTCCTGTTCAAAAACCAAAGATTTATAATAAAACAATGTAATAATTCTTAAAATTTAACATTGTATTCCATTCTTAAATGAATATAACACAGAACATGAACTTACCTTGCACTTTTTTAGGAAGGCATGCTGACCCATCCCATTTTGTTCAAATTTCTTCACTTTGTCTATCATTTATGCTTAGATTCATTATTTTTAATCATTAGTTATTTTATACATTTCATTGACTGTTTTAATTTGTTACCATGTGGCCTTTTCTAGTGGCATTAATATAATTTCAAATGCTACAGTACCATGCTCTTTTTGCTAAAAAAAAAGAGCAAATGGAGAATGCATTCTTGGGACACAGATGATGCCCCCACTTGCATATAACGTTATAAAGGGGAGAACGGTAAAAGTGACGTCACCCCAATTCGAACTTGATCTGTGTTTTGTGGTAATAAGCATTGTGTATAAGTTTCATAACATTTGGATGAGGCAAACTAAAGTTAGAGAACAGATCAATTTTGGGACATATGTATGTATAGTCGGACGAACAGATGGGTTTACAAGGGTAACACTTAATGCCCCCTTCGATGACAGCAGGGCATAAAAAGAAAACAAAAAACTCTACTATAATGTACTAGATTTCAAATTAATCATGTCTACTTTAACATTATTTTGCATATCCTTAACGTATTTAGTTGGACAGGCATTCCATCTACCCTTTCTAACTTTTTGCATCATTTTAAACAGAATTGAACAGTTCATGTGCCCTTTCTACTACAAGGCTTTGCTTAAAATCATAGAGAATCAAATTACTTAAAACTGATTTCAAAATTGAGTTTCTTTAATGAAAATAAGAAGCTCATGAAATAATTTTGCATATTTATTCTCTGTTCACAAAGTTTTCACTGTTCATTGCATGTAACATGTATTGTCTTATTTCAACAGTATTTCATTGAAACACTTAAACTAATACTTACGTTCGCTTGTGTGAACATGATCCCTTAGATGGTATGATAGGATCATGAAGGCTGAAGAGGAAGGAAACGATCTTTAAATATGTAATAAAAATAAGTAAGATAAATTTTCTCAAAATAATAGATTTGAAACTTATTGACATTGTCTTTAAAAAGTCTTACATATACTGTAAATTCAGAAATTATTGCGATTTTTTAAAATTTGGAAAAAATGTGAGATTAATCATTGCGATTTCAGGAAAAGGTAAATATAAATATACGTATTAGATATCATAATGCAAGGTCTTTTTATTGTGATACTCATGCAATCGCTTATTCGCATCAATAAAAACCTCGCAATAATTTCTGAATTTACAATAATTTATCAGTACACTTTATGAATGGATCATTCAAATTGTTCATCCAAAATAATGCATCTACAATGTCTTGTTTCTCCCATGGAAATTCATTACAAATATCATTTCTAAAATCTTATAAATAATATGTTAATAAAATCATGTGCTTACTCAAGTGGTAGACTGTCAATATCTCTAATTTCTCTGGATTTTAACATGGTCAAGCCATCTATAATATAAAAGTATTCCTTCCCAAACAGCAACAGTCCCTCAGCAGTGTCCAAACCCTGGATTCTGGCACAACGGAAAATATTGGTGATCTGAAACAATAAAACTTGTCTTATCTTTCAAGTCACAGTGCAAGAATTACCTGTAATCTGGTGATTTTCATTGTTTGCAGTCCGCCATAATTGTTTTTTATCGTTTGTTGGTGTTTTATAAATCAAGATGTTGGTTTTTTCTTTTGAATTTTTTTCACAATGTGTCATCACAGGGCCTTGCATAACTTTATCATTTGATATAGGTTTTGCTAAATGCTTAATCTCTTTAATATCTGAGCTGCGTAAGATAGAAATTGACCGTATGCAAATGAATATCAATACATCTGTTCACTTATTTTGGGTTGAAAAAATCTTTATGCAAAGCCTGTAATTGTTTTAAAAATGACTACAAAACAGACCAAAATTCATCTTTTATTTCATATTTGAATGTTTTATGTATATGTGCACTTGCATAAGGTCAATCTATATCCGACGTAGCTCATCTCATATCATAACTTTTTCTTTATAAATATTAAATCGATTTCTTTAATATTACAATGAAAAATCATTAATTCAGATAACAAGCACAAATACTGCCAGATTGCAATTTAACAATGTTATAATGAATTATTGAACACGAAATTTAACAAATATAATGAATGAATACAATACCTTCTCTCCCTCCCCAAGAATCCTAAATATAGCTTGGTTATTATCGGACCTGCTGTTGGTTTGTACATCTGTTTGGTTATCAGATTTACCATCAGTTTGATCACCTTGTCCTTCACTAGGACCATCTGCTTTGTCGGTCTCTGTATTATTATCAGTTGTAATTATTTCCTCTATATCTTCATCCAGATCGGTGGACTTCTGATCTGTTTTTCTAGGTACTAACTTTGGCAAAATATCTGGAAAAAAGTTGATTCATTGTATGCATGTCAAAATTCTTTAAATCAGTATCATGATCATTTTTATCTGATTTTAGACATGAAAAGTAAAAACATGACTCAAATAAAAGAAGAAACAGGCAAACTAAAAATTAACAGTATTATTCATTGACCCAATATATGATTGGAAAAACTTGGGCAAGTGGGTAAATTCAGGGAGTGACTTGCCAAAAAAACTGGTCAGTAGACAGGTACTTACAGGGATCTGCTTTGCCATATATCAGTTAAGTCAGGTTTTGAAATCTACAAGTGATTTTTGGGATTTGCTTTTACCATCATGTAACATGTCTGTTACTAGCAACACTGGTAGTAACATGTTTTAATACAAGTAATTTATCTATAAATCGTTCCGGTCTTTAATACTGACCTTCAGGTGACCTTTCCTCTGCACTGTCTTCACTACCACTGCCAACATTTGTACCAATCTGTATGGGCAGTATTTCATTGCCTAATCCTATCAAAGTCTTGGGCAAGTACCTCTCATAATATTCTCTACTGTCTAAGCACATTGCTACCTTATACTTCAGTGGCTACAAAATAAAGCAATTATGGTTATCAAACACCTAATTTTCCCCTTATAAGGCCCAAAATAAAATAAGAATTGATTGATGTTGCCTACCTACCCATCTAAAAAGCAGCCTACCTGAAAAATTTTATGACACAAATTGTTTCAAATTTTTTTTTTTACTTTTTTTTCGAGCTCTAACGTTGTTTTCTTGTCTAAAACATGTACTTTATGTTGTTGGCCAAAAAAAATTAATAAAATCTCTACCTACCTACCCAACTCTACAAGGCATGGGTAGGCAACATCAAACAAAGAATTTGTTAAGGGTGGTCTAAATGATATGAAATATTGATTGATTGGTGGTTGCTTTACATCGCATCAGCACAAAAAGGCTATATTGTGGCGAGATAAGAAATACACAGAAAGAAAAGATAAACAAGAATGTGGCAATAGTACATGGATGCACCACTCACACTATCATTTTCTATGTTCCGTGGACCGTGAAATTGGGGTCAAAACTCTAATTTGGCATTAAAATTAGAAAGATCATATCAAAGGGAACATGTGTACTTAGTTTCAAGTTGATTGGACTTCAACTTCATCAAAACTAGAGGCTCTCAAGAGCCTGTGTCGCTCACCTGACTCTACTTTGGTTTTAGAAATCATGTAAAGATAGATAAAAATCATAACAGATACCCAAATAATGATTGAGGCCAAATTTTGATTAATATTGGTCCCGTTATTTAATTAAATATCCTGGTGGCCATCTTGAAGAGTAAATCAGCAACAAAGTAGCAACACTTGGTCAGCACTTCATAAGGAACATTTATGCCATGTTTGGTTTCATTCCATTCAGTGGTACTCTAAAAGAAGACATTTGTATGTATTTCCCATAGGGTCCTATGTTAAACTAAGCCCCCCCCCCCAACGGCCATCTTGGATGATGGATCGACTGCAAAGTAACAACACTTGGTCAGCAACTCATAAGAAACATTCATGCCATGTTTGGTTCAATTCCATTCAGTGGTTCTCTAAAAGAAGACAATTGTATGTATTTCCCATAGGGTCCTATGTTAAACTAAGAACCCCGCTGTCGGCCATCTTGGATGATAGATCGGCTGCAAAATTACAACGCTTAGTCAACATCTCATAAGGAACATTCATGCCATGTTTGGTTCCATTCCATTTATTGGTTCTCTAAAAGAAGACATTTTTATGTATTTCCCAAAGGGTCCTATGTAAAACTAAGTCCCCCGCTGGCGGCCATCTTGGATGATGGATCGGCTACAAAGTAACAACACTTGGTGAGCACCTCATAAGGTAGATTCATGCCATGTTTGGTTTCATTCCATTCAGTGGTTCTCTAAAAGAAAACATTTGTATGTATTTCCCATAGGTCCAATGTTAAACTAAGTCCCCCGCTGGCGGCCATCTTGGATGATGGACCGACTGCAAAGTAACAACACTTGGTCAGCAACTCATAAGGAACATTCATGCCATGTTTGGTTCCATTCCATTCAGTGGTTCTCTAAAAGAAGACATTTTTATGTATTTCCCATAGGGTCCTATGTTAAACTAAGTCCCCCGCTGGCGGCCATCTTGGATGATGGATCGGCTACAAAGTAACAACACTTGGTCAGCACCTCATAAGGAACATTCATGCCATGTTTGGTTTCATTCCATTCAGTGGTTCTCTAAAAGAAGACAATTGTATGTATTTCCCATAGGGTCCTATGTTAAACTAAGAACCCCGATGGCGGCCATCTTGGATGATGGATCGGCTATAAAGTAACAACACATGGTCAGCACCTCATAAGGAACATTCATGCCATGTTTGGTTTTATTCCATTCAGTGGTTCTCTAAAAGAAGTCATTTGTATGCATTTCCCATAGGGTCCTATGTTAAACTAAGTCCCCTGCTGGCGGCCATCTTGGATGATGGATCGGCTACAAAGTAACAACACTTGGTGAGCACCTCATAAGGAACATTCATGCCATGTTTGGTTTCATTCCATTCAGTGGTTCTCTAAAAGAAGTCATTTGTATGCATTTCCCATAGGGTCCTATGTTAAACTAAGTCCCCCGCTGGCGGCCATCTTGGATGATGGATCGGCTACAAAGTAACAACACTTGGTCAGCACCTCATAAGGAACATTCATGCCATGTTTGGTTTCATTCCATTCAGTGGTTCTTTAGAAAAAGTTCAAAATGTAAAAAGTTAACGCAGACGACGGACGACGACGGACGACGCCGGACGACGCCGGACGACGACGGACGACGGACGACGGACGCCAAGTGATGAGAAAAGCTCACTTGGCCCTTCGGGCCAGGTGAGCTAAAAAGCTGTTTCACACAATCCCATTTTCAGGTTCAATGAACCGTAAAATTTGGACCAAAACCCAAATTTGCCATACTTTTTAGAAAGTCCCAATCATAATGACTATGTATGCAAAGTTACAAGTGGATGCAACTTTAACTTCATCATAAACTACCTTGACCAAAAACTTAAACCTGACACAGGACAGATGGACAAACAGACAAACGACGAACAAATGAACGGACGCACAGACCAGAAAACATAATGCCCCTACTACTCTCTTGCCATAAAAAGCAAATGAAATATTTTTTTTATTACTTTTGTATATAACACTTTCCAATTCAACAGAACCTGCATTCCCTAGCTTACATAAAGGGACTTACACTGTTCTCTAAATCTGGTCTATAAGGATAGTGGGTGTAGAACAAATCATTGAAAACCATTTTCTTCCTCATCCTACACGGTCCCTCTGTTACATCTAACATCCATTTGTCAAACCTGGATCCAACATATGGACCCCATAGTCCTTTCTCTCTTAATAACTCATTCTCACACTGTTCCCATTCTTCAACCAGATATCTCTCCATGTGTTCATGTCCCTGTAATAGAAAATTTAGGTCAATTGTATATCCTTCCATTTCTAAAAAAATTTATTTCAAGTTAATTATGAAAAAATACTGCCCTTTTTATTACATGCAATAAACTCATTTCAATGGAAAACAGATTCTCCTTAAATATTTCAATTAAAAACTATATAAATGATACCTTTTTGCAACTCAGTTGCTTCAGTAATAAGATTATTGTCTTACCTGAAGATACTGTTGGAACTGTAACTGTACTAAATCTCTCACGACTGCCATGTGTGTCAAGGTCCAGGAAATGTAGTCCTAATGAAACAGATTAGTAAATAAAATGCTCCGCAGGGCGCAGCTTGATACGACCGCAGAGGTCGAACCCTGAACAGTTGGGGCAAGTATGGACACAACATTCAAGCTTGATACAGCTCTGAATTTGGATTGTGATTAAATATTTGACACAGCATAGGTTTCTGACACAGAATGAATGTGGTCTAAGAACTTAAAAATTTTAAATTGGACATTCACCTATTATGGTCCAATATCCAAAATCTAAATACATGGTTAGATTCAGCATATCAAAGAACCCCAAGAATTCAATTTTTGATGAAATCAAACAAAGTTTAATTTTGGACCCTTTTGATCTCAATGTGGACAAAAATGATAACAGGGCCCAAAAATCAAAAATCTAAATACATGGTTAGATTCAGCATATCAAAGAACCCCATATATTCAATTTTTGTTGAAATCAAACAAAGTTTAATTTTGGACCCCGATTTGGACCAACTTGAAAACTGGGCCCATAATCAAAAATCTAAATACATGTTTAGATTCAGCATATCAAAGAACCCTAAAAATTCAATTTTTGTTAAAATCAAACTAAGTTTAATTTTGGACCCTTTGGACCTTTATGAAGACCAATTTGAAAACAGAACCAAAAATTAAGAATCTAAATACACGGTTAGATTCGGCATATCAAAGAACCCCAATAATTCAATTTTTGATGAAATCAAACAAAGTTAAATTTTGGACCCTTTGGACTTCAATGTGGACCAATTTAAAAACGGGGCCCAAAATCCAAAAACTTAATACACGGTTAGATTCAGCATATTACAGAACCCCATATATTCAATTTTTGTTGAAATCAAACAAAGTTTAATTTTGGACCCCGATTTGGACCAACTTGAAAACTGGGCCCATAATCAAAAATCTAAATACATGGTTAGATTCAGCATATCAAAGAACCCCATATATTCAATTTTTGTTGAAATCAAACAAAGTTTAATTTTGGACCCCGATTTGGACCAACTTGAAAACTGGGCCCATAATCAAAAATCTAAATACATGGTTAGATTCAGCATATCAAAGAACCCCATATATTCAATTTTTGATGAAATCAAACAAAGTTTAATTTTGGACCCTTTTGATCTCAATGTGGACAAAGTTGATAACGGGGCCCAACAATCAAAAATCTAAATACATGGTTAGATTCAGCATATCAAAGAACCCCATATATTCAATTTTTGTTGAAATCAAACAAAGTTTAATTTTGGACCCCGATTTGGACCAACTTGAAAACTGGGCCCATAATCAAAAATCTAAATACATGGTTAGATTCAGCATATCAAAGAACCCCATATATTCAATTTTTGTTGAAATCAAACAAAGTTTAATTTTGGACCCCGATTTGGACCAACTCGAAAACTGGGCCCATAATCAAAAATCTAAATACATGGTTAGATTCAGCATATCAAAGAACCCCATATATTCAATTTTTGTTGAAATCAAACTAAGTTTAATTTTGGACCCTTTGGACCTTTATGTAGACCAATTTGAAAACAGAACCAATAAAATGCTTCGCTGGGGCGCAGCTTGATACGACCGCAGAGGTCGAACTCGAACAGTTGGGGCAAGTATGGACACAAAATTCAAGCTTGATACAGCTATGACTTTGGATTGTCATTAAATATTTGACACAGCATAGGTTTCTGACACAGGATGAATGTGGTGTAAGAACTGGAAAAAATTTAATTTACCTATTATGGTGGAATCTCCATAAACTAAATTGTTTGTTAATTTCAATATATCAAAGAATATGTAGAATTCAATGTTTGATGTAATGTAATAAAGTTGAAATTTGGACCGTTTTTGTTCAATGTGGACCAATTTGGTAACATGTATAAATAATCAAAAATCTAAATACATGGGAGCCCATTTAAATACATCATAAAGGTATTAAAATAGAAAGTGACATCATAGTCATGGCTAAAAATAAACAAAAATCCTTAATCAGCAACATTTAAAGTAATATCTAAAAATAAAATTCCTTTGTAACCATAAAAGCCCATTTAAATACATCATAAAGATATTAAAATAGAAAATGACATCATAGTCATGGCTAAACATAGCAAAAAACCCTTAATCAGCATCATTTAACAGTAATATCTAAAAATGGAAATTACATCATCAAGGTATTAAAATAGAAAATGACATCATAGTCATGGCTAAAAATAAACAAAATCCTTAATCAGCATCAGCAACATTTTATAGTAATATCTAAAAATAAAATTCCTTTGTAACCATAAAAGCCCATTTAAATACATCATAACAGATATTAAAATAGAAAATGACATCATAGTCATGGCTAAACATAGCAAAAACCTTAATCAGCATCATTTAACAGTAATATCTAAAAATAAAAATTTCTTTGCAACCATAAAAGTAAAATAGAAAATGACATCATAATCATAGCTAAAAATAAACAAAATTTTTTTTTATTGGCAAATTTTAAATGGAGTTTATTATACTAAAACAATAAATTTGCAACCATAAACATGATAAAACCCCATTTAAACACATCATAAAAGTATTAAATAATTCAACTACATCATAAGGCTATAAAAATAGAAAATGACTTCATAGTCAAGGCTAAAGGTAAACAAAAAACCTTCATCAGCAAAATTTTATATTGGCAAATTTCCAATGAAGTTTATTACACTAAAATTGTTGGCTAATTTCCAATGCATTTATTAACAATAAAGTTATTGGCAAATTTCCAATTTACATAATTTAAAAGCAGTGTAGATGAGATATTTAAATGAGTTTGAATTACCAACCTTACACTGCTTTTAAATAATGTTCTTTACTCAATTATTTGTCTATTAAAATGGAAACCCTTGTTTTTTAACCTTTTTTCCCCTTATTCCTTAAACATTAGAGCACACTAAAAAAATCCTTATTTTCAACCAATATTTGGCCCCTTATTCATAAATGTTTGAGCAATTAACCCCAAAACTCAATTCCTACTTTCTCTTCGTGATAAAAAATAACTAACTTAAAATGTAAATTTTAAACAAAAAAAAAAGGAAAAAAAAAAATTACCCCTTTTTTTACCCCCGCCCCCCTTATGATTCATCACCCCCACCCCCATTTCCCCCCAAACCAAGCTCAATAACAGCCTTGCCTTTGTGGTATGGTACCTTGTAATACAATTTTAGAGAGATCCATACACTTGAACACAAGTTATTGTCTAGAAACTAAAAAATGCTTATTTTAAACCCCTTTTTAGGCCCCTTATTACTAAACGTTTTGGGCAATTACCACAACACTCAATTCCAGCTTTCCCTTTGTGAAATGGAACCTTGTAGTAAAATTTCAGAAAGATCCATACACTTACACACAAGTTATTGTCATGAAACTAGAAAAATGCTTGTTTTTTGCCCCCTTTTGGCCCCTTATTCCTAAAATTTTGAGGCAATTAACCCCAAAATCAATCCCAGCATTGACCCTTTGTGATATGGAATCTTGTGGTACAATGTCAAAGAGATCCATATGCTAACACACAAGTTATGTCTGGAAGTTACAAAAATGCTTATTTTCGGCCCCTTTTTGGCCCCTAATTCCTTAACTGTTGGTACCATAACCCCCAAAATCAATCCCCACTTTCCTATTGTGGTATTGAACCTTATGGTAAAATTTCATAGAGATCCATTCACTTAAACTAAAGTTAGAGTGCGAAAACCATTGTGTATTCGGACGACGACGCCGGACGACGACGACGACGACGACGACGACGACGACGACGCCAACGTCATACCAATATACGACCTCAAAATTTTTTTGCGGTCGTATAAAAATTAAGAATCTAAATACACGGTTAGATTCGGCATATCAAAGAACCCCAATAATTCAATTTTTGATGAAATCAAACAAAGTAAAATTTTGGACCATTTGGACCTCAATGTGGACCAATTTAAAAACGGGGCCCAAAATCCAAAAACTTAATACACGGTTAGATTCAGCATATTAAAGAACCCCAAGAATTCAAGAATAAAACCCTATTGAAATTGATCAAGAAATAAGCAATTTATAGGAAGTATCTTCTTTTGCACAATACTGTGCAATTGATTATTTCTTGCTATTGCGCAATACTGTACAATTGACAATTTCTTGCTATTGCGCAATATTGTGCTATTGGATATTTCTTGCTATTGCGCAATACTGTGCAATTGAAGATTTCTTGCTATTGCGCAATACTGTGCAATTGAAGATTTCTTGCTATTGTGCAATACTGTGCAATTGAAAATTTCTTGCTATTGCACAATACTTATAATATAATAATTTACACATCCTGTTTGGTGTGTATCTCCTACCATATCATTATTATTTGCTTTTAAATATAAATCAGAAATAACCAACTTAAAATGGAAAATTTTAAAAGAAAAAAAAAAAGGAAAAAAAGAAAAAAAGAAATCCCCCCCCCAAAATTTTTTGAACCCCCTTATGATTCATCACCCCAAACTCAATCTCAGCCTTCCCTTTGTGGTATGGTACCTTGCAGTACAATTTCAGAGAGATCCATACACTTGAACACAAGTTATTGTCTGGAAACTAGAAAAATGCTTATTTTTGGCCCCTTTTTGGCCCCCAATTCCTAAACGTTTCGGGCAATTACCCCCAAACTCAATTCCAGCTTTCCCTTTGTGATATGGAACCTTGTAGTACAATTTCAGAAATATCCAAGCACTTACACACAAGTTATTGTCATGAAACTAGAAAAATGCTTGTTTTTTGCCCCTTTTTTGGCCCCTAATTCCTAAAATTTTGAGGCAATTACCCCCAAAATCAATTACAGCCTTCCCTTTGTGATATGGAACCTTGTGGTACAATGTCAGAGAGATCCATACACATACACACAAGTTATTGTCTGGAAGTTACAAAAATGCTTATTTTTGGCCCCTTTTTGGCCCCTAATTCCTTAACTGTTGGTACCATAACCCCCAAAATCAATCCCAACCTTCCTTTCATGGTATTGAACCTTATGGTAAAATTTCATGGAGATCCATTCACTTAAACTAAAGTTAGAGTGCGAAAACCAATGTGTCTTCGGACGACGCCAGACGACGCCGAACGACGACGACGACGACGACGACGACGACGACGACGCCAACGTCATACCAATATACGACCAAAAAATTTTCAATTTTTGCGGTCGTATAAAAAGGAAAAAAATGTATAAATTCAAGGATAAGGTAATTGGAAAATGGAAAGCAGTCGTTTTAAAGCTGCATATTCTAAATTTCCAAAACATTTTTGGTTTATCTGGTCTCAATCAAACAAAATATAAGTACTAACCTTAAATATAAAGTTACAATATCTTTTTATTAAACTAAAGCAATTACTACTATAGAGCTTACTGGTACATTAATTCTTATCAAGATGTTGTTAAAAATACTGATTTTTTAATTTTTAATTTTAATTTCTAATTTTTTTAGATAAATTGTCCTTAATATTTTTATATTTGGTTAAAATATCTTGTGAAGCAAAAAAATAACCTAGAACAATATATTTATAGGTTTTATAGTTTATTTTACTAATCTATACATTAGCAATGAACACCATACTTACTGTCATATGAACTGTAGACGAGGGTGAAGATTTTAAAGGTAGATCTTTTTTATTTTTCCTTACTGAAAATTTCAGGACAGCATTTCCCATTTTAGCTATTTTCTGGAAAATATTTATTTCAATTATGGATCAACAACAATAAATCTTTTGTATAATTAAACAAAGAATTTAAACTCATTATCTAATATACTTTGCTTTAAACATATCAGAAATTTCAAATACTGTGGATTCGTGGGTACCAATTTTCGTGGATTGAGAAAAATTTGTTTTTTTATGGATATCTGATTTCCTGATTTTAGCAAAGTGTACATACATGCCCATAGAAGATTTATACTTTGATTAACATTTAATCTTTGATTCACTGATACAAACGAAATCCACAAAAATTGGTATTCCCAGGAATAATAATTAATCCATAGTTTGAAGTAAATTTATATCCTTAAAGAATACAGAGCTGAGAAGACTAGTATATTTGGTTCTATCATAATGTAAAGCAGATCCAGCAGAAAAACGTATGAGAAAGTAACAGATGAAACTTACAGACTGAATTTGAGCTGGTATTCTATCTGTGTAGGAGAAGTTACATTTTCTCTCATTCTCAACATACTGTACCCAAACTTTTGAAGCTGATTCCTGTATTAACCCTCTGAAATATAAGCTTTTTTTTATAGTGTAGACAGATTTTTTACATTTTAAGAAAACACAGGATATGTGATAACACAGCTCCTGAAATTGCAAAAATAATGTTCTCCAATTGTTTCCAAATAGTGTTAGTTCTACTGATAAATGAATAGGGTTATGTAATCTTGATACTTCAGTACAGAATAGACAGTTAAAATGTCACTGTGATGTCATTAGAATGTTGAAATTGGCGTATTTGACCAAAAAGACCATTTTACACTTAGTTTTTGATAATTACGATATGAGGGAAATATAAGAGATATTCTAATCCAATTAACATCTTTCTATAAGATATCTTGTAGCCACATATCTTTTCGGGTAAAGCCTTTGATCATATCAAAATATTAATGACAAGATCTCTAAATAAAGGTTTTTTTTTTTACAGATTTAGCAGTTTTGCAACAATAATATCAAGTTTGACAAATTTAATCAAATGATTTAGGTCTATTGCTATCCATAAACATTCAAAAGTTAACTTTTCGGCCTGGGCGCAAAGGTGCCACTAGTTGGCTTGAATAAAACCATCAAATAACTGTACTATTGGGAGGTAAATTTTGAATTGTTGATAAATAAATATAAATTTTGTTGTTTGTGTAGTGTGTACAAAATATATTATGATCATGCAGTTTACTTAATTTCATTATACCTGCAGTCAATTCTTAGAGGAAATCACTAAAGTGAGACATGAATATTCTTACCTGACAGTATTCAAATCTGGTGATGTGAAGTCTGTACTCATGGAGTCAATATTATTTAACTGTGTCTTAAATACTTCTTCTAGAGACTAAAAGTAAGTAGTAAAGATTTAAAGATGTATCAAGGGAAAGTAATACAATAAAAGATCAGAATAACTTTTATTAGAAGAAATACAAACTTGCACTAAATTATCTTTAAGATGAAGATATGTAAGATTTCTAAACCTGTAAACACATGACTTTATTTGACCTGAAAAATTAGATTTTATCAATTGTAATTATATGTCATACTTACTTAATGCAGTATTAATGACAAGTTAGCAAATCTATGAGTGTAGTGAACTACAAAAACTTACAGGTTTCTTGTGTGCATATAGTTCTTCCCAGACTCTTTTTGATGCTTTACAGACCAATAAATGTCCCTCTGGAACTGCACTGCCCTCTATAACAAAATCATTGTAAGGATCTTCTTCTCCTAAGTTTACATGCCATGTTGTTGTCATAGCTTGTCCTCCATGTAAGTTAGATGACCTGAAAATAATGAACTATTGATCAAACTTCTCATGTATGGTTTTTTTATTTTCTAAAATCAAATCACAGACAAGAATTAAACCAAAGATCTTATGCACTGACCATAAATGATCAATTCAGAAATTACATTCCATTCATAAATAATTCGTAAATAACTTTTCAAGTTTTCAACATCCTCATAAACTTTTTATGTTTTCAGTTCTCATATTGCAACACAATTTCTTAACTGATCTATTAAAATTGTCAGGTAAGTTTTTATCAAATTTTTTTATGTTAGCTGTACGACTCTGTCTTAAACCATTTTGTTTGATCAAATATTTAAATTAATTCAGTTTTCGACACTTACTTTATACATAGAAAGTAAAAATAAGAAACTTGATAACAGAATATGTTTATCAGATTAAGTACAAAGAACAAAGTAAAGTTCGTTTGTTTTCTAGGTAGAACAGGAAATCTAGATAACCATGATAAAAGAATATAAATTGGCCAGTCAAATCATAAAATGGGTAAATAATGGATGATTGAAAAACCAGACTGATTCTGTATTTACAACAGCAAATTAAGAACTAAAGGTCCTCCTAAATGAGGCAAACATGAATTTTATGAACTAAATTCACACTGTGATACTTGAATTATAAGCATCCCTAAAACCACTTTTGAACAAATCAAACAAAAAGTTAAATAAAAACACAGTATTCAATAATATTTTGTTGCACTGACTTGTTTTGAAAGGTCCCCCATCTTTGACATTTGAATAACTTGGCCTGTATGCCAAGGTTCGTTATCATTAGTTATATTTTGTGTAAAAATCCAGATACAAACATTTGCTAATATATTGTAAGCAAGTTCTGATTACAAATCATGTTTTGTAATTATCTGATATATCTGTAAAACCAAACAGATAAGTGAGAGGACAGATGAAGTACCCATGATCTTATTTTTAAAGAAAATAATATTTAGCAGTTGTGGATCACAATTACAAAGAATAAAATGTATATTGTATATAAATATATACATGTATATAAATCTTCTGAGCAGAAAAAAAAGATATAGGTGATTACAATTTAGATCAGGTGAAATATATACAATACAAATGTAATTTAAATACCAAATAAAATGCCCTGCTGGGCGCAGCTTGATACGACCGCAGAGGTCAAACCCTGAACAGTTGGGGCAAGTATGGACACAACATTCAAGCTTGATACAGCATTGAATTTGGATTGTGATTAAATATTTGACACAGCATAGGTTTCTGACACAGAATGAATGTGGTCTAAGAACTTAAAAAAATTTAATTTACCTATTCAAACCATATCATTATTATTTGCTTTTATATATAAATCAGAAATAACCACTTTAAAATGGAAAAATTTAAAGAAAAAAAAAGGAAAAAAAGGAAAAAAAATCCCTTCCCCAAATTTTTTGAACCCCCTTATGATTCATCACCCCCAAACTCAATCCCAGCCTTCCCTTTGTGGTATGGTACCTTGCAGTACAAGTTCAGAGAGATCCATACACTTGAACACAAGTTATTGTCTGGAAACTAGAAAAATGCTTGTTTTTAGACCCCTTTTTGGCCCCAAATTCCTAAACATTTAGGGCAATTACCCCAAAACTCAAACCCAGCTTTCCCTTTGTAATATGGAACCTTGTAGTACAATTTCAGAAAGATCCATACACTAACACACAAGTTATTGTCCTGAAACTAGAAAAATGCTTGTGTTTTGCCCCCTTTCGGCCCCTAATTCCTAACATTTTGAGGCAATTACCCCCAAAATCAATCCCAGCCTTCCTTTTGTGGTATGGTATCTTGCAGTACAATTTCAGAGAGATCCATACACTTAAACACAAGTTATTGTCTGGAAACTAGAAAAATGCTTATTTTTGGCCACTTTTTCGCCCCTTATACCTCAATGTTTTTGGCAATTACCCCCAAACTCAATTCCAGCTTTCCCTTTGTGATATGGAACCTTGTAGTACAATTTCAGAAAGATCCATACACTTACACACAAGTAATTGTCATGAAACTAGAAAAATGCTTATTTTTTGCCCCTTTTTTTGCCCCTAATTCCAAAATTTTTGAGGCAATTACCCCCAAAATCAATCCCAGCCTTCCTTTAGTGGTATGGTATCTTGCAGTACAATTTCAGAGAGATCCATACACTTAAACACAAGTTATTGTCTGGAAACTAGAAAAATGCTATTTTTGGCCACTTTTTGGCCCCTTATTCCTCAACGTTTTTGGCAATTACCCCCAAACTCAATTCCAGCTTTCCCTTTGTGATATGGAACCTTGTAGTACAATTTCAGAGAGATCCATACACTAACCCACAAGTTATTGTCTGGAAGTTACAAAAATGCTTATTTTTGGCTGCTTTTTGGCCCCTAATTTCTTAACTGTTTGTACCATAACCCCCAAAATCAATCCCAACCTTCCTTTTGTGGTATTGAACCTTATGGTAAAATTTCATAGAGATCCATTCACTTAAACTAAAGTTAGAGTGCGAAAACCAATGTGTCTTCGGACGACGACGACGACAATGTCATACCAATATACGACCACAAATTTTTTTTCGGTCGTATAAAAACTATTTTTGCCGTCAGCATTTAAAGTTTTTTGCTACAAATGTGAAAAAGCTTTTATAAATTGAACATTGGATATTTGTAAAAGTCTGGAATACCACAGCTTTAAATAAGTGAGAAAACACAGCAAAGCATTATAAACTGTCAGTATAAGAATATAAATATACCAATAGTAAATAAGCAATTAAAGCAAGGTGAGTCAGTCCTATACATGTATCCGGTTAAGATAACATTTTATTACATCTGATTTACTTACTTGTAACTGTTGTAAAAAAATAGTAATCACATTAAAAGCTGAATCAATATTTAACTATTTTCTCTTCATTGTAATTGATTAAATTTTCAAAATAGTGCTTATGTTGTACAGAAATGCTAAATCTATAAAATCTTCAGCAGACATGTGAACTCTAAGTAGCTTGGTTCAAATATTACTGGTCTTCAGGTCATTCCTTGTTAGTTTGGCTTTTTGGTGCTTTTTTCACATTATTGTTTGAAAAATCTAATTCTATGACACCTGCAAAATGTATTATATATTTAAAAAGTTGAAATAGCAAAAATTACTCTGCAAAAATATCTATTACAGTAAATAAAGCAGTAAATCTACATGAATCGTCATTATCTAATCAGCTTTGCAAGCAATAGTTGAATTTCTTTTTATCCAAATTTAATTTTGCATGTTGTAAAGACATTACCCTTTCTCTGGATCCTCTGTAAGTTGTAACAAACAGTAACACAGACACACAAGGAACTCTGTATCATAATTGTTTGGTCCAAACACAAGACTTCTGTTACTGGTTAGTTTGTGTAGGGCATCCAGTACACCTGTTGATGAGGCTACATTGGTGAGCGGGCGAGACAGCTGGTAGAGAATGGTTCTGTTTAGAGATTTATAGATCAGATCCAGAGATACACCAGAAGCTGCAAAGAAATCATCATTTAGTAACTATAATTACTTCTTATAAGCTCATTTGGGGTTACATCTTACAAAGTCTAACCGAATTATTTTGAAAAGAATTCTGGTCTTGAGATGAAGAATAGCAATACAAACGCTGTTCCTTTGCTTTTTGTGTGTTTTTTGCTGTGCATGTACTGATTTTGTGTCATGTATAGATACCCCATGTCCTTTGTTTTTCTATAATGGTTACAGTCATATTTAAAATTAATTTAAATAGAAATGGTTTGCATGACATGCTTCACAATATTACAAATAAAATGCTTCGCTGGGGCGCAGCTTGATACGACCGCAGAGGTCGAACCCTGAACAGTTGGGGCAAGTATGGACACAACATTCAAGCTTGATACAGCTCTGAATTTGGATTGTTATTAAATATTTGACACAGCATAGGTTTCTGACACAGAAAGAATGTGGTCTAAGAACTTGAATTTTTTTAATTTACCTATTATGGTCCAATGTCCAAAATCAAAATACATGGTTAGATTCAGCATATCAAAGAACCCCATATATTCAATTTTTGTTAAAATCAAACAAAGTTTAATTTTGGACCCCAACTTGGACAAACTTGAAAACTGGGCCCATAATCAAAAATCTAAACATATGTTTAGATTCAGCATATCAAAGAACCCCAAGAAATCAATTTTTGCTAAAATCAAACTAAGTTTAATTTTGGACCCTTTGGACCTTAATGTAGACCAATTTAAAAAACAGGACTTAAAATTAAAAATCTAAATACACCGTTAGATTTGGAATATCAAAGAACCCCAATAATTCAATTTTTGATGAAATCAAACAAAGTTTAATTTTGAACCCTTTTGACCTCAATATGAACCAATTTGATAGCCGGGCCCACAAATAAAAAATCTAAATTCATGGTTAGATTCAGCATATCAAAGAACCCCATATATTCAATTTTTGTTGAAATCAAAAAAAGTTTAATTTTGGACCCCAACTTGGACCAACTTGAAAACTGGGCCCATAATAAAAAATCTAAACACATGTTTAGATTCAGCATATCAAAGAACCCCAAGAATTCAATTTTTGTTAAAATCAAACTAAGTTTAATTTTGGACCCTTTGGACCTCAATGAAGACAAATTTAAAAAACGGGACCCAAATTAAACATCTAAAAACACGGTTAGATTTGGCATATCAAAGAACCCCAATAATTCAATTTTTGATGAAATCAAACAAAGTTTAATTTTGGACCCTTTTGACCTCAATATGAACCAATTTGATAGCGGGGCCTACAAATAAAAAATCTAAATACATGGTTAGATTCAGCATATCAAAGAACCTCATATATTCAATTTTTGTTGAAATCAAACAAAGTTTAATTTTGAACCCCAATTTGGACCTACTTGAAAACTGGGCCCATAATCAAAAATCTAAATACATGTTTAGATTCAGCATATCAAAGAACCCCATGTATTCAATTTTTGTTGAAATCAAACAAAGTTTAAATACTGGACCCTATCTTGGACCAACTTGAAAACTGGGCCCATAATCAAAAATCTAAACACATGTTTAGATTCAGCATATCAAAGAACCCCAAGAATTCAATTTTTGTTAAAATCAAATTAAGTTTAATTTTGGACCCTTTGGACCTTAACGTAGACCAATTTAAAAAACAGGACCCAAAATTAAAAATCTAAATACACGGTTAGATTTGGAATATCAAAGAGCCCCAATAATTCAATTTTAGATGAAATCAAAAAGTTTAATTTTGGACCCTTTTGACCTCAATATGAACCAATTAGATAACGGGGTCCACAAATAAAAAATCTAAATACATGGTTAGATTCAGCATATCAAAGAACCCCATATATTCAATTTTTGTTGAAATCAAACAAAGTTTAATTTTGGACCCCAATTTGGACCAACTTGAAAACTGGGCCAAAAATCAAAAATCTAAATACATGTTTAGATTCAGCATATCAAAGAACCTCATATATATTCAATTTTTGCTAAAATCAAACAAAGTTTAATTTTGGACCCTTTGGACCTTAATGTAGACTATTTTGAAAACTGGACCCAAAATTAAAAATCTAAATACACTGTTAGATTCGGCATAACAAATAAATAAATGTGATCAAAGATTTTACAAATCTAATGTGCCATACTGTGCAATTAAAGATAACTTCTTGAAATTTTTCAATATTTGAAATTTGAAAAAAAAATAATATTTGAAGAATAATTCTTTTTAATTTCTGAAATCTGAAATGAGAAAAAATTGACCCCCCACAATTTCTTTTTATACCCCCCCCCCCTTTTTTCCCCAAAAAAATTCTTTCCCTCAAGATATGGTCATAATCTCAATTCAAATTTCCAATGGAGTTGGCAACCATAATTACCCATTTAATTTTACCATAGTGCTAACTTAATCTATTTTATAAAAGAATTAAAAATATAGTGTCAAATCTTTCATATAGATTTTTTTGTAAAATAAAATGATGCAACATTTGCAGATATTTTTACTGGTCTTCCTTTATAAATATGCATTTCTTTAAACATAATTTAAAAGCAGTGTAAGGGAAGTAACCAAAACGTTGTATTTGGATTACCTCCCTTACACTGTTTTAAATTATCTTTATTGTTCATTAACCATTACTTTATACATAATTTAAAAGCAGTGTAAGGGAGATAATTTCAATGATGTATTTGATTTATCTCCCTTACACTGCTTTAAATTATGTTTTGTACTAAAGTATTTGTCCATTAACCAGGACAACCTTGTTTTTCCCCCTTTTTTGCCCCTAATTCCTAAACGGTTTGAGCCATAACCTCCCAAAGCAAATCCTAACCATCCCTTTGTGGTATGGAAACTTGTAGTATAATTTCAGAGAGATCCATACACTGTTCCACAGTTATTGTCTGGAAACTAGAAAATGCTTATTTTTGGCCCCTTTTTGGCCCCTAATTCCTTAACTGTTGGTACCATAACCCCCAAAATCAATCCCAACCTTCCTTTTGTGGTATTTAACCTTATGGTAAAATTTCAAAAAGATCCATTCACTTAAACTAAAGTTAGAGTGCGAAAACCAATGTGTATTCGGACGACGACGAAGGACGACGACGACGACGCCGGACGACGACGACGGACGACGACGACGACGACGCCAACGTCATACCAATATACGACCACAAAAATTTTTTTGCGGTCGTATAAAAATAGAAAATGACTTCATAGTCAAGGCTAAAGGTAAACAAAAAACCTTCATCAGCAAAATTTTATATTGGCAAATTTCCAATGAAGTTTATTACACTAAAATTGTTGGCAAATTTCCAATGCATTTATTAACAATAAAGTTATTGGCAAATTTCCAATTTACATAATTTAAAAGCAGTGTAGATGAGATATTTAAATGAGTTTGAATTACCAACCTTACACTGCTTTTAAATAATGTTCTTTACTCAATTATTTGTCTATTAAAATGGAAACCCTTGTTTTTTAACCTTTTTTCCCCTTATTCCTTAAACAACTAGAGCCATAACCACCCCCCCCCCCCCCCCCCCCCCCCCCAAGCCAATTATTACTTTCCAATGTAACTTAAATTTCCAATATACATAATTTTAAATTTCAATTCCTCATGATATATAACCGTATCATTATTATTTTCTTTCATATATAAATCTGAAACAACCATCTTTAAATGGAAAATTTTAAAGAAAAAAAAAGGGAAAAAAAAAATCCAACCTCCCACACATTTTTTCAACCCCCTTTTGATTCATCATCCCCCACCTCAATCACAACCTTCAATTTGTGGTATGGTACATTGCAATACAATTTCACAGAGATCCATACACTTGAACACAAGTTTTTGTTGCAAACTAAAAAAATCCTTATTTTTGACCAATATTTGGCCCCTTATTCATAAATGTTTGAGCAATTAACCCCAAAACTCAATTCCTACTTTCTCTTCGTGATAAAAAATAACTAACTTAAAATGTAAATTTTAAACAAAAAAAAAAAGAAAAAAAAAATTACCCCTTTTTTGACCCCCGCCCCCCTTATGATTCATCACCCCCCACCCCCCTTTCCCCCCAAACCAAGCTCAATAACAGCCTTGCCTTTGTGGTATGGTACCTTGTAATACAATTTTAGAGAGATCCATACACTTGAACACAAGTTATTGTCTAGAAACTAAAAAATGCTTATTTTAAACCCCTTTTTAGGCCCCTTATTACTAAACGTTTTGGGCAATTACCACAACACTCAATTCCAGCTTTCCCTTTGTGAAATGGAACCTTGTAGTAAAATTTCAGAAAGATCCATACACTTACACACAAGTTATTGTCATGAAACTAGAAAAATGCTTGTTTTTTGCCCCCTTTTGGCCCCTTATTCCTAAAATTTTGAGGCAATTAACCCCAAAATCAATCCCAGCATTGACCCTTTGTGATATGGAATCTTGTGGTACAATGTCAAAGAGATCCATATGCTAACACACAAGTTATGTCTGGAAGTTACAAAAATGCTTATTTTCGGCCCCTTTTTGGCCCCTAATTCCTTAACTGTTGGTACCATAACCCCCAAAATCAATCCCCACCTTCCTATTGTGGTATTGAACCTTATGGTGAAATTTCATAGAGATCCATTCACTTAAACTAAAGTTAGAGTGCGAAAACCATTGTGTATTCGGACGACGACGCCGGACGACGACGACGCCAACGTCATACCAATATACGACCTCAAAATTTTTTTGCGGTCGTATAAAAATGAGTGTGCTGTTAACTTCTTTCAGTATGGAAGGGAGGGGTGAATATTTACTTTAGTTTTTAAGTTACAGCCTTTCAATCTTACCTATGCCATATATGTTTGAAATTAATTTATATTACCAGTAATCATATACAGTCATTACATGGTTTCCATAAAAAACAAAAAATCTGTCTTACATATAGCTATCACTCTTTTGCTTTTTTTTAAATAAACCAAAATATTTTTTATCCCTGCCACTCTAGAATATACTTAATGATTTAGTTTCTGATTATTAGATTACTTAGAATGATGTGAGGACAGTAAGCAACTAACCTGACATCATCAAACATTAAAATATATATTAGTTTACTTGTTATATGATATAAGTTCTGGATTTTATTAGATACTCAGTGTGCTAGTGACCTAAAACAATATATATGGAATTTACCGACCCCATATATATCGTATTAGGTCACTAGCACACTGTGTAACAAATTTATCTTACCGACTATCTTAACATGTGGTATTTAGACTAGTGGCCTATCAAAGTGATGAAGTCTTCAATATTAAGAACCTACTTTCATTGGTCTATACAAAAACAATTGCCAACAATAACAAATGATTAGCTTTTAATGTGATTTCTGCATTTTTACTTCAATTGTTCTTCATCATCAATTTCTTCAACTGTTGTCCAGCTAAACATTTCAGATTTTTCTTCAATACCGTGTTGTTTTTAAAAAGGGAAATTACAACAATACTAACCATGTATTGAAATAAACCACACCCATTAACTGAATATCAAATATGCAGGGTCTCCACATGGTCACTATTAACCAATGATATTCCTAGAAATGTATAGGAGGTAAGACAAGTAAATATACCATACCTTTTCTCTTTGCCTGAGCAATCAATTTGCTTATGAATTCAAAAACTTCTTTAGATTCTCTCATAAATACACCTGTAAAATATATGTATTTCTTAGAAAGTACTTTATCTAACCTAATTTAATCTAAGAATTTAAACCCAGATAGGGTTAAAAAGATTTTGAGATAAAGTAGCACAATAAAAGAACAACTGCCTTTAAAATGGTGTTTGTATTATGTGGAAAAGGACAGATATCAGATACTATACCAAACAATACAGGACCAAAAATTAAAAAAAAATAAATGTGGATAGTGTCCACATGTGGACACAGATGATGCCCCCGCTTGCATATCATATAGTTATAAAGGGACATAACTGAAGAACGGTAAAAGTGACGCTACCCAAATTTGAACTTGATCTGAGTTTTGTGGTTATAAGCATTGTGTGTAAGTCTCATAACATTTGGTTGAGGCTAACTTAAGTAGATAACAGAAACTAAAAATTCAGCAATTTTTCTATTTATAAACACGCATGACTCTAGAACGATTGTGTATAAGTTTTATAACATTTGGTTGAGACAAACTAAAGTTAGTGAACGGAAACGAAAAATTCAGCAATTTTTATGTTTATAAAGGGACATAACTCAAGAATGGTAAAAGTGTCGCCACCAAATTTCGTACTTAATCTGTATTATGTAGTAATAAGCATTGTGTATAAGTTTCATTACATTTGGTTGAGGCAAACAAAAAATTTGTACTTGATCTTAGTTTTGTGGTAATGAATATTGTGTATAGGTTTCATAATGTTTGGTTGGGGCAAACTTAAGTCACAGAATTGAAACTAAAAATTTTGCAATCTTTCGATTAATAAAGGGGCATAACTCAATAATGGTTAAAGTGACACTACCCAAATTCAACTTGATCTGTGTTTTATCAGTGGAAGTCAAAATTAAACATTGCATTGTATAAAGCATTGATTGTAGTTGATTCAACTTTAATCATGGACAAAGGAAGATAACTCCAATTTTAAAAATTACTTGATATTTAGAAGAAAATAAAAATTTTGCCATTTTTCCATTTCTAAAGGGACATAACTCTAGAACGGTTAAAGTGATGCCACCAAAATTCAAACTCGATCTGTGTTTTGTGGTAATAAGCATTGTGTATAGGTTTCATAACATTTGGTTGAGGCAAACTTAAGTTAGAGAACAGAAACTTAATATTTAGCAATTTTTCCATTTATAAAGGGGCATAACTCTAGAACTGTTAAAGTGACACCACCAAAATTCAAACTTGATCTGTGTTTTGTGGTAATAAGAAAAGAAAAAGAGTTCACTATACAACCAAATTTATCTAGGCTGACATAATACCTGTGAATGAGTCATTCTTTTTTAACATCATTTGCAAACAAAATGAAGACTTATGTCTACAATATATCAAACTTTATATGTTTGCTGTTATTGCAAGCTACTTTAAAAATTGAATTAAGTATAGTTGTGAGGCAATGTTTTAAATATCATTGCCACCATCATACCATAAAACTGATGTACAACTGCATGCAAATATTAAAATTGAATTGATTTCATCACTTATAAAATTGTAGAAGCAGAAAACTCTATACATGGAAATGATGCTAAGAACATGTAAATACTTTAACAGCATAATTGCTGATTTGACACTATGAGATTATGAAAGTTGTGGAATAAGAACAAATGTTTTAAACCTACTGACTCTACGAAATTGGGATTTAAATCAATAAACTGTAAATTCAAATAATCATCATGAATAAGTAAATTGTTTTCTGGTCACAGCATGTGACTTTGATAGCTTTGTTTGTGCAAGTACTGTATTGATTTTAAAAGTGAAGCATCTTAAAGAAATCATGTAAAAATTCTTCTGATTAAACAAAAGAATACTTACTCTGCCATAATTTATCAACAACCCTACTGGCAAAGTAAAAGACATTGTTAGCCATGCTGACATAGCTCCCTCCTGTAGCTATAGGTAATGCAGCTTGTTCCCCTAACAAAACATCAGCAGCTACTAAGTGTTCCATGATAGTCTTCATGATCTCTGTCTGAAACTCATGTCTTTGTTGTCTGTTGGCATTGTCTGGAGAAGCCTGAAACCGTATTGAGATCAAAGAATTGGCAAACAGGAAGTAGACATATATGTCAAATCTGAAAAGTGTTCATGTGTTAAAACTCATCACTGTCAAGCTACTGACCAAATATGAAGTAAATCTGTACTACACTTTCTGAGAAAATTGTGACAAATATGTGTGTTGTACAAACAGACAGACAGATGACTAACAGACGGACATACAAGAAGTTTGCAATATAATCTTCAATTTTAGAGAGGTGGTGTAATTATGTATATGAGCAATCCCTGAAATAAATGCAGGAAGCACATTTATATGTTGCAGACCCTTTCTTTGCATGCAATTTCAATTGTTCTTTTATAAGAAAAATAATTAAATGAATAAATGCCCCATCACTAATTCTAGTTTCAATTGAAAAGGCTCCAATTTTCCCCATATGATTATTTCAGGAAAATTTTAAAGGCATTCTGAGGAGAGACCTTACAATATAATAAATCTGAAAAAATATAGCATATCCTGCTTCACCATCAATGTATGTATCACCCCAAAGTGTTCCTTTGCTGGACATAAATGTACAATATAGCAGTTTGGTAATTACAACAAATCTGAATTCATTCTTTTCATAATAAACATTTCCTAACAATACTAATTTCATCTGTGTAAAACATAAGTAACAGGTCTACAGGCCTATCCCCAATATCAATTATGCATCCCTAATTCACTGGTATCAATATAATGTCATATAATCAACTTACATCTAGAACAACATCTAATACTGGTTTAGGAGATGACTGCTGGGAAAAACTGTCAAGTATAATAGTCCTTAGGAAATCTATTACAAATTTTCTGGCTGGATGTTCACTTAATGCACCTGAAATTTTGAATAAATGTTCTATAAGTTGATTTGATTTTCTGAAAAATGTGCTTCATCGAGCGCAGCTGGATAAGACCGCAGAGGTCCAACCCTGAACAGTTGGGGAAAAAATGGACACAATATTCAAGCTTGATACAGGTCTGAATTTGTATTGTAATTAAATATTTGACACATTATAGGTTTCTGACACAGAATAAATGTAGTCAAAGAACTTGAAATTGGTTATATGATTTGAATTTATATTCAATTGAAGATTTCTTGCTGTTGTGCAATACACTGTGCTGTTGCGCAATACTTAGTAAATCTGTATTCAGACTATATACAAAGAAGTAGCAAAATAAATTGTGACCTCCAATTTTTTTTTAGGAAAATTGATAATTTAAATCTTGAGGAAAAAAATTGACCCCCCAAAAATTTTTTTAAAAAATTTACTTTAGTTTTTGTACTGATGCTAAGTCTCCATCTCCTACATACTATTTGATTTCAAAAGAGAAAATATGTAAAACATATATACGCAAATTTATATAGTGAAAAACTTTCCATATATAGATATAAGAAGATATGGTATGAGTGCCAATAAGACAACTCATGTGACCAAAGAGCCTAATAGAGCTTGACACATTGTATAGGATATCTTTTCGTTACTTCTGTTGTTTGGTTGTGCATTTTTGTATACTTTACATCTCCTTTTCTTCCTATCTAAATGTTACAAAAGATATATTTGCTGTCAATTTACAGTCCATCTAGGTATTAAAACTCTGCTTCATCTTAAATTGTTTTGGCCTCACATAATGACCAAGAACAAACAAATAAAAGTTTTGAAGAATAACAAAATCTAGCATCTTCTAGAAATACATACTGGCATGTGAAGGGTCTGGAGTTTTTATGTGAATATATCCATCTGCATCTGGGAATGGCTGAAATTACAATTAAAATTTCTTTATGTGATATCGTTCTATAATGACTGTATAATAATACCATACATAAGTTTTGAATAAAAATGAGATATTGAAACACTTTCATCATGTAGATTTTAACTTGAAATCAAATTAGAAACATGAATTACTAGGGCAAAAACTCCTTTTAATTTACTACTAGCATACACATTTAAACTTGAGTAAAAGGCCAAAAACTGTGAAAGTTTCAATTACAGTTGATTAAACCTGAAAGTGCTAAAGCTTTCACTACAAGATAGATATATGGACATCATTCTGCACAACTTTATACTTAGGGCAAATAAGATAAATTTTTGACATGAAGCATGAGATGTTATGTACTACTGTCTTATATCAATCAACAATGATAATACTATAACAGTGTTATGTCTTTTCATAGCCAAGGGAAATTAAAAACCCTGGTCAAGTAGAAATTATCAAATACATAATCAAAATTTCACGAAATGTCATTTAAATAAAAACAAGCATTCTCTGAGTATTGCCTGGCAATACAGTCCCCTACCAGTTAAAAATTCATTGTACTGGAACAAAATACTAACTTGGTCTATTACTTGTCATGGTGTAAACTATAACAAATATCAAGTCAATATCTTCAAGCATGACAAAAAAAAAGTGAGGAAAACTGATTATTTGAGTGATTTTTCTAAGTCCAATGACAATAACTCTGCACAAAATCATCAGACCGGAACAGAATTTGAACTTGATCTGTAACTTGTAACGATAAACTATATACCAATTATCAAATCAATATCTTCAAGAATGACAAAAAAATGTGAGGAAAACTGATTATTTGAGTGAATTTTCTAAGTTTAAGGACCATAACTCTGCACAAAATCGTCAGACCGGAACAAAATTCAAACTTGATCTGTAACTTGTTATGATAAAACAATACACCAAATATCAAATCAATATCTTCAAACATGACGAAAAAAAGTGTGGAAAACTGATTTGCCGGACTGACAGATGGACGGAGTGCAAACCTAAAGTCTCCTTCGACTTTGTCGATAGGGGACTAATTAGTGACAATCATAGCATCAAAAGAACAACAAATGGCATCATTAAAATGTCTGTCTATGCAGTTACTTTTTTTCTAAAGAAAACAAGTGAAAATCATTTCAAGAACATTCTTACCATGTATTCTTCCTGTGGTGTTGTAACTTTACTTTCCGTGGTTACATTGGTGGATGGAAACAGTGTTGCTACCAATCCCGAGATAAATTCTGATGTGATAGACAAAGAGATAAAATCTGGCTGGTTGTGGTACAGAAACAACAAAAACTGCATCAGTGTTACCGGGTATTCCTGTAACCATGTACTGCATTTTTGGTCTGACTCCTGTAATGAGTGGTTTTAACATTTTAAATATTTCAAACATTGGACTGTCTTTCCATTAAAAAAATTATGAAATAAATGGGGAATGTGTCCATGGGACACAGATGATGCCCCTGCTTGCATATAACGTTATAAAGGGACAAAACTCAAGAACTGTAAATGTGATGCTACCCAAAGTTGTACTTGATCTGAGTTTTGTGGTAATAAGCATTGTGTATACGTTTCATAACATTTAGTTGAGGCAAACTTAAGTTAGAAAAAGGAAACGAAAAAATTCAGCAATTTTTCCATTTCTAAAGGGGCATAACTCTAGATGGTAAAAAGTGACACCACCAAAATTCGAACTTGATCTGTGTTTTGTGGTAATTAGCATTGTGCATAAGTTTCATAACATTTGGCTGAGGCTAACTAAAGTAAGAGAACAGAAACAAATATTTCAGCAATTTTTCCATTTGTAAAGGGGCATAACTCTAGAACAATAAAAGTGACACCACCAAAATTCAAACTTGTTCTGTGTTTTGTTGTATTAAGCATTGTGTATAAGTTCCATAACATTTGGTTGAGGCAAACTAAAGTTAGAGAACGGAAACCAATTTTGGGACGTACGGACGGACATGGGTGAAACTTAATGCCCCATCCGCTACGGCGGGGTCATAAAAATAGCAAATATTCAGTCTTTCTTTTCCATTGCTTTGATATCAGCATAAACTGCCAATTGGAAGAAACAGAGAAAGCAGATTTTTTGCTGTTCCTCAATAATCACTTTTTTGTTTTTGAAGATCAAATTTTCCATTTAGGTCACTCACTCAAGTGACTTTCCAACAATGATCCCTTGATCTGACATTCATTTATCTGTTTTAAATTAACATAAATATGTATAATTATACAATATATCTGTTGAAATTCAGTTAAGATTTTTGTTTTTTTTTCATACATGTATATATTTCTAAAGTCTTGAAATTCCAAATCCATAAATACATTTCCTTTAATAATTTTACTTTCAAAGTTTATTCCAGCATTAAATTATAAAATCTGTAAACAAGACATTAAGTTAACTACTACATATTGTTTATCAACAGTGCTCACTTTTGTGAAATCTTTTTATTTAGTATATTGATGGACAAGGCATCATTTGCACAAACAATGTCTTTCCACTGCAAGAACCTTCTCTGTTACCCACCTGATTCAGCATGTGTCTGATAAGTGCAAGCAACACTAGAGCAGCATCAGGACACAATTCAGCCTGTTTTTCCTTAGCTATGGCTGAAACAGGTTTACTGGCAGGGACACCAAATATTACTGTCCATACTTGATCCAAGTTTAACTGAAAGATACAAAACAAACTATAATCATTTAATAAAAAAATTATAACTGTCGATCATGTGCTGGTTGGAAACTTATAAATTTTACTTTCCATATTATTATGACAAGATTCTTTTCTCTCTCAATAATCATGTTGACAACAAAGTGTCAATGTTAAGATGTTGACAAATATAATGCTTAACTATGTTACAATGAGCAAAGAGCATGACATGAGAGAATTATTTCTAATAAAATTGAGAATGGAAATGGGGAATGTGTCAAAGAGACAACAACCCGACAGAAGAGCAGAAAACAGCCGAAAGGCCACCAAAGGGTCTTCAATACAGCGAGAATCCTACACCCGGAGGCGTGCTTCAGCTGGCCCCTAAACAAAAATATGTTCTAGTTCAGTAATAATGGACGTCATACTAAACTCCGAAATATATAAAAGAAACTAAAATTAAAAATCATACAAGACTAACAAAGGCCAGAGGCTCCTGACTTGGGACAGTCGCAAAAATGCGGCGAGGTTAAACATGTTTTTTGAGATCTCAACCCTCCCCCTATACCTCTTAAGTATATCATCTTATACCTAAAATTATAAGCAGTGCTTTTAAGTCTTGGTATGATAGCAGAATGCCCAGTTACATGGTCATTGAAATGTAAAACAGATCCATTATACTGTACTTTAAACTCTACATTTGGAGACAATTTGTGAACTTGAAGAAAAATACAGCTGTTTAAAAGAAGTGAAGCTCATTGTATGTTTACTTTTATATTTAAGTGAAGTTTTCAAACTACAGTAGTTGATGCAAGAATATTGCCATTAATATGAAACAAAACACATGTACAGATCATGTCTATAAATATTTAAAGTTTGTCACATTATTTATTTACCTGTACATCAGAGGGCAGTTCTTTAATATGTTGACCCAGTAACATGGCCATCAGTATGAAGTATATTTCTGTCACATTGTTTATTTACCTGTACATCAGAGGGCAGTTCTTTTATATGTTGACCCAGTAACATGGCCATCAGTATGAAGTATATTTCTGCAGCATTGGCATGTTTTGGTAGCAACCATTGTACTATAGTAAATCCAGGGACCTGACACACCTCTCTGTTGAGTGCCCTTTTCTGACCTTTGTTACTTGTTCCTATGTTCAAACCTGTTGATAAGAGAATTACAGATACAGCATATCAGTATACAGACTTTTAATGAATCTATCAACTGGTTTTTATTATGAGTTGGTATTTAGAATATTGGAACAGATATATGAGGTCTGGATATCCATTAATCCACTTTAACCTCTTTCAATTCAATTGTATGTAACAGGTAAATAAGTCTTTCATGACTTAGTGTGTTAAGTTCCTTGTGTATATACCGGTAGTTAGTCCTGGATTCGTTTTGTAGTGTGCTCTGAAAGATTGTACATGTACGGTGTAATGTGTCCCAGTTGTTGGTATTTTGTACTGTAACTATTAATTCAAGTATTAGCTTATATAGGTTGATTGTGTAATGAATTGTGTACTAAATAACATTATTTTTTTCTGAATCAGTACAAAGTGTGGATTCCTATTAATTGATATCTCAATGATCATTCCTACAACATTCAAAAACAGTCTATAGCAAGTAAAACTGCAAAACATAAAACAATTTGGGCCTGTTGCCTCAGACCATTCTGAATCAAGAAACCATGTTTTATATCAATCAGAACAAAATGAGGACTTTTTTTTAGAAAGGATCTTCATAAATTATTCATGCAAATATCAGTTTCAGTGGAGATGATGAAAATGTGAAAAGAGGTGTGTGACAGCTCACACTAGCCCTTATTCTTTATATGCATAATATAATCTTCTATCAACAGCATTAATCTTTCTCTAACATTAAAATCTCCTCGTAGTAAAAGAAAATTGACATAATTTAAAATTGCAGTCATGCAAAATAAAAAATTTAAGGAAACTACCAGTTTTGACAACTTTTTATTTACCTACATGTGTATATAGAGCTTCTCAATTGAGAGAAAAGATTTAGCATTTACTTATTTGACAAAAATGAGCAGAGTCAGAATTTAAAATTTTTTTCAAATATTTACTAATATTCACTATAAACATTTAAGGCTATAAAAATGACCAAATTCAAAATTTGTGAGAAAAAGACAAAACTATCCATTTTCCGTCTGTTTATTGTGATATGTAACCAAATCAAAATAAAATGAAGAGCAGAAAGTTGGTGAAAACCTGTTTACCTCACCTAAGCACTCTGCAGATAATAAAAACTGCTAACACAACTGTATGTCTCTCACCTGCTTTGGGGATGTATATTTTTTAATGGTTCTTAATTAAGGATGTATTCTTCTGATGTTTCAGTCTCGTTGAAATCTATTTTGGGAATTATTTCCAAAACATGTGATACAAGTGGAAAATATCAAATGATTTTACCAGATACATGTACATCCCATATAATTTTTTTCTTTTCAAATTTCTTAGATATGTATTTTTCAATCATTTATAACAAAGAAGTTGAAATAATATGCTTTTTGTTCTAAAAAAAGAGAAAAATCCCAAATTTACAAAATTGACAACATGGTAAATTTGACACGAAAAAGCAACAAAATTTTATTAAACTTTCTTAATACAACACCTACCTATAGTTTTTTTAAGTTAAATTTATTCAGATTGGTCCACTTCATCTTAAGTGAAAGTATGAAAAAAAGTTTAATTGTGAAACTGTGACTTTTTGTCATGATAATAGCCCAAAAATGGGTAAAAATTGATGAAAAATGAGAAAATCATCAAAATTGGGTACTTTCAAATGGCTGTAGAAAAAAAAGAAGTGCACCACTATATGATTATTTCTTCACCAATTATTTTTTTAGTCATATAAATCCAATAAAATGCTTCGCTGAGCGCAGCCTGATACGACCACAGAGGATCGAACCCTGAACAGTTGGGGCAAATTTGGACACAATATTCAAGCTTGATACTGTCTGAATTTGGATTGTGATCAAATTTTTGACATAATATAGGTTTCTGACACAAAATAAATGTGGTCAAAGATTTTATAACTCCATTGTGCAATACTGTGCAATTGAAGATTTCTTCTTGAAGCTTTTCAAAAAAATTGAAATTTTAAAAATTTTGAAAAAAAATATGAATCCCTTAAAAAAATTGGGAAAAAAATCCCCCCCCCCCCCCCCCCCCCCCCAACTTTTTGAAACCCCCTCTTGGAGCAATAACCCCAAAACCCAATCTCAGCCTTTCCTTTGAAGTATGGAACCTTGTAGTACAATTTCAGAGAGAATCATACACTTACACACAACTTATTGTCTGGAAACTAGAAAATGCGTTTTTGGCCCTTTTTTGGCCCCTCTTAACCCCAAACTCAATCCCAGCCCTCCCTTTGTTATATGGAACCTTGTGGTATAATGTCAGAGAGATCCATACACTTACACACAAGTTATTGTCTAGAAACTAAAAAAATGCTTGTTATTGGCCCCTTTTTGGCCCTCAATTCCTAAACTGTTGGCCCCCATAACCCCTACAATGAATCCCACCCTTCTACTTGTGGTATTAAACATTGTGGTACAATTTCAGAGCAATCGAAATACTTATACACAAATTGTTATCTTGAAATTCGAAAAATGCTTGTTTTGGGCCCCTTTTTGGGCCCCTAATTCCTGAACGGTTGGGACCATCATCCCCAAAATCAATCCAAACTTTCCTTTTGTGGTATTGAACCTTCTTCAAAAATTTTATAGAGATCCATTAACTTAAACTAAAGTTATTGTCCGGAAACCAATGTGTCTTCGGACGCGGACGCAGACGACGATGCAGACGAAGACAACAACGCAGACGCATACGACATCATACCATTATACGATCCCAACAAATTTTTTGCGGTCGGTCGTATAAAAATCAGGTTAAGAAAAAAAGTTTTCTAGAAAAAACCAATATGTATTCGGACGACGACGACGACGACGACGACGCCAACGTCATACCAATATACGACCACAAAATTTTTTTGCGGTCGTATAAAAAAGATGCTGAAACTGAATTGGGTCTTATATTCTAGTTTTAAACAGAAATGCACCATTAGGGTATCATATATCAAAATTTTCTTGAAAAAATAAGATATTCAGATGCTTCTACAACAGTATTCAGAAATAAATGGTTGTATTACTTGCAATGTTATCTGGAAATTAATGCATGTATTTATCAAGGTTAAAATTTACAAAAATTTAAAACTAGTAAATATGGCTAACATAGATTTTCTACTAAAATATGTATAATTAGAATGAAAATGTGATTTTACATAAATAAAGGAAATTTTACACAGACACTTTTTTTTGGCAGAAATAAAAATATTCTACTTATTTCTAAGTTTACAGTAGTCTGTCTGAAACAGAAATTCATGTTTTAAACCATTAATTTATGGTTAATCATACATTTATCTTTTAAAACAAACTTAATATCTGAACAATTCTATTCACTAGAACAATATCTAGACCTTTTGAAATTAACCAAAGAATGATGTGTGATTGTAACTGAGATGCAAGCATACAACATTACACAAAACATCAATGGTCTAAACATCTGAAATTAACCCAATCCGAAAACTAGTCATTAGCAGGACTTGATGAAGACACTGGAAAAGTAACACTTATGTGTTGCTTCTCATTCACTACATCACAAGCAAGACAAAAAGAGTTGCCAAAACGGGAAGTTCCTCAAGTGAAATAGGTGTAATATATTGTACATTATATACCATCACATCCAGATAATTCTGTAATAAAGCATAGCAATACTTTTATTCTTGGTAGCATTGTATGAATAAAAATTTTGAAAAAGGTTGCACCCCATTTTCATTTCAATTAAAAAGATGTTTAGCCAAGAAGTTTGATGGGGAAAAGGAAAAAAATTATAAGGTACTTTTTTCACCAACTTTTCCCGTAAATTTCTAAAGTAAGATGTGCCAAATTAAAAATATCTTTAATCCTGGATAACCTGTGTTTGGTTAAGTTTGAGCTTCTTCCTATAGCCCATCTTTTTATTAACATTAAGTAATATGAAATGAAACTTCATACATTTTAAAAGTCAGATTTTCTAACCTTATCTGAACAAGCCAGTATCTATGATTTTAAAAGATATTTTGAAAAAATTAATTGGAAAACGACAGACAATTGCAAAATTACTAGCAGTTGTCAGTTATATGCATAAAACTTTAATCTGATACCATTTAAATTTATCATTTCCGTTGATTATCTTTTAACATATAATTCCTGCATGGAAGAAGCGAGCAAAAACATCAACCCCAGGTTATGATGTAAAATAAGAAAAAGAAGGTTAACTATAAAGATTAATTTACCTAACATAACTCCAACATGCTGTTTAAGTACTGGTTCTGTTCCTTTAAGCCATCCACCTCCCAGACTTCCCTCTCTGAACTTCGCTGTTGCTGATTGGCTCTGTAGCATTGTCAGTAGGATCAGCGATGCCTTGACAACTGTTGAAGGATGAATGTGACCTTGCATAAACAGCAGTAACCAATCAAATCCAAGAACTTTCTGAATCTCATCTGACATTCTATAATGTATGAAAAAGTAATAAAAGCCTGAGTGGAAAAAAAACTTGTAGTTACTTATTAATCAGAGCCTTCAAAGATGGCCTGTAGTAATTTTCTTTAAAGATGGGGCCAGTTTTAAGCATTAAATCAATTAAGGTCCACGCCACCCTTTCCCTCACCTATTAAACCATGTTGATACTTACTGAGTATTTAGTTGTACAGGTTCTACCTCTGTGTTCAGTATCAACTTATGTATCACATCTAAACAGATGTTCCTTAGTTTAATTGTGTAGGATGACACTTGTTCATCATCTAAGAAGTAAAAGAGAAAACCATGAGGTAATTAATTAACATACATTTGAAATTCTTCATGATTGGTAGAACGAATTCCATTGGTTAATACTAGCAACAGTACAAATGTTTAGTTGCTGTATTGAAATAAAAAGGATATAAATTCAAAATAATTAATGAAACAAAATTAAAATCATCAAAAATTAATAATACCAAGGTATAAATTTCTGACTTACTACTTCAGAATCTTATTTTCTTTGGTATTATATAAAAAATTGTTTAATTTTACATATTTGCTGAAAATTAAAAAGATGCATAGATGTAAATATTTGCTGAAAATACCTGAAATTGATATGCTGTCCTCTTGTGTCTCTTCGGCTGGTACCTTCAGTCCATTAAGAGCCAGATTTTTCTCTGAATTAGACATCTGAGGTAATGTTGATACAATAAACTGACCAAATCTGAAAATTTCATCATTACAAGTAGAGAAGGAATAATAAGCATGGTTGTTCACAAAACAATAATCTGATACATAATTGACATTACCATATACCAGAAGAACAGTGCATAGCCTTTTCATTATGACTTTTTTTAACTTTAGTGTAAATTATTATAGTAATATTAAGACCTCACAACCAGCAAAAAGATATGCTGGAGTTTTCTAATAAATTCCATACCATGTTTTCATTTATTATGTTGATAGTTTTATCATCTGCATCATGCTTGCCTTGGCGTTTAAACCCTGATGCACTAATTAAATGGGCGTTGATACAGTAGGTTCTGTTAACATGGCATATATCCATTTGTCTTTGTGTTTACATTCTGACATGTCAATATGACAGGAAATGATATGGAAGGTTCTGTTGACAGGTCATGTTTCTCGCTTGTCTTTGTGTTTACATTCTGACATGTCAATATGACCGGTAATGATATGGAAGGTTCTGTTAACAGGACATATATCCCACTTGTCTTTGTGCATAATTTCTGACATGTTAATATGACCGGTAATGATATGGTAGGTTCTGTTAACAGGACATGTATCCCACATGTCTTGTTAACACCCTGACATGCCAATAAAATGGATAATAATATGGAGGATTTTGTTAACAGAACACCTATCAATCTTGTCATGGTGCTAATCTCTTGGAAAGCCATTGTAACGAATGATGTGGAGTTTATAGAACATGTACCACAGTTGTCAATGTTAAAAGCTTGACAGGCCAATGTGATGGGCAGGATATGGTTGGCTCTATTACTAGGATATGTACCAGTATCACATTTGTCTTAGTAATTAATACACACTTACACACCTATTCAATGACCAAGGGGGGCTCTGTATCAGTACACATATTATCTATTCATGGTGGCTAACAAACTCACCTTAGTAATGAATGATGATCTGGAGGGCTCTGTAACAGTACATGTATCACACTTGTTATTGTGTCTATTGATGCTTGAGTAAGTTTGTTGTCTTTCAGGATGTGTAATAATCTGGATACCAGGCCTATGTCTCTCATCAACTGGAAATTACTTATCTGTTCACTGCAACACAAAATCATTAATTTTAAGTTATGAACAAGGATCCGGAAAGCCATTTTCTGGACTTGTTTATTTCTTTACCTATTAAAAATTTAAGAAAAATTAATTTAAAATTCATATCAGAACATCAAAATTCGAAGTTTCTTTAAACATGTATATTTATTAATAACTTGAAGACAAAGTAACAAAGGTGTAATTCTTTCTATCTTTATCTTGTAGGACTGGCATATTTGAATATTCATTTGGGGTAGAGGAGGTAATTTTACCTAAATTTAGTTTAAGTCTCATTTGTGACTCCTCTGTTCTTATCTGGGTAGACAGATATCCCAGATACTTTGAAATAGGAGGACCCAAGATTTGAAAGACTTTGTCTTGAAATCCATCATTTTTCTTTTTTGTACATAAGAAATTAACTTCTTTTCAATTTTTATGATATCTTCAATTTGTAAATGTAATTCATAAATTACATTTGAATGCAAAAGTATGTTTGCTTTAAACAATTCTTACTTTTTGGTACTAAAATATATTGCCTGGCAGACAAATTTTTTATTTTTACATTTAATTTTAAAGTAAGAATTATCCAGATTAAAATATTGTGTTTCATATTTTGATAAGAAATAGTGAATATTTCATTGTTTTAAACCATATTGAGATATAGAGTATTGCATTATAGTCTTTCAACCAATGTCAATAAATTGATTTATATGAATTGCATATTTAAAATCGTTGCATGTTTTCAATCCAACCTTGAAATATAGTTTTATTTAATTTAACAGCATCAGCCACAGAGTACATCAAATATCAGCAAACAAACAACAGACCAAAATCCATCTAAATGATCAGACAATAATTACAGTCATGCTAGTACGGTTTTCATTGGTTCATTAACAACAAGATGATGACTACCCGACACAATTAATTCTAAAATACTAAAAGACAATTATCCATTACTGTAACTTAACAGATTCAATATATAAATTTGAATTATTTGGGAAGGGCTAGAGAGGGTTAAGGAGGATACCTTCCAATGATATATGACATAGAAAACCATTTATCAGAGGAGTAGTATTCATTGATGCTCTTGACAGTAAATGGAAGGTTTTCAAATATGGCCTAAATACAGTTGCTAACATCTTCATCATTTGGTCTTTGATGGATACTTGTTTCATTGGCAATCATACCACATCTCCTTATAAGTGGTCTATAATATTTCCAGATAATACATTTTTACTCTGTTATCTATGCCCTAATATATATGTAAACATCTTAATATTGCAGATTTTACCGAAAAAGTCTTCATCATCAAAAATAATTTCTAACCAAACACAATCATATCAAAAAATAATACATGCATAGACAGAGAGCTAGAGATAGAGAACATATCAACACACACAAAAAACATCACTGTTTTTCATTGTTATTCTTGACAACTAGATCACAACTCACATGTGTAATAAGGATATATAAAACTGGATTGATATTACAATTTGATTTTATATGGTGAAATAATGGGAGTTAATTGTTAAGAGTGCAGAAATATTGAAACACACAAAATTCTGTGGTAGAATCTGTTTCTCTATCTATTTTTAGACAAACAAATTACCGGTATCTTTGGTTTGTTTATTTTATTATTAACAAAAAGATTTTGTTCTTGTGTGAGAAGTCATGCGCAGAGTGTGATACGAGAAAAGGTGTTTATTTGGTTGGCATATACTGCAATGTTTTACGAAATTGCTACATTTCCGTTTGCAATCATTAGAACAATGATGACTTTAAAGGTCAAATTCCCCCCTTGGCAGAGGAGATTTTTTATTTCTTCAATAATATACAAAACACTCACACTTTTTACCTGAAATATTCATTTTGTCTAATTTGATTCCATTCTCAAGCATACAAAAAATTTGAAAACATCTGATGTTAACAGTAGTCTGGTTCCCAACACAATATTCTCAGTACTGTAGGCAGACTTATATTTGAAGGGAAACATGCAAAATCGAAAATGTTTCACCAGGACCAAGATATTTTATACCATACAAGTAATAGATATACAACATAAAAGAATAGAATATTGCTTGATATCAGTAACAAGAGGCTCTCAAGAGCCTGAATCCCTCACCTGTATTTCAGAGGAGAAGATTTTTAAATGTTAGCATATTGATGAACAAATTGTGTAAAATTGTCTTTAAAGGGCAATAACTCCTTAAGGGGTCAATTGACAATTTTGGTCTTATTAACTTTTTTGTAGATCTTACTTTGCTGAACATTATTGCTGTTTACAGTTTATATCTATCTATAATAATATTCACGATAACAAAAAACTGCAAAATTTCCTTAAAACTACCAATTTAGTGGTAGCAACCCAACGATGGGTTGTTCGATTCGTCTGAAAATTTCAGGGCTGATAGATCTTGACCAATTGAACAATTTTACCCCATGTTAGATTTGCTCTAAAAGCTTTAGTTTTAAGATATAAGCCAAAAACTGCATTTGACCCCTATGTTCTATTTTTAGCCATGGTGGCCATGTTTGTAGATGGATCAAAACTTCGGATACATTTTATAAACTAGATACCCTAAGGAACATTTAGTTAAAGTTTGAAGGTATTTGGCCCAGTAGTTTCAGAGGAGGAGATTTTTGAAATAGTATATGAGCTAATAATAATAAAACTTGCCATAGGATTGTTTGTTATCAATTGAAATGAAATAACTGGAGTTAAAATCAACCAATCAAATTCAATTCGTTATGAAACCTATTAATATATTCCAAGATGCAAATTTTTCAAGGACACTACCGAATTAACTAGGACTTTATTCTATTGGTCTTCAGTACATATCAAAACATTCTTTTAAAGCAAATGATTTTAAATACAGGTTAATCATTCATATATTTAATTTGTGTATTTCTCATTATTGGTATAAATCTTAGCTCCTTTAAATTACCATACTAAATAGATGAGAGAATTCTGCAACTACCCTCAACTTTGTAATTGCTTCTGTCAAATGAATCTGTTTATTTAGTTAATATAGCATTAAATGAATGGACTAAAGGATTAACAAAATTACCGCCCAGCATCATACTAACCACGTAAATACAATCATTTCAACAGTCAATAGTGAAAAGCATATTTCAGAAGATCTATATAATAATAAAATGGATTATAAGTATTTATACTCTTTAAACTAGTGCATAAATATGTCATGCATATATCTGTTAATATAATACATTGCTATTAAACTTCATGCAATTCCCAACGGTGATTTTCCTACTATAGTTGTCAGTCATTTCTTTGTAAAATATTCACTAAAGAGCATTTTTACTTAGTATCAATATATCTTATTGGTCTACGACCTTTTACAGTAAATCTGCATACACTATTTATGTTATTCAAAGTGTTAACATCAAAACTAGTGAATCCATTGTTTTGAGCCTCTATCATCAAAATTAATGCCACCCTTTCTTTTATGGAAAGGAACACTGTGTTAAAATTTCATAAGGATCACCCAACAATACTTAGGTTAATTTGAAAATACATCTTCAACAGACTGAAAATAATGATGAAAACACACTCATACAATAAAAACACCATATAAATTTGTAGTCAGATAAATATACAGATAAAGATTGTACCAACATTTGAAAAATATCATGCATTGTCTTAAAGACAAGTCATATAAATAAAAAACAAATCTTAACATAAAATAGTAATTTAGCTTTTATAGTTGTAAAATAAAACAAGAGGTCACACACTGAAATGTCTCGCCTGCTTTATTGAACATTGATTTTATGTTGAAAAGACTAAAGAAAAAGGATTTACTACAAGTATCACATAAACATTATATTTTCAAAGATCCATGACAATGAGATCAAGGTCAGATAAATCCTGTCAGTCAGACATGTACACCTTACAATTATTCCATACACCAAATATAGTTAACCTATTGCTTATGATATTGAAAAACAAACCAAAACACAAAAACTTAACATTGACCAATGAACAGTGAAAATGAGGTCAAGGTCAGATGATACCTGCTAGACATACATGTACACCTTACGGTCATTCCATGCACAAAACATAGTTGACCTATTGCTTATAGTACTTGAAAAACAGACCAAAACACAAAATCTAAGAATTAACCAAAGAACCTTGAAAATGAGGTCAAGGTCAGATGAAACATGCCATACTGACATGTACCCCTGCAATAATTCCACATATGGTTGAACTACTGCTTCTAGTATCTGAGAAACCAACCTAATCACGTTACTTTAACCTTAAACACTGATCCATGAAATGAGGTTGAGGTCAGGTTCGCCCTGTCTGAGAGACATGTAGATGTTGCAAGGAACCCATATACCAAATATAGTTCCTATTACTAATAATAAAAGAGAAATTCACATGAAAAAAAAAATCAACATTTTTTCAAACAGTCGCTGAACCATGACAATGAGGTCAAGGACAATGGACATATGACAGACAGAAACTTCATAACATAAGGCATCTATATACAAGGTATGAAGCACCGAGGTCTTCTACATTGTAAAATGTAAATGTTAAGCTTTGGTCACACCTTACCAGATAGCTCGAACGGATGCCAAACGGATGAAAAAAAGTTTTTTGTGGACAAAATTTGTATCCGTTGGGTGTCCGTTGGTATACTGATCAAATAAAACGAATGGGTAACGAATGCCTAAAGGACACTCATAGGATATGCAACTTACGAGAAACGGAAACGTACCGGACGTCGAACATACAACCAACGTACGAGTACCGCATAAAACGGACACCTAACGGAAGCGTACCAGATAAAACGGATAAACAAGATAAGCGGAAAATTAAAAGCGATAATAATAATACATATTTCAGGACTAAGCAATGATCTTGCCCACCATTTCCTTTGTTTTCTCCTTCTTCTCCTTTCGACAACTAGTAGGTTTATATTTGCAACTTTTAAGTTCAGTCAGCCCTGAATAAGAGCTGCTTGATAGTGAAGACATGCATTTACTCCAAGATAGACTTTCATGACACTCAAGAAATCTGACATATCAATAATTGTCATTTCTGAGTGACGCGAAATTTTCAATTGGCATTTATCAGTTTTATATTCGGTAGGTATCCGTTATCCTTCTGTTCATGTCCATTTCCCATCCGTTCATCATCCGTTTCATCCGTTATACATCCGGTAGAAGTCCGTTGGCGAATTTGTCTACCAGACCTCTAACGGATGTATAAGGGACAAGTAACGGATACAAAACGGAAACGAAACGGACGAGTACCGTACAAAACGGACGTCTACCGGACGTTCAACGGACACTTCATCCTTTGGACGTCTGTTCAAAGTTTTGAACATGCTCAAAATTTTCCAACAGAAAGAACGGACGTCGACAGATAAAACAGACGCTAAACAGACATGAAACGGATATGGACGGACGTCTAAGGGATAAGAACTGATGTCTAACGGACATGAACGGATTGAAAAAAAGTTATACGTTCGGCATCCGTTCGAGCTATCCGTTAAGGTGTGACCGAGGCTTACTACATATAGTTTACACCCCTGCCACTGCTTGATAGTTATCCCTATGTCTCGCATACTGCAACTTTCATCGCAGAAACACAAAAATGTAAAACTTCTACAACATTAAAAGAATAGGAAACAATATACTTAAAGAGTACAAAATCTTATCAACACTGGTTAGTGAACCACTACCAAAGGTGAACTCTATCTTACCTATCATTAATCCATCTATTTGGAAAAATCCAGCAAATTACAGTATATACTTGTTACAGATGGTACCAATTAAAAATTTAATTATTAATAACATATTTCTCCGAAATTCCAATGCTGTTCAAAGTTTAGCAAATTTAGCAAGCTAACATATCTAGAAGAACAATTATTTGTTTAATTCCAAGCAGAATATCAAATTATAAAAGGACAACAAAATATTAATTAATAGCAGAATTACAAATTATCAGGGACAACAAAATATCAATATTAAAGCAATTAAAAATTATTAGGACAACATAATGATAATATATTTAGAATTCATTGATAAATTAGCATACAATTACATTTTAAAATAAGTAATGATAATTAAAGCATTCAACCATCACATGCAAAGTTATAAAAAGAAGAGTAAAGCAACTGAAATTTTACATCAAATACTTACCTTGATTCAGTTAAAAGTTCAAAGAAATGTTCATAAAGGGATTTCTGAAGATCGAATGGTGCCTCGTGCCAAACCTATAGAATAATAATCAAAACATTTTGTTGAAACACATATCCAAGCATCTTAAATATTTGAAAATAAAAGAAGAATGTTTATGAGGACATAAATCCTCCTGCTCAAGCTTTGCAATTTTCCAAGTTAAAAAGGGGCACAACTCTATAACGGTAAATGACTCAACGCCCAAATTCGAACTCTGACTGCGAGTTATGGTTCTTAGCATGTGTATGAGTTTCATAAAATTTGGATGAGGAAAACTTAAGAGTGCAGAAACGAAAATGGGACAAACAGACAGAAAGATGGAAGGACGGAAGGAGGGTCAAGGGCAACACAAAATGCCCCCATTGCCTACAGCAGGGGCATAATTAAGGTATTGTAAAAGAAGAAATAACTTATTTCACAAAATACAGAATATGTTTTTCTTATCACCTAACATGAATTCAGTCACACATTGATCCTTTTTTTTGATTCGTCCAAGTATAAAATATTTTTTTTGTAACATCATAAGACATGATACCCCTTTTCCACTCTGTCTTTAATTGCAAAATCAGAGAACTCACAATCTAATTTTTGTTGAGAACAAACAAATCACATACTTTATCCAATTGAGAAATGTATCAATCAACAAAGCATTAAAAAATACAGTATTTATAATAGCAAGAGAGTTTAGTTCAGTTTTTTTTTATACATTTGAAAAGTATATGAGACTTTAACAAGCAAACACTAATATAAACCATTTGCAGTGTGTTTGTAGTTAAAACACTAATCCATGACATAAATGATTCTATATTCAGTTTCCTTATGCTATTTTTTATAGTTGATGAATGTATATGATCAAGTAATGAACCAATAAACAAATAGAAATTCACTGTCAACATTCTCAACACACACTTATAAATACTTAAAATAAAAAAAAAAGGTTTTCTCAACTCTATCACAGAGTTAAACTTACCTCCAAATCACAGAGTAAATCTTCAAAAGCCTTTTTATTTGGTATGACTGAACTTTCTTTGCCACTGTCTACCGTACCAATCAGTGAGAAAGTCAGATGTAAGATATGACTGTTCAATAGGTGCTGTTTCTTCTTATATAACATGGAAAGTGTCTAAAAGTTTCATATTGAATAAGAAAAATAAGATGTGACTGTTCAAAAGATGTTGTTTCTTTTTGTTTAACATAGAAAGTGTCTAATATACACACATATCATATTGAATAAGAAAAATAAAAACAATCAGTATTTTTATATTGCAACAGATTTACACTAATATTTCAGCATGAAATTGTCTCTTCAAATCAAGTGCTTTAAAAAATTTGGAAATATTATAAACATTGATAAACAGGGGTCACCATAACTGTTTGAATCCATATGTTCTTATGTAACTGAATTTTAGCATAAATACCTGATATCCTTGTATTCTGTCCATGTCTTTTAAAATGTTTTTATTGCTCTTGACAACACACACAAGTGCCTTAACTGCAGCATACAGCTCTTCTACATCTGTTGCCATGGCAATTAACCCCAGTAATGCAGAGGCTCCACCAACATTCTCTAACATCTTAGCTACAGCTTTTGGACAAAATGTCCTAACACCTGTAACAGACAATAATATAATATACGTAAATATCTTCAACATATCCTCAAACACACTTCTTTTCAACGCTTGCTAGTAAACTTTCCCATTTTCCCAACAAGTTCTTTTATTAGAAAGTGTTGTAATCTAATATATAAATTCAATGACCAGAATTTTCACGTCTTTGTTACATAAAGGTCTTATCCATTTGTACAATGGTGATATCTTCAATGTTTTATGTTTCCTTACCTAAATATCCAATCAGTATAGCTCCAAGACTTCTGGCAGGCCCATTCATATGACCAGCTGAATTTGGCAGGATTCTGATAGGAGTAGCATTATCATGTGCTGACATGGCAAGCTGGAAACACAATTTAACTTCTAGTTATATGTAAATATATGCCAGTAGTGATATCAGTTTCAGATAAATCTAAGATTCATTTTCTGACAACGCTATTTACCTTTTCAAAGTTATCAATAAAATTTGCAGTGTACAGACATTTTTAGTTTATTCAAACTTTTATAATTGAATTCCTGCATCAGCTCTTGTGTAAAATTTTGAAAAAAATAACATAAAATTACAAAATTTATCAAAGTTTCTGATAAATTTAATGTCTTTAAAAATATGAACCATTGGAATAAGATGTTTACCTGCTTGGCAATAGATTTACTATCTATTTTGTTGTAAGCCTTTCTGATCTTTGATACAGTCATTTGCAATACAGTATGTGCATGTACACCATACATCACTTTCTCTTCATTAATATATGGTCCTTGGAAGTCAACTTCATCTATGATATACAAAATATGTATTTTAAGGATTTCCTTCCTAAAATTATATGGTTGGTAGAGAAAAAAATTTTTGGGCACAATATGGAAACCAGTGTTTTCACCAGATCTGTTTCCAGTATTATACATATCTCCAATAAAGAACTCTGCCATTAGAACGAAGTTATGATGTTTTACATGTTTTTGATCAATTTGAATGCAAAATTTGATGACACAAGTTAGTGGTTAAAACATTCGTTTTTGGTGAAAAGATTATAAAAAACAAGCATTCTGTGAGTATTGCATGGCAATACATAGTCCCCTAACGGTTACAAATTCATTGTAATGGAACGAAATTCTAACTTGATTTATAACTTGTCATGGTGTAAACTACATAAAAATATCAAGTCAAAACCTTCAAGCATGACGAAAAAACTGTTGAAACCTGATTATTTAAGTGAATTTTCTATGTCCAAAGACCATAACTCTGCACAAAATTATCAGACTGGAACAAAATTCCAACTTGATCTGTAACTTGTCATGATAAAACTATATACTAATTATCAAATCAATATCTTCAAGAAAAACAAACAAACCTACCACTAAATTCTTCAAACAATTTACCAAAGAAAAGGAAAAAAATCCAAAATGTCATTTTGTCTTTTAAAAATCTTTTAAATAAAAATGAGTTATTTCCCTTTGAACAGAAATCTACTAATTAATAAGTATTTCATCAAAATTTTATTCTAGGGAAAGGGCTTTAACTGAACAAAGAGATAAGCTAAAATCGTGAAAATGGAACTTGACCTGTAACTTGTCATGATAAATCAATAAACCAAATATCAAATCAATATCTTCAAGCACGAAGAAAAAAAGTCTGGAAAACTGATTTGCCGGACTGACAGATGGACAGACAGACAGACGGAGTGCAAACCTGAAGTCCCCTTCGACTTTGTTGGTAGAGGACTAAAAAACATCCTAAAAATACAGTAATATAGTGATACAAAAATTCAAAACATAATCAATATGTGATGTATTAACAGCATATTACCCATATTTGGTGCTTGGAAACTGCCAATATAAATGGGTCCAAGGTTGTAGATATTTTTAATGACATTGGAGCTGACTATATCCTCCATAAGATGACATGGGCCCTGTCTCCAAGTTAGTCGTGAATTACGTCTGACCTGAGGAGGACTTCCAATGTAGGCAAAGACTGAGGTAAAGGCTGTGGGACTAGCTGTTCCTCCTACTCCAAGGTTAGGGGATACATAGTGTAGCTGAAAATTACAAAACAACCATATAATAAATATATGACATAATAATTTCCACCAACCCCATTTAAAAAACCAAACACAAAATACCACTTACTTACTAAATAGGTAAAAGAAGGAGTTGCTGGCTATCTTTAATAAACACATAAACATATAAAAAATCCTTATCAATCTTTCAAATCAAAGGATGTATATAAATAGCTAAACAATGACTTATTGAGATACCTTCTGAGTATTCACATGATCACCATCTACAAATAGACCAACACTACTATTCTTCATAATTCCTGCTCTGTGAAATATTAACACCAGATGGTGCCACTGTCCTTCCTGTGTTAGTTCAGGATACCAGAATCTTACTCTATTGTCATTTAAAGATAATTCTTCGTCTATTTCTGACCCTGTAACTAACAAAGTAAAGAAATCAATATATCATATATGAATTTTTTTTCTATATAAATATCATATAAAAGCTATGTAACAACAAAAGATATTTCATTTTGTCTATTCAGATATTTGATATTGATGTCATATTCTTCTACTGTTTTCTCAGTAAAGGAAAAAGTTTCAATTAAACAAATACTCCAACCTGCTTGCAACAACTTTCAAACGCTAGTTCAAATACAGAAATTGCCCTTATGTGCAATATGGGTATTATTGTTTTATGTCTTTTCTTCTGTTGATATTTTTTCATCATTATGGTCAACTGTTTATCATATTTTTTTAATCTCTAACCTACTGTTAGAATAGAAAAAAATCATAATTTTAGAAATTAAAAAAAACTATCAGCATGTTGAGCTGCATCTTTTTGCATTTATCTTATAAATTTTGGGTTTTCCTTGCAGTCTTTATGAACATCTATCTAATAATTCCATTGCTTTAATTGTAACAGTTAATTCTATTGACTTAATTTATTGACTGGATGCACATGACTTTTCTTAGATCATATATATTTAGCTACCATTACCAAGATATAATCCACAAATCTTACCCGTATTAGGTAACAAATGCTCCTCTGTTGACACTATCAATGCCTTTTCTCTAGATGTCAATATGACACTGAGACATATTAAATTTTCTTCTCTACCCTGTAAATTCCTGACTAGTGTAAGAAGCCTAACTGGATGTGGATCAGACCTACTACTGAATTTATCTACACAAAACCATGTGGAAAATGTCATCCCTGCCTGGGGTGGAAATACTCTTTCTCCTAGAAAAGAAAACATATTTTAAATATAACAATAATAAGTCCTTCAAAAATTAGTAAGATTAATGTAAAATAAATAATTATTGAAAGATATTTTGTGCAAAATACCATCGGAATTCTTATGACAAAAACATTTATTTTTTTAATAAATATGAACTGATTGGAACAATATTTTGTAATGTAAAAATTTGAGCTATGACTATAAAAAAACATCTTCTTTACAACTAATACATATAACATGGATTGTATCAATAAGTGGAAAACAAGACTAAAATAAAGGTATTTCAACTGCAGGGAGGCAATTTTTTGGGACATTTTTATTGTAAAAAAAAAGGTGTTTTTTTTCTGATGATAGGGGGATGTACAACACTGATAGGTATTCTGATCCTATTTTTGTTATTTTAGAGTGAAAACATTGCAATACCTGTTCCAATTCCTCCTATAACCACAGGATCATTACCTCCAACTACACCACTAACTACAGATGGTGTTGGAGGTCCCTGGGGTGCAATACTTGGTAAATATAGACATCCAAATCCCTCTGCTGTCATATCAAACTCTACAAAAGATGGTGTCACAGCTGATCCGTGCATTCTCGCATCTTTTGGTGTTGTCATAGAAACTAAACATTTGACTCTGGTCAATGGGACAGCCTCACCAGCAGTTTTCAGTTTTCTTTCTACCTCAACAGGTGTCTTTCTCTCCTCAACACTAGATGCCCTACTGATAGGCCAGTTACAACTCCAATTGTTAGAACCTATATCATAGTCATTGTCCATAGGACGACAATTCAAAGGAGATCCCAATCGTAAGAAATCTCTGAAGCATAAAATATGTGCTAATGAGTCTAATGTTCTTTATTTTACATTATTTTTTTTTTAAATATCAAAATTAAATGTCTCCCCTTCATCTACAGCATGTATAAAGGTCACTCATCTGGTGAAGTAGAAATATTGTGGCAACTTAAAATATATATGGTTTTCGGTGCAAATTTGAACAGTTTAAGACTATAAATACTAAAATCTGATCTCTATTTTATAATATACAATTAAAACTTAACAAATGTTAAACATGACAGATTTGAAGATCAATTTCAAAAGAAAATATATGATTATGTTTATGTTTATGTATTCTCAATATAATATTTCACAATTTCAGTTTAACATTTTAACAGTCTTTAAACTTTGTTCTATCACATTTCATAGAACATTTTTTTATCTGTTTAAATATATATACCTCAAGTCTCTAGGTGTTAGAGATTGTGATGCCAGCCTTTCAAACATAGATCTGAGTGAGGGGTGGAGTGGGTGTGTCTCGTCAGCTAATGCTATATATCCATGACTTAAAAGTTCATGAGGGTACCCATATTCACACATTATCTGTTGATTCCTTTCTGTGTGTAACAGACTCTTCAATAGTTCAGCTGTGTTAATCTGGAGAGCTAGGGCAGGCTGAAATGATTTTTTTTTTATTAATGGCCTTGTTATAATTAACACTGTATGTAAAATGGGATGAAAAAAATATTAAAGTAGATGAAATAACATTTTCTGATGCATGTTGGAGGCTACATAGATAATTGGAAAAATTCTTACAAAAAATGCAAATAATACAACATGATGAAGAGTGTTTATTGGCAAGGTAAATAAACAGATTTTGTAACCATTTCCATAGATGATGGATGGTAACCATCTCCATAGATGATGGATGGTAACCATTTCCATAGATGATGGATGGTAACCATTTCCATAAATGATGGATGGATTAGTGATTAAGCCCAGTGATAAATATTACATGCATATCAGGACAAGATCATGTAAATATTGGTGTGGTCTGTTGTACTATCCAATATTTATAGTAATTCCTGTTATCTTTTTATGTATTAAATTAAAAACAAGTGAAACTGCGAGCTACTGCACAATGATGATACCCATGCCACAACTGTAACATGCTCACCTTGGATGAGGGAAGTCATGGGATTCATCCCAGACCAGGTAATATCAAAGACTTGAAAATGGGTATTTGTTGCTTCTTCACCAAGCGCAAAAATTTAGAAGTAAGAGCAAAGACTGGTCGCCTCAGAGTTAGAATAATGTGTCTGGATAGTGTTACAAACTGACCATGCGAGAGCTTATTAGCTAGTCTAGGTCATAACACACACCCACTAGTGTTATTTAGTGGAATTTTAATAGTGTAAATATATGTCAGTGTTCGGTAAACAGGAAGTTGTTGAGAGATAGATCTGAAAATGCATCACACGATAGAGCTGACTCATATAAACTCTGAAACAAATTTTCAGAAATCCTTGTAATGTAGTTCCTGAGAAAAATGTGACTAAATATGAACCCTGCTTTGGACTAAAAAGACATGCTGAGCTGGCTATTCAATGGGCTAGTTATCAAGGTAACAGTCCTCAGGAAACATGTAACACTAGTGGGTGTGTGTTATGACCTTGACTAGCTAATAAGCTCTCGCATGGTCAGTTTGTAACACTATCCAGACACATTATTCTAACTCTGAGGCGACCAGTCTTTGCTCTTACTTCTAAATTTTTGCGCTTGGTGAAGAAGCAACAAATACCCATTTTCAAGTCTTTGATATTACCTGGTCTGGGATGAATCCCATGACTTCCCTCATCCAAGGTGAGCATGTTACAATAGATTGCATAGGCAGTTTTCATACATAAATAAAGAGCTGCGCCATGAGCACATGATATGCTTTTTCAATCGAATAAAGTTGAAGAACTTCTCAATGTCATATCAGAAATTTATAAAAGACTAAAGGGAGCTTATTATAATAGATATAAACCAGTCACCAAAGTCTCATGAAAACAGTTCAAAGCATTTTTGAGTTTTTGTCCGAAAACTGGAAAATCCCACCTTTTTTTATAAAAAAAATAACTCGGAAACCTAAAAACCAAAATTTATAAAAATTGAGAAAGAGCTTACGTCAATAGATATAAACTATTAACCAGTTTCATGAAAATTGGTTAAACCCTTTCTATATGCCAGTTTACATGATATAATATGGTATAACTTTGTCTGTCTGTCCGTCCGTCCATCCGTCGTCAACATGTCGGACAATAACTCAAACGCGTTTAGAGTTATTGTCTGACATTTTGATGACAGACAGACGGACAGACAACAGCATAATGGGCATATAGAAACCAAGTAAAATGGAATTGTTAGGATAAATGTAACAACAAACAATATTGAGAAAAGGCATGCTATTTCTATATCTTTCAAGGTTTTTATTTAAATACATACCTTCTTATCATCATCATGTTCTATGGCTGGCAGCAGGTGGAACAAAGACAAGACAGCACCAGGATGTACAATAATTTGATCTGCACTAACATGTGATGCTTCAGGTATACTTCCTGTACTGGCTCGTTTCTGTTTAGGTGAGGACTGGGGAGAGGTACTACTCTCTTTAAACATTGTCAGCCTCTTTAATGATGGAGAATCTGTCTTTGCCTGGCTAGATGTTGGTCTAAAATGTAAAGATAGATGATATCAATTATCTTAAACAAAGATATTACACTTTTCATATGATATAATGAAAAATATTTATGATTTTCCTATGAATTTAAATATAAGATTACATAACCAATAATTATGAATTTCAAGGTAAAACTTTCCTCTACTATTTATCTGTAGTATAAAAGTATCATATCATTCATACTTCATACTATTCCTATTCATCCTATTATGCAAATACTTAGACACTTACTTATCAAAGATATCCTGAGCCATATTATACAAGTACTTTAACATTACACAAGCAGATAACAGTGTCATGGGAATGTCATCATAGCCCCTGTAAAATAGAAAGGAAAATATACATAAAATACTAATATCATACAATAACATAAAACAATTTTAAATTTTGTATATCTTACACTGACACCTGATTTAATATGCACCTCTTTACAGCATACAACAAACATTTCAGTCAGATAAGCAGTTTTTTTATTTGAGCTGTGAAAATGCACTGAGACATTGATTGCATTATCTTCTCCGATATAAAGTTGACCATGATAATATCTGAATAATACAACGTCTTTGTACCATTTTTCTGAGGAGTTGTTTCAGGAACAATTGTTTGATTGATGGTGAAGTTAAAAGGTACAAAAATTAAAAATGTAACTTGAAGGTACTTAAAATGAACAATGCATGGGTCATGGGAATCAAATTACTATTAACAGGAAAATACTTAGGTTTCTTATTAAATTTGCATGGGTTCTTGAAAGTGTTCTTAACATACTAAAAAGAGTTAATTGCAGATAGTCAAACAAATGTTCTGATTGCAAGGATTGTTCTAAAAAATAATGATAAAAAAGATATGAAATAAAAAATTTAAAGAACATATTAAAAAAAAAAAGAATGTTAGATTGAACATGTTGAATAAAGATAGAGAAAATTTATAAGTACAAGGGTACTATAAACATAATACATTCGGATGGAAAGTTGAAGAAAACACACTTTAAAAGACAATTTCTACAGCACACGGTTACATTTACGACAAAATTTATGTCGATTAAAAACCTCCTGATCTGAGTCCCAATCTCCTGACCAAAATTTCCTAATCTCCTGATCTGAGTTTCACAGTCCATCACATGTATGATATAAGTTTATTCTGAAATACCTCTATCCATAAGATAAGGATTAATTAACTACTAACTTAGATTCTTTGGTATTTACAAAAACATCTTCAAACAGCATTTTTTGTTCTTCTGCTTCTGTCACTTCACCAGATGGTTGTATATCTATTGTGGAGGAGAAACAGCCCAGTAATCTTACAGCTTCTGTCAGACTATCATATCTAACCTGTAATAAATAAGTTGTGTTTATAATGTATATTGCATCTCATGTTTTTCAATTGTGTCCAATCAAAGCAAAAATTTAGCAAAACCAATATAAACAAAAGTTTTGTATAACATAATGTCATACTATCCCTATTGATAAATGAGGATTAAATGGCCACCTCAATTATCTAGTTAGACTGAGGTATGTTTAGATTAAGATGAATTTAAATTATTCTCAAATCAATGAAGTTCTCACTTTGATTCCCAATTAAATCAGTTTTTTTAACATAGATTTTCTTCCCTTTCAGTGTCTTATGTCACTCGTTTTCTTCATCAAATTTTAATTTAATAAAAACATTAACAGGATCTATCCGGGAGAAGTCAATCAGATGCTGAATCCTTAAAATTATGACTGAAGCAATTAAATAAATAATTTTTCCAAATTTTTTTTAAAATTCCATTCTGTTCAAGTTTGTTTTTGTCTTCGGATGAATGGGTCTAAGAGGAGTTCCAGTTTACATATGGCATCCACATATGAATCACACAAAAGCCCATTTTAGGCTATCAGAAAAACAAAGCCATAAACTATAATTCCTGCTAAAGACTTTGTTCAAGTATAATGAGATTCTATCGAAAATAGTAAAGGATTTGCAGATAAGACAATGTATACCACTTAATGATTCATTAAAAAGTCCTTTTTGGATATCGACAAAGTAGATGACTAATTTCCACAATGCAAGGCAACAGAAAGTATTCCAAAGTGTAAACTCACATATGTAAGTACCAATAAATAAACTGCTTCGCTGAGCACAGCTAGATACGCCCGCAGAGGTCCAACCATGAACAGTTGGGGCAAAAATGGACACAATATTCAAGCTTGATTCAGGTCTGAATTTGGATTGTAATTAAATATTTGACATATAGGTTTCTGAATAAATGTAGTCAAAGAACTTGAAATTGGTTATATGAATTGAATTTATATTCAATTAAAGATTTCTTGCTGTTGTGCAATACTTAGTAAATCTGTTGTCAGACTATAAACAAATAAAGTTCAATTAATTCTCAATGTCATATTTGAAATTTATGAAATTGAGTTATTGTTCGAAAACTGAAAAATCACCCCTTTTTTAATGAATAAAACCCCATTACTCAGAAATGTAAAATGTAAAATTTATAAAATTTTAAAGGGAGCTTACATCAATACATACAAACAATTCACCAAAGTTTCATAAGAATTGCTGAAAGCATTTTTGAGTTTTTGTCAGAAAACTGGAAAATCCCCCCTTTTTTTATGAATAAATACCTGTAACTCGGAAACGTAAAATCTAAAATTTATAAAAATCTAAAGGGAGCTCATGTCAATAGATATAAACAATTCACCACAATTTCTTGCAAGTTGGTGAAGCATTTTTGACTTATTGTCCGAAAACTGGAAAATCCCCCTTTTTTTAATGAATAAAACCCCATAACTCAGAAACGTAAAATCTAAATTTTATAAAAAATGAAAGGGAGCTCACGTCAATAGATTTAAACAATTCACCAAAGTTTTATGCAAATTAGTTAAAGCATTTTTGAGTTCATGTCTGACATGTTGACGACGGACAGACGGACGGACGGACGGACGGACGGACAGGGGTATACCATAATACGTCCCGTAAACGGGCGTATTAAAACAGATGAACAGAATCCTTATTGCTGCATTTATCCTAATAACCTAGAAGTGTTACATACCTCAGTCTCAAAGAATTTGGCATTAGCAGGTTCATATCTCATGGCTACAGTTAGAGTACTGAACACAGTCTTCAGCATACTTAATACATCAGTTCTTCTTACTAAAATATTCAATAATCCAAAATTAACAAGCAGGCCATAATGTTGCCGGCGAAAAGACGATTTAATCGCCAAGGAATTTTGAAAATCGCTAAAACTCGCCAGCTGAATGACTTCATGGCGAAGTCAAATCACTATCAAAATCGGTAAAAGGGAGACAACTTCAATTTTACAAGTTTCACAGGTAACAAAAATGGCGGCGACAAGGAAAATCGAAATTTTCGAATTGACCCAGGACTAATACTTTCGACGTTTAAATGAAATAAATACAACGGCGACTTTGAGCATCCATAGATTTAACTTTCAAAACTATTGAAAAAAGAAGCAGAGCGTCTGTTTGAGTTATCATTTTACGATGATTTTCATCCGAGGATGTTGCGTAATCACTCAGCTGATTTGTTTTATTTTTATTTATTACGAGACGATCAATTTTACTATTCGGTAGGTCAAGGGTGGGAATGAACCGAAGATTTTTTACATTCTTTGATCAAAAATTGAAATTTAAAAGGTAGAAAGACAGCTAATGAATAATTTGACTGCAAACGTACAACAAATGGCCAGCTTGTGACCAAATTATTTGTTAATTAGGGCTCATAAATTGCCATTTTTTTTATTGGGGAGATATCTTTTATAACAAAATGATAAAAATTAGCTCTTTATCGACTTATTAAAATGTGATTGCTAAATATTTTCATTTATATATAGGCTTGCAATCTTTCACGAGATTCTCAACTTACAGCTGACATGATGTCCTGGACAGTCAATATTTTTTTTAAATTATGACATGTGATGATAAACATTAAATTGCCCAGTCATTAAAAAGTCATCACATAAACTGGAAGCCATATTTTTCTGGACTTATTGAAGCAGATGCACATGGGATTAATGCATGATAATATTACTAGGCAAGCAACAAACTTAATTTCAAGATGACAGCACAAAGGTTGAATGAATAAATAACAACTACATTGTCTAAACCTTTTTATTAAGAATTTTCAATTCATACATTTTATACAATATCATATAAAACATTGCAAGTATATTTATCATTGCATAAATAAAACAATTTTTCCTTAATGATGTACACGAAAACACTATGCAAGCGAAACGGTAATGGAATTTCACTTCTCCATGAAATTGATCACTTCTCTCAACTCTCTCATGGAAGGAGAAGTCACTTCTCCCTCTCAAAAATCCTAGATTAGGCCCTGAACAAGGGGCTGTCGAGTGACAGCAAACCGGATTTTCCTGCAGAGGTCCAACCCTGAACAGTTGGGGCAAAAATGGACACAATATTCAAGCTTGATACAGGTCTGAATTTGGATTGAAATTAAATAATTGACACATTTTAGGTTTCTGACACAGATAAATGTAGTCAAAGAACTTAAAATTGGATATATGTTTTGAGTTTATATTCAATTGAAGATTTCTGCTGTTGTGCAATACTTAGTAAATCTGTTTTCAAACTATATACAAAGAATTAGCAATTGTGACCCCCAATTTTTCTTTGGAAAACTGACAGTTTCTTAAATCTTGAAATAAAATTGACCCCCCAAAAAAAAAAATTTGTTTACCTCCCCTTTTTTCCCCAAAAAAAAGTTTTTGCAGAAATTTTCTTTTTAATTTCTTAAATCTTTAGGATAAAAAATTGTCCCCCCCCTCAAAAAAAAAATTGTTTTACACCCCTATTTCTTTTTGTAAAATGTACAATTTATGAGACATCAATACACTTAAATACAAGTTATTGCCTGAAAACTAGAAAAAAGCTTGTTTTAGACCCTTTTTGGCCCCTAATTCCTGAACAGTTTGGGCAATTACCCCAAACATGGATCCCAAACTTCAAATCGTGGTATTGAATCTTGTGGTACAATTTTAGAGCAATCAAAATACTTATACAAAAGTTATTGTCCTGAAACTAGAAAAATGCTTGTTTTTGGCCCCTAATTCCTAAACGGTTGGGACCATCACCCCCAAAAACAATCCCAACCTTCCTTTAGTGGTAAAATTTCATAGAGATCCATTCACTTAAACTAAAAGTTATTGTGCGAAAACCAATGTGTCTTCTTTTTGCAGTCATATAAAAATCCAAAATTTTATTTATCATTTATACAATGTCTTTTAAAAATCTATACAACTTATCTGTAATGATCTTCAAAATGTCTAAAAATATAGCTTATAATCATCAGCATTTAGGAAACAGAAAATTTTCAAATTAAAGAACCTGAGTGAGCGCGCTCACATACCCCACGTCCCCACATTGTCATTGGAGAAATAAAATAAGTGTAAGAAAAAAAAATTGTATAAGAAAAAAAAATTGAATCATAATTTCCTGTCGATATGCACATCTATGTAGTATGTTCTTATTATCTACAGAGTATCATGAAATTCTGTTGTGTGGTTTCAGAAGAGTTGCAATGACAAACTGTTGCAAAAGTACATTGAAGCAAATAAGTTCAAAGGGGCGTATCACTAAGAAAAAAAATGAATCGTAATTTCCTGTCGATATGCACAACTACATAGTATGTCCTTATTATCTAAAAAGGTTTCATGAAATTCTGTTGTGTGGTTTCAGAGGAGTTGCGATGACAAACTGTTGCAGTAGTATATTTGGCAAATAAGTTCAAAGGGGCGTAACTCCTGGAAAAAAAATTGAATCGTAATTTCCTGTCGATATGCACATCTACGTTGTATGTCCTTATTATCTAAAAAGGTTTCATGAAATTCTGTTGTGTGGTTTGAGAGGAGTTGCGATGACAAACTGTTGCAGTAGTACATTAAAGTAAATAAGTTCAAAGGGGCGTAACTCCTAGAAAAAAAATTGAATCGTAATTTCCTGTCAATATGCACAACTACATTGTATGTCCTTATTATCTAAAAAGGTTTTGTGAAATTCTGTTGTGTGGTTTGAGAGGAGTTGTGATGACAAGAAATAGGACTGACAGACGGACAGACGGACGGACAGACAGACGGACGGACAGACAGACGGACAGACAGACGGACGGGTCAAAAACATTATACCCTCTGCAACTCGTTGCGTGGGATATAATAAATATGTCACTCCAATTATAATTCTGAGATAAGACATTTACCATATGCTTTGTCATAATCTGATAACAGGAGAAAATTATTTAAAAATATTAGTGTAATCAGACTTTATATATATAATTAACCATTTCTGTACAAAAAGGAATAACTCAATCACATTATAAATACCACTTTTGGATATTTAAAAGGGCGATAACTAAACAAGGAGAAAAGCTAAAATCGTGAAAATTGAACTTGACCTTCATTTAGTCACAGGAAACAACATATCTAAATTTGAGAAAATTTCATCAAAGCGTTTTCATGTTATTGAACGGACACTGTTTGGCAGCCGCTCACCGTACATCCCCAAATCAATTACCAATATTTCCTTCGAAAATCCGGTTAAAAATAAAGACAATGACACAAAAATTATGAAAATAGCACTTGTTCTATTAAATAATATTGATATGACGGTTGCACTAATTATCCAATGCACATATTTAATCCCACACCAAAAGTTGATGCATTGAAATTGGGAAAATACCCATGTTTAAATTTGTTATAATGAGAAAAAGGAAAATTTATCTGAAACTGAGATTTACCTTGATCCCAGGGAACTTTAGGTGGATCACACAAACAACCTTCCATAGACACTAAGACAGACATAACATACACAAATCCTCCTACTCTACGGAATACTGTTCTTGATCTGTGACTCTCTCTTAATACATTCAATAGTGCCTAAAAAACATCATGTTCATTGGTGATGCAATTTTAATAGAAATACTGTTAACATTTTAATTTTCAGGTGTCTTATTTTGGAATATTTTTGTAATTACATTCATACTATTAAGGGCTAAATGTATATTAAAGGTAATTGTGAACATAGATAGTATTTTGATTGACAGAGAAATTTTATATACCAAGTAAAATAGCAATTTTTCAACCCTATTAGCCCTTCATAGCTTGGAAACCGTAAGAATAATGCAAAATATGCTGCCATATAAATCATCAAGCTCTCAAAACCACAAAAAAAGTAACTGATAACTTTAGTATTAAGATTACTAATATACAATGCGATGTTATGCATTGACTGTTTGAGAATAAAGATCAATATATATATATATATATAATAAGAGATCTGTTGAATTGTGAACACTGAAATAGATGATCAAGCTCTTTGTGAGATATTTCTGTAATAGTGAAATTGTAAAAAAATATCCCGGAATAGTTATGGGTTTCTGTTTTGGTTTTGGAATAAGCAGAACAAGAATGTGTCCATAGTACAGCGGTTGCCCCACTTGCACTATCATTTTCTATGTTCAGTGGACCATGAAATTGGGGTCAAAACTCTAATTTGGCATTAAAATTAGAAAGATCATATTATAAGGAACATGTGTACTAAGTTTTAAGTTGATTGGACTTCAACTTCATCAAAAACTACCTTGACCAAAAACTTTAACCTGAAGCAGGACAGACGGACGAACAGACGAACAAACAAACGCACAGACCGAAAAACATAATGCCCCTAGGTGGGGCATAAAAAAATCACAGTATTCATATAAATATCATTATAAGTGACCTTTTGCTATGAATATGCTGGAAATAAATACAGACCACATGACTAAATTTTCTTTGCTTTAAATGAAATCACACACTGAAAATTCAGAAATTGATACAAGGTTTTTATTATTGCAAAATAATGTAAATGGGTAAGTATTGCAACAATCAGAACTCACATCCTGATATCTGACACATATATTTGTATGCAGCTTTTCCTGCAATCACATTAATCATTCTCACATATTGGTCTGTCATGTAGTAATCGCAATAATAAATGCACACAATAGTCTCTGAATTTATAGTATATTTGTCTTTCTTGTCTTCAATTCCTTGAGCAATATCTTTATTATAGTTACCTTTAAAATATGTGTTTTTAGTTGAAGTGACAACACTGGTGAAGAATGCATCAGCCCTAGTAATGTTCCCATATCATCATCACCACCAGGGGACAGCACTAGTTGTTGTACAATATTTAAAGTTTGTTGACGACACTGCATATGTGGAATCATTGTATGTGCACAGCGAGCACCTCCACACTCTCTAAAAACATCTGAAATTCAATGAAAGTTCAAATATAATAATTAAACTTAGAAAACAGACAAAATAAAATGCTCCGCTGGGGCGCAGCTTGATACGACCGCAGAGGTCAAACCCTGAACAGTTGGGGCAAGTATGGACACAACATTCAAGCTTGATACAGCACTGAATTTGGATTGTAATTAAATATTTGACACAGCATAGGTTTCTGACACAGAATGAATGTGGTCTAAGAACTTAAAAAATTTTGATTTACCTATTCAAACCATATCATTATTATTTGCTTTTATATATAAATCAGAAATAACCAATTTAAAATGGAAAATTTAAAAGAAAAAAAAGGAAAAAAAAATCCCCCCCCCCCAATTTTTGAACCCCCTTATGATTCATCACCCCTAAACTCAATCCCAGCCTTCCCTTTGTGGTATGGTACCTTGCAGTACAATTTCAGAGAGATCCATACACTTGAACACAAGTTATTATCTGGAAACTAGAAAAATGCTTGTTTTTTTGGCCCCTTTTTGGCCCCAAATTCCTAAACCTTTAGGGCAATTACCTCCAAACTCAAACCCAGCTTTCCCTTTGTGATATGGAACCTTGCAGTACAATTTCATAAAGATCCATACACTTACACACAAGTTATTGTCATGAAAATAGAAAAATGTTTGTTTTTTGCCCCTTTTTGGCCCCTTATTCCTAAAATTTGGAGGCAATTACCCCCAAAATCAATCCCAGCATTCCCTTTGTGATATGGAACCTTGCAGTACAATTTCATAAAGATCCATACACTTACACACAAGTTATTGTCATGAAAATAGAAAAATGTTTGTTTTTTGCCCCTTTTTGGCCCCTAATTCCTAAAATTTGGAGGCAATTACCCCCAAAATCAATCCCAGCATTCCCTTTGTGATTTGGAATCTTGTGGTACAATGTCAGAGAGATCCATACACTTACACACAAGTTATTGTCATGAAACTAGAAAAATGCTTGTTTTTTGCCCCTTTATGGCCCCTAATTCCTAAAATTTGGAGGCAATTACCCCCAAAATCAATCCCAGTATTCCCTTTGTGATATGGAACCTTGTGGTACAATGTCAGAGAGATCCATACACTAACACACAAGTTATGTCTGGAAGTTACAAAAATGCTTATTTTTTGCCCCTTTTTGGCCCTTAATTCCTTAACTGTTGGTACCATAACCCCCAAAATCAATCCCCACCTTCCTTTTTTGGTATTGAACCTTATGGTAAAATTTCATAGAGATCCATTCACTTAAACTAAAGTTAGAGTGCGAAAACCAACGTGTCTTCGGACGACGACGCCAACGTCATACCAATATACGACCTCAAAATTTTTTTTGCGGTCGTATAAAAACCATTATGTTCTATATTGGAGAAAAATTTCTAAACGAAAGAATATTGATTTCACAAAAAAGTGCTTGTTTTATTTAAACAAGCAGCAATCAATAATATGATTGCTGATACAGGTTGCATTTCTGTAACTATAGACAATGCAATTTCCCAAAGTAACTCCTTTTACGGCTAAAACTGTGCCTCTTTTACTATGAAGTTTCCTAAAAAACTATATTCTAGAATGGAAAGTTCATTTGCACTACAATTTTTGTTCAAAGGTTAGAACATTGGGCTGTGCGGCATACAATCTACATTTATATGCCTCAAACTTCTAAGAAGTTAAACTTATACTAAAATTATGTACAACCCCTGCCTTCAACTTTGGGTCTTCCTCAGAATTCAATTTGGCTGCTATCCATGTGTATTTATACTGGTAAAGTTCCCCAAGTTGTGTCTCTATGAGATGAAACATAGAGATCATATCTGGGAACCAGTAGGTAGACAAAACAAAATATCTATGAATATTATATATCTCCCCAAAAGATGCATGGTCTGGAAACAGCTGTAACAGCTAGTCCTGCTAATAAACTAAGTTGTATAAAAAGAAACAGTTTGGTCCAACACTAAGTAAACAAATATTCACAATTTTCTTTTGTTCAGTGTTTTGAAGATAAAAAAAGTTTAACTAAAGCTTGTAATTTTGTTCATGGAAATCCTTAAAATAAATGTTAAGCCATAACTCACCAGCATTTTTGCTATTTCCACTAAGAAGAGCTGTCAGACATTCCATGACCAAAGAACCTAATTCTTGTTGGTCAGCAGCTATTGGTTCTAATTCTACTGAAATTTCAAATGTACAAAGTTCTATATTAAAGCTCTTGTTTATCTATGTGTTGTTTCTTTCACATAATTAATTTTCCTAATCCATATCCCTTGAATTCTAAATTAAATTCTAGTCATAAATTGATTATAAACCACAGTCAACTTATAAGACACATTAATTTCTGCTGTTTGCTGAATAAACAGCTCTCTACCAAGGCCATGCAGTAATTTTTGTACCTACATGCTTTTTGTAATGGGTGTAATGTGAACCAATACCCTGAAGTGGTCGACGTGTGGTAGCGGTAAAGTTAGGGGGATACCTAGTGGTATTCAATATTTGTCTTTCTACAGGTACATAAAATTATAGAAAATAAAGACATCAACACCCATGTTATACAGAAATAATAAAGAAATAATTATGTCTACATGTTTCACCACATGAGTGGTGTCATCAGGACGGTTATAATAAGAAAAATTATCCCTGAAGTACATTGTATGTGGACTCCCAGAAGTAGATAAAAGCGGAAGTGGTAACAAATATATAAATAGAAATGAAAGATTAAAAATAAAATTAGTTATCGATAGAATTATATAAAACTACACACTTTTTGTAAGATTACATGGTCACTTGTAGTATGCATATCTTAATTTATGATAGAATAAAAAGCATTCCATATGATCCAAATCTAATATATATATATTCATATTACTTTGTTTTTATTAACGTTCTTTGCAATGGATAATTTTTAAAGATATAAAATTAACCCTTATTATTTTTTTTTTCCTTTGAATTATTATCTTTTATCATTTCACAAATTTCATCTATTTTTTTTTTTTTTTTTTTTGCATATATATTGGCTTTGAGATGTGCTTGTTGAGTTCAACAATCAAATATATTCAAGTGAATCATAATAAGGGAATTAAATTTTCTTTTATGCTTTCCACATATTAGTTTCTGCTAAAACATTGCTTATTCAAAAAGAAGATTGCCACAATCTCTAAATACCCAGCAATTAAATCTGAGAAATGACTATATCAACAGTTATACAAAAACACAGGCAACCAAATAATTTTTTTTTCTGTAATTTTATCTGGTACACATGTTTATTGTAATAAGCATTCATTATACAAAATGAAATTCTAGTTAACATTTACCTGTATCGTTATCTGGAGTTTTCAAAAGAGCAGCATATCTGTGTAAACATGTGACCATCACTTCTAACATCCCAACCTCTCGGAAAACATCTTTATATAGTGTGTGGGTTTGTAAAATCTTGAGTAAACTCTTCATACAAAGTATATTGCATTGTGTGGAACTGAAAACAAGAACCATATAATTATTTTATGAGCTGTACTTTATATATATAAATACATTACACATCATTTAACTTATATAATTTGTTCATTCAAAATAAATTAATAAAATGAACCCTAATAGATGGAAACACTAAAACAAAAAGTAAATTTTACTAATTTCTTAACATATTTTTTACCTCATAAGACCGAGATGCTAGACAACTGAGAGTGGTCCTTAGTAGTTATACAGACTACCAAAATGCTATAAAAACAAAAGAGCAGTGGAACTATATGAAAACTTACTGATCTGATTTGATGAGTATACTGAATTATGTGAAAACTTACTGATCTGATTTGATGAGTAACTGAACTATGTGAAAACTTACTGATCTGATTTTATGAGTAACTGAACTATGTGAAAACTTATTGATCTGATTTGATGAGTAACTAAACTATGTGAAAACTTACTCATCTGATTTTATGAGTATACTTAACTATGCAAAAACTTACTGATCTGATTTGATGAGTAACTGAACTATGTGAAAACTTACTGATCTGATTTGAGGAGTAACTGAACTATGTGAAAACTTACTGATCTGATTTGATGAGTTACTGAACTATGATTTGATTTGATTTGATTTTTGGTGTTTAACACCACTTTTAAGCACCGCATTTCGTGGCGGCCAGTTTTTATTGGTGGAGGAAGCCGGAGTGCCCGGGGAAAACCATGACCTTCGATAGGAAAACTGACAATCCTAGTCAATTAAGATTGGAGTCGAGTGCACCTACTGAACTATGTGAAAACTTACTGATCTGGTTTGATGGATATACTGAACTAAGTGAAAACTTACTGATCTGATTTGATGAGTATACTGAGTGAACTATGTGAAAACTTCCTGATCTGATTTGATGAGTATACTTAATTATATGAAAACTTACTGATCTGATTTGATGAGTATACTTAATTATATGAAAACTTACTGTTCTGATTTGATGAGTAACTGAACTATGTGAATACTTACTGATCTGATTTGATGGGTATACTTAATTATATGAAAACTTACTGATCTGATTTGATGAGTATACTTAATTATATGAAAACTTACTGATCTGATTTGATGAGTATACTTAATTATATGAAAACTTACTGATCTGATTTGATGAGTATACTTAATTATTTGAAAACTTACTGTTCTGATTTGATGAGTAACTGAACTATGTGAAAACTTACTGATCTGATTTTATGAGTAACTGAACTATGTGAAAACTTATTGATCTGATTTGATGAGTAACTAAACTATGTGAAAACTTACTCATCTGATTTTATGAGTATACTTAACTATGCAAAAACTTACTGATCTGATTTGATGAGTAACTGAACTATGTGAAAACTTACTGATCTGATTTGAGGAGTAACTGAACTATGTGAAAACTTACTGATCTGATTTGATGAGTTACTGAACTATGATTTGATTTGATTTGATTTTTGGTGTTTAACACCACTTTTAAGCACCGCATTTCGTGGCGGCCAGTTTTTATTGGTGGAGGAAGCCGGAGTGCCCGGGGAAAACCATGACCTTCGATAGGAAAACTGACAATCCTAGTCAATTAAGATTGGAGTCGAGTGCACCTACTGAACTATGTGAAAACTTACTGATCTGGTTTGATGGATATACTGAACTAAGTGAAAACTTACTGATCTGATTTGATGAGTATACTGAGTGAACTATGTGAAAACTTCCTGATCTGATTTGATGAGTATACTTAATTATATGAAAACTTACTGATCTGATTTGATGAGTATACTTAATTATATGAAAACTTACTGTTCTGATTTGATGAGCAACTGAACTATGTGAATACTTACTGATCTGATTTGATGGGTATACTTAATTATATGAAAACTTACTGATCTGATTTGATGAGTATACTTAATTATATGAAAACTTACTGATCTGATTTGATGAGTATACTTAATTATATGAAAACTTACTGTTCTGATTTGATGAGTAACTGAACTATGTGAATACTTACTGATCTGATTTGATGGGTATACTTAATTATATGAAAACTTACTGATCTGATTTGATGAGTATACTTAATTATATGAAAACTTACTGATCTGATTTGATGAGTATACTTAATTATATGAAAACTTACTGTTCTGATTTGATGAGTAACTGAACTATGTGAAAACTTACTGATCTGATTTGATGGGTATACTTAATTATATGAAAACTTACTGATCTGATTTGATGAGTATACTAAATTATATGAAAACTTACTGATCTGATTTGATGAGTATACTTAATTATATGAAAACTTACTGATCTGATTTGATGAGTAACTGAACTATGTGAAAACTTACTCATCTGATTTGAGGAGTAACTGAACTATGTGAAAACTTACTGTTCTGATTTGATGAGTTACTGAACTATGTGAAAACTTACTGATCTGGTTTGATGGATATACTGAACTAAGTGAAAACTTACTGATCTGATTTGATGGGTATACTTAATTATATGAAAACTTACTGATCTGATTTGATGAGTATACTTAATTATATGAAAACTTACTGTTCTGATTTGATGAGTAACTGAACTATGTGAAAACTTACTGATCTGATTTGATGAGTATACTTAATTATATGAAAACTTACTGTTCTGATTTGATGAGTAACTGAACTATGTGAATACTTACTGATCTGATTTGATGGGTATACTTAATTATATGAAAACTTACTGATCTGATTTGATGAGTATACTTAATTATATGAAAACTTATTGATCTGATTTGATGAGTATACTTAATTATATGAAAACTTACAGTTCTGATTTGATGAGTAACTGAACTATGTGAAAACTTACTGATCTGATTTGATGGGTATACTTAATTATATGAAAACTTACTGATCTGATTTGATGAGTATACTTAATTATATGAAAACTTACTGATCTAATTTGATGAGTATACTTAATTATATGAAAACTTACTGTTCTGATTTGATGAGTAACTGAACTATGTGAAAACTTACTGATCTGATTTGTTGGATATACTTAATTATATGAAAACTTACTGATCTGATTTGATGAGTATACTTAATTATATGAAAACTTACTGATCTGATTTGATGAGTATACTTAATTATTTGAAAACTTACTGTTCTGATTTGATGAGTAACTGAACTATGTGAAAACTTACTGATCTGATTTGATGGGTATACTTAATTATATGAAAACTTACTGATCTGATTTGATGAGTATACTTAATTATATGAAAACTTACTGATCTGATTTGATGAGTATACTGATACTGATGAGTTCTTTACAGGGTACAAAATTCAAATCATACACAATAAACTCCAGTAGCTCAAAAAACTTTTCCTGTAACAAAATAACTTTTAGAATATATAAATGTGCATATATTAGGGAAGTCAAGGAATACTCCAATATGGTTTCAGAAAAAAAAACATCAATCTTTTTCAATATTTTTCAGATAACATATTTTCCCATTAATTGTTGGTCAGTCAGATGAATTATTGCAGCTTGCCAGATCAAATGTCCAACAGTTCTTTGTGAATTTTGTGAAGCATTATGCAATAGGCAAATTAATATAACAAGCCTTCCTTTTATGTACCTGAACATCTTGTGGTTTCAGATAGATTTTTTCTACAAACTGTGACATGGTGTGTTGTGGTTCTAATATGAAGTAGTTAGCATTGTCCTGATGATATATACTGTTGATGACTTCTAAAATGGTATTACAAAGACAACTGGTGGAGCCCTGAAAAATATGATTTTGTAAGTCAATTATATCTGACATGTGATATTAAAACATACTTCTAATAAAATAAGAGAATATTGATAAAAAAAATTCATACCATGATCAAAGATTTGATGGTATAGAGAAAACTTTAGAGTAAATAATAGTGATTGGAGCTATCACAGAGGACCTTGCAGGGGGTGTTTTGGTTCAAATAACTCTTTATCCATGCCTTGCAGGGGGTGTTTTGGTTCAAATAACTCTTTGTCCATGTTCATCAATGACTGTTTTCCTTTATGTATGTGACACATCTTTAATTAGTGGGTGGCTAAGTTGAGCTAGTTTTTTTAACATTGCTTTTAATATATAGTTTCTCTGCTTGTGCATGACACATCGTCTGGAAGTCGTTAATACTAAGTAAAGTTTCATAACCAATTCCAAGGGTATAAAATTAGAGAGGTGTAACAATTTTTTTACATGTACAAAGGGTTGGCTAAGCTGAACCTAGTTTCTTCCATGTAAGCAAAAAACCATCAAGTAGACTTGTGATGAATAATTATGCCAAGTTTTATCACTGAACTCTAAGAGGTTTCAAAGTAAGAGAGCCTTAAGGATTTTTATACATATGCACAGAGGTTGAACTAAGTTTTTGACAGTTAATTTCAATGTATGTTTTTCTTCCATGTATCTGACACATCTTCTATTACTGGGGAATTATCATGCATTGCAAAACTCAAAAGAGTTTCAAAGTTAAGAGAACTGAAACATTTTGTGATGGCGGATGCACAAACAAAAGAAAGGACAAACTGATTACTATAAAATCAGATCTTTGAATTTGCTCTGCAAGTTTTGTGTGTTGCGGCATGTAAGATCTGAAAACATCCTATAAGAGTTCATTTTTCAGTGCAATATAAGTAATCAATCAAATCCCTTCAAAATTTCAATATTTTTTACTACGGACTACTAAAAATATTGTCAGGTAAACTGTTATATTTCTGAATACTGTCTGATAATCCTATGACCTAGCCATTTTTAATTTCCAGACATCATTCCAATTTTATGCATTGACCTGATTAAAAACATTTCTCAACATACTATGGGCTATTCCATTAAAATGTATGTGGGAGGGTAGGAAGGGACTTTCAAAATATCCCTACAACCAAGAACCATTTTTTAGATAATTTTGCATAATGGTAATAGACGCGTTCTAAAAAAAAACCCATGACCCACATTCAATAATTAAACTTCCCTTCCTACCCTCCCACATACATTTTAATGGAATAGCCCTAAAGGAGAAAAGTTTCATTGTCAAGATATTAACACATTTGATCAATATAAGATCTTACACAGTGTTTGTTATAGAAATATTCTGTGCTAAGGTATACTATTTTTTCATACATTACATATGTATCTGTTTTATGACTTTATTTCCTTAATACCTTAGCATATATTTTTAATCAGACCAGAATTCTTGCAATTCATTGAGCTCCTTTGAAAAGCAATTTTCAATTATATACTGTTAAAGCAGAACTTTTTTGTTGGTGCAAATTAGTCTAGAAAGAACATTACTTTCTAAAACTGTAAACAAAAAAAATCATCCCTACAAAATCAATTTTAATGACAATACCATGAATTTTAACCCCATCCCCCATCACCAAAAAAAGTTTCAACAGTATTTCATAACCATTAGAAAACTGAAAACCAAAGATTTGACTGTACTTGTATTCATACCTTCATGAAAACTGACTGCAACACTTGAAAAGCTTGAATGTTCCTTACACTTACACCTAAAACAGAGGAAGAGTTATACTTATTAACAAGTAACATTACAAATATTAGCTAAACTTTTATTTTATTATCTGTTTACACTTAAGGTCAAGGAAGGTGTTTGTATAACAAAGAATTGTTACCTAAAGATAGACTTTTGGTAAAACAAATGAAATCTATCATATATATAATAAAATTGAGAATGGAAATGGGGAATATGTCAAAGAGACAACAACCCAACCAAAGAGTAGACAACAGCCGAAGGCCACCAATGGGTCTTCAACGCAGCGAGAAAATCCCGCACCCGGAGGTGGTCCTCAGCTGGCACCTAAATAAAATTGTGTACTAGTTCAGTGAAAATGGATGTCATACTAAACTCCAAAACATATAAATGAACTAAAATTAAAAAACATACAAGACTAACAAAGGCCAGAGGCTCCTGACTTGGGACAGGCGCAAAAATGCGGCGGGGTTAAACATTTTTTGTGAGATCTCAACCCTCCCCTATACCTCTAGCCAATGTACATGTAGAATAAAGAAACACATAGCAATATGCACAGTAAAACTCAGTTGAAAAGAAGTCTGAGTTCGATGTCAGAATAGGTAACAAAAGAAACTAAGCAAAATGACAATGATACATAAATGAACAAAGGACTACTAGCAGTTACTGACATGCCAGCTCCAGATCTCAATTAAACTGATTGAAAGATTATGTCTTCATCATATGAAAATCAAGTACAATCCCTCCCGTTAGGGGTTTAGTATCATACCATCATAAAATATATGAGAAGAACATAACCCGTATCATATTTGTACAATATTAATTTTATATTCAATAAACAGAAAAAAATGTTAACTTTTAACATAAATATTTTTTACAAAGTTAGCACTTTGTTTTATTATACTTCACATTAAAGTGCCAGATTTTGATTGGCTAATATGAGGAAGATATTTTACTCTCAGTAACTGTATTATAACAAAGTCATTGTAGAACTTTCTTTGAGATATTATTGTGTCTGGGAGACACAAATGATGCCCCCGCAGATGCAAGGTAAAATACACAACGTTGAGCATGGGAGCACATAGGTCTATGGTTCACTGTATTAAGAGGAGTTATCTGGAAACGCTATGCACCTCTTATGCAAGTAAATACTCACAAAATGACAATGTTCAATTATCTCCCAAAAGAGCAAATATAAATAAAAATCAAAACCCTGACCACATGCACACCTTCAATATATGTACAAACAGCCAGGAAAGTGAAAACTTCCTAGCATTCCAACTGTAGGAGGAGTTATCGGGAAACGCTATTCACCTCTTATGCAAGTATATACTCCAAAAAAATTATGCAAGTATATACTCCAAAAATGACAAAGTTCAACTATCTCCCAAAAGAGCAAATATTAATAAAAATCAAAACCCTTACCACATGCACACCTTCAATATATGTACAAACAGCCAGCAAAGTGAAAACTTCCTAGCATTCAAACTCTAGAAGGAGTTATCTGGAATAACTATATACCCATAATGGGACGGACGGACAGGGGTAAAACAATATGCCCCCCAACTTTCAGTTGCGGGGGCATCAAAATAAACTTGCTTCATTTTTCTTGTTTTTCTAATAACTGTAACGTTTTTATGTACATGATATTATAGTAAAGTACTTTAAATCAAAAATTTAAAAGACAATAATGACAGAACATTCAGAATAATAAATTAAATAACTTATAGATGAGAGGATGATAGAGCAGATTGTTACCCCCTGAAAAAAACATTGTCAACCTTGTCTTTGTCTCAGTTGACAATGTTTTCTCGGGGTAACAATCTGCTCAATTACCCTCTCAGCTATGTGTTATTTATATAATGTTTGGTCTGTTCTAAATGGGTCTCAATTCGAAATGCTAGGACCAAATTGCAGACACTACTGTAATATGGATATATTACTATGTTTAAATAGTTTCAGTCCAAATATAGACTTCACATCTGTTTAATACAAAAATTTAATATCATAAAGTAACTATCTTTTAAACTTCTAGCCCTTCTACATTTTATACAATATTAGTATTTTGTAATCACTATTCAATAATAAATCAAAAGTTAATATGCATGCATTTTATCCAGATATACATTATGTTCCGACTAATAATGCCATACTGAACATGTGTTATATATGTAAAGATTTTTTAAATCTAACACATGCAACACAGAGCATAACAAATACAATTCAAATCTAATCTCCAACCCCTCCTCCCTCCACAAAAAACAACAACAACAAAATAACAAAAACAAAATCCCAACAAATATTGGTCATGTTTTGACTGATCCTTTTTTCTTTCTTTTAAATACATTCTTTTAATTTAAGGGCTTTGAAAGGTTTTGTAGTATAAATATGTTTTTTGAATAAACATAACACAAGTAAAAAGATCAAAACCAAAAATGATTATCTAGTGTGTTTATAAACTGTAAAACATTTACTCGTGCAAATAGAGAAAGTCTTAACAAAACGAGAGAACCAATTTTTTTCCTTTACATGTAAGCAGCTTATAGAAAGAGAAACAAGATCAGTTTTTGTTTCTTATGAGATTTAAAGAATGAAACAAAGAATATAACATCACAAGCTTTATGCCACTCAAGCAACTAAAACTAAAAGTTTTACAAAACTTAACTGGAACTAGGGCTTGCATTCACTTGCACATCTAAAACAACACAGAAACTGTTGAGGATTTCTCAACATGCAAATTATACAAAATAAAATTAAATTTCTTTGTATTGAAAAACTTAAATGACCATAATTTTCATCGTGCAGAAGTTCATGCAAGAAAATACAAAGTGCAATTATACTTCATATAAAAGAAAATAAATAAAAGTGTGAGTTAAATGAAATAAGAATATCATTTATTCCACTAAAAGCATTTAATACAATTAGTTCTAAAAAAAGGAAAGAAAAGAAAATAACCAACATAATCTTGTAACAAACATGTAAAATTCAATGAAAAGTTTTTTTCTTAATTCATACCTTTGCCTGCAGGTTGTGGGAGAGAAAATCCTGGCATCTGATAGAGTGACCCTGAACTAGCTTGATTTGGTTTAAGTTCCATGTAGCCACAAGTTGTCAGGGAACCAACCAGTAATAAGAGATTTCTTAATGCCTGTGTGGATTCTAAACAAGTGTCCAATTCTAATCTGAGGTAAATAAATATAATTTTTATCAAGTATCGTTAGACTTGTTGTTTGAAAATTACCAACTTCAAAACATGGACAAAACCAGGATCAAGATGTTTAGCCAGTTAAGAATGTGTTGTCTTTCGTCTTCTTTCTTAATTTCTTTTTGTTTGTTGTAAATTTATTTAATTGTATCACTCTGACATATCTGGACATTAAATGTGTGCTGCTATCCAGAACTTGCTTTATTGTTTCAGAATGCTCACTCTTTTCAAAACCTTATTGTGAGCTTGTGAATTATTTTTGTCACAAAGATCTTGTCACATGTTCAATTCTTACTGCATATGTAATACAAGCAGATGTGTACTAAAGACCACAGTCCATAAAGACATTTATAAGTTTATTATATTTGTGGTTTTAACAATTTATTGTAAATTGACAACAGAACTGAAATAACTTGACTTTTGCATAAAAAGTGAGTCAAAAAATTCCTGATGCACAAGTTACAGGTATATATTGTCCTGTTTTTTTTTCGTTTTTTTTCAATCTGCAGCAAAACAAGTCATATATAACACCTTTGTCTTATTCATAAAAATATAATAGGACATATTCCGTAAGTTTGACATTCTCCCTAATTAATTCTAGATATAAGGTACTCAGGTAGTGAGAAAACATGGATCAACATCATATTTAAGGGTAACATCTGCTGACTAATCACTTGTTTATTTTTTTTTTATTGTTGCTGTTTCTAAACCCTACATATATATAAATAGATCAAACTATATTTACCTTAATAAAAATTCACATAAATAGTTATATCCCTGACAAGATTTGAAATCTTCCATTAACACCTGTGACACTTCACTGGAATCCTTCAGAAAACAGAACACAGTAACAAACATCTCTACTTGTTCTATGGGAGATAACTCTTGGATACGTTGCATGTTTTCTATACAGTGTCGAACACAGCCTTTGTCTGAAATTATAAAATAAAAGAATTATTTCAAAGAATAGATATACAAAAAATTATCTTTGTACATATGAAATAACAAGACATTTTAAGTAGGCATCCATATCAAGCAGCAATTTTACAGGATGTTTGCTGCTTAAACAAATTGCCAGCTAATTTTTCATTCTTGATGTACTGTAGAAACATTAATTTTTGTGGGGTTAAAATTTCGTGGTTTTGTCTCTTTATAAGATTTCATGGGGATTTAATTTCGTGGTTTCCAGTAAATGGAAGTGATATTATATGTAGGTTAAATTTTCGTGGGGGTTTTAATTTCGTGGATATATTCTTTCCACGAAATAAACGAAATTAAATCCTCCACGAAAATTTCTGCTTTTACAGTATGTTATTCAACTTATAAAAATACTATACACTGTATTTAATACAAGTTGCCATTCGAAAACTGATACAATACTAATAGTAAGAGAAAAGACGGGATAGCTCATAGACAGGATAATGTGTCCAGAAATGGTGGCAAATCTTCTTGCATACTGTAACCTTCTGAGCTAGCATGTGAAAACTAAAACTGGGCAAACTCACAAAAGGATAACCTCCACCATGCAATACTATTACTATACATTAATGTAAGTAAATTGGATTACTTCCACTGTAACTTCTTGGACCTGGATTATATTCCTTAATGCACATCTTTAAGTAGTGTTCACTTCCACTGTAACTTGTTGGACCTGGATTATATTCCTTAAAGCACATCTTTAAGTAGTGTTCTACATCTGTGCAAATTTGCATCAATATTCTTCTAATATTTTAGGGGTAGTTGAGTTAACAAAGCAGATGGAGATGGACAGAACAATGGACAGACAGAAAACAGACAGGGTGATACCTACATACCCCTCTACACCTTGTTTGTGGGAGTATAAATATCAAACTCAGGATGTCTGTCTAATTCATTGTAGTGTATTTATAGATTATCAATGGTTTTTTTAATGATTCTCAGCTGCAATCTCATGGAAGGGCGACAGCCCTGAGATGAGATGTGGTCGAGAAACATCCTCGACTTTGAAAGACCATTGATAATCTGTTTATCACTATTTTGCCAATGAAGTCGTTGATGTTTACATTGGCAACAGCATGTGCACCCTTAGATTCTAGCAATAATTTTCTATCTCAAGCGAGTAGCATAATATAAAAAATTATCACAAAAAGATCAAAGGAAAAATACACAAAATAGCAATCAATCCATAATAAGTGACATTAAATTGCTCTGAATGTTCATGTTTAATTAAACAATATAATATAAAGCAAATATATTAAATGATTTACCATGTATATATTTGACCACATTTGGTATCAGTCCGTGTCTGGACAGAGTCACTAACACTTCTCCAGCACTTTTTCTCCATACCACATTATGAGCAGGGCACCAGCTTGTTATTGCACTGAATAGTAAACTAAGATCATCTTTTTTAGCCAGTTCTTCGGCTGGGGAGGCATAATTACATAATCTGACTAAAACCTAAAAGAAAAGATCAAATGCATAACCTAAAACATAGACTGACCAACACACATTCTAAAATGAAGTCAGACATGCTAGTACAGTCTGACCAATTCATAAAATCAGAAAATATTTACCGTCTGACCAATACCTATAACTACAGTTCCAAAGGTATTTTAAACAAAGAATAGTTCATTGCTATGCAGCAAAATTAAATCAACAATATTTATGCATGTTTATAAAGGTGGCTATCCCTTATTGCTAAAGTACTTTAAAATGGCATCTATGTAAATAATTTAAAAAATTAATATTGAACAATTAAATTGATTGATATTAGTTGAAAATTACCAATGAGTTCAGCATCCAAAGCTTTTTGAAAATGGCATATTCAGAAAAAAGTACAATAGCATGATGCAACAGTATACTAAATATAAAAATTCGTAAGGGTTCCGCGGAACCCAGTGTCTCGCCTACTTTTTCTGTTAATCACAGGCTCAACAAAAATGAGGAAGTAAATCAATAAAAATATTCCTCTTGATACTATCTTTTGATTGTAAGAAGCTTCTGTCCAAGTTTGGTAAAAATCCAGGATAGTTTATGAATCTAATAAATGTTTAAAAACTTTAACTGCAGACTGAATGTAATGTTGACTGGAAGAAAACAAAATTTCCTTCTAGATACTAGCATTTGATCATAAACAAGCTTCTGTCCAAGTTTGGTACAAATCCAAAATAGTATAAGAAAGTTATTAAAATTTCAAAAACTTTAACCACAGAGTGAATATTTGTGGACGCCGCCGACGACGACGACGACGCCGACGGAATGTAGGATCGCTATGTCTCGCTTTTTCGACTAAAGTCGAAGGCTCGACAAAAATCTAGTGTCATTTTTTTTTTCTTCATAAAAAGTAAAATTAAGTATCAAAGTAATATCTGAAGTACGATAAACCCTTTCAGTCCTAATTTATACACTTATTAAACAGATATACCTGAACAAACACTTTCTGTAATAAAATTCTTCTTTCTGTGTGTGTAAAGTTGCAGCCAGGTTCAACTGCATCTCCATCAAGGATTTCTGGTAGATCAAAGAATAAGTAGAGACATTTTACAAGAGTTGATGGCAGAGAAGCTCCTGTCATGTTGTCTATCAAAGCTTGTCCACCAGAAGATAGGAGAGTTAAAGCCTGAAGTAACATCCAACCATTACTAGCTTCTTCTGATGAGTTTATCTCTAGAAATCGAACTATTGCACAACTTGCAGCTTCTGTAAGAAGGTAAAAACTTTGTTTCATTAATGCTGAAAATAAACAATATTTACTACCCTCCAACTGGATTTTGTTGGACTTTTTTCTTTTTCTTTTTTAATTTAAGTTTTGCTAACCAAGTAATTTTTCAATATTGTTAAATCTTAAACTATACAGGGATTCAACTAGACATCATTGAGATGAGAGCCATCTCTGTGGGTCCTTTGTGGGTTGTGAACTGAAACCAAAGTTTTTGACCCTGAAATTTGACCTAGGAAGTTGTACAAACATTATGACACACCCCTTGGTGTTGGTTTATATACATGTCAAGTATAAAGTATGAAATTATAATGGTTCTCTAGATATAGAGCGGACACAATTTATTACGGACGGACAGACTGATCACTATAGGGCGACCCGCCACTAGGTATGGCCCTAATTAATATGTGATAAAAGTGACAAAAAGACTGGTGCAGACAACAACCTTATATTGAAAAAAGTCCAAGTAATACAACAATGCCTACAGCTGCAGAAGGTATGTGATTAAATTTCTAATCAACATCTGATCTTTTTACTATGAAGGCTAGTTTGTCTATTTCTATAGAATTTCTAAACATTCAGAAGGAAAGAAAAATAATGTAAAACTTTTGTAAAGGATCAATACTTTATTTCAAGGTACACCATGCCAAAATGCTTGATGATGTTTCTATTTAAATAATAATCTAGTTAATCAAACCTGTAGATTGGTTTGAAGCCCTCCTTCTTATCTCTGTGACCATTAATTTAGATAAGTGGCTAGAAAACTGTAAAATATCACCAAACTTCTCCATCATTTCACTGGATGGTACCTCTCCAAACGTCTGCAAGAAAATTTTATTAATGTGGTAAATTTATTGGATTTTCCCCCATTAATTTCTGTAAGAAAAAATGTAGCATTTCCCCACACCAATTTAATGTTTTAAAAATTCTGAAACCTAAATGACTAATAAATAAAAAATGTTAAGGTTTTCCTGGAATCAAAAGGAGAATAAACTCAACCTAACTTCTGTACCATCAATGTAAAATTATATTCTCCATGTTTTAAATTTGACTGACCAACCCACCACATGAATAGTGTTCATCTAGACTTACACTTACAATTTTGTATATTCTACTAGGTCTTAATGAAAAGTGTTAATTTTGACTCCTGACTGTGTCACTTACATGCATCAAATATATTTGATATTTTCAAGAAAATCTTAAGCAAACATTCAATATCATTTCAAAAACATTGTCAATTTCTGTTAATTAGCACAAGTCTAAATGTAGAGTTTACCTTTAGATGTCACTACAAAAAAAGTTACCAAGGGGGAATTCAAAAATCATGTCCAATAAAACAGACTCGCTATGGCACCATCAAACTTGTGTTGCGAGACAGCTGTCTCACCAAAATTTTTCTTGGTCTCCTCGTAACTATGCATCTATCATCTGTCTTGTCCAACTCATCATCTGACAACTTTTGTGTTTTTTTTATGGTTATAAGCCATTCTATTTTACTTTTCATCATTTAATTTGGTCTGGGACCTCTGTTGTCTGATTTTATTGTCGGTTATGAGTGCAAACTAATGTTTATCATTCAATATTTTATTTCCTTGTTCCATTAAGGATTAATTTTAATACGATGTAATAAATGTTAGATTAACAACTAAATAATGTACATTACCTTGCAAAACAATGGTATCATTGTATACAATTTTTCTTCTTGTTCATCTTGAGATGCCCTTCTATTTGGGTGACGGAATTCTGCAAACAATTTTCGAAGATGATTTAATCCCAGGCTCATATCTGTATGTTTTCCTGGCATCATCTTCTTTAAAAAGTTACTCATTTTCTTGACCTTAATAATAGAAGAAATGATTTTAATTCAATTACTACATAAAATTTACTATTATTTTTATTCAATAGCTTAATCATTTAAGGTGTAATATCAGTACATATTTCCTCTTATAGAATTTTTTTATACTTTGCCAAAATGTAGATTTTACCATACTTTTTTTCAAAAATATAATAAAAGGTATGGTCATCGTGTCATTTTTCAAGCTATAAGTCGTGCAAAATTGACCAAATTTGCATATATTATTCATAGAAAAAACACTTTTTTGAAAATAAAAGAAATCAAGGAGATAGAATTTTGAAATAAAATATGAGAAGATGGGTTTTATAATATGTTTAAAGTAAATAAAAAGAAAATACGGTGTTACCAAACTTGTTTTCTTGCTACAAGTAAAAAACGAAAAATTTCTGAAACATTCCTTTATAAATTTTTTACTACATGTATTTGAGTTATCTCCCCTTAAATGGCTAAGTTGAAAAATTGATTCAAACAAAATAAAGTACATTGTATTTAGTTTTGTTAAAACAGTCCAAATAATTCAATAAATTACTTATTTTTCCTTATTCAAATATACATATTTATTGGCAATCTGTCTCAAAATTTGCAGATTTAGACAAAGAACTAGACCGATTGTGCACTGCTATTTTACAATCCAAGATGGCGGTATACAGTTAATCTACCTTAAAGTGGCATTAGCTACGAGATATAAAAAAAATAGAATATGATTTGATTTCGTTCAATCATTAATGAAAGTGAAATAGTGAAATAATAATTCGCTTATAGAAGACAGTTTGGTTCAATTTTGTCAAAATAAGATAAGATACATCGCTGATGAATTATTCATTTGCAAGTGAATAATTCAACCTCATTGAATCTGTATTCAAGTGACCTTCAATTTAACCCATTAGGATGGATGAAGCATAAACTAGGCAAGTTCAGCCATTAAAAGGAATAGCAACATTGAAAGTGAAACAAGGGTAAACCATTTGGTTGACTTATTTGATCCACAAAAACTCATTCTTATACACTAACATATTTTTTCAACTTAATGTGAAATCAAACAGACCTAGAAAAATCCAATTTGACGTGTTTGCTATCTATTTATATCTGTATTTATGTTTATATTGGGTTATATGACCGTTGGTCACCTTGATAGTTAATTAGATGGCGTCTAGATTAAAATACACACTAAATGCTGATACATATTATTGAGTCCATTCAATTTAAAATGTTTATTTTAGACTTTTTATAATTTGGATATATGTTTTAGTATGTTATAAATCAAATATAAGAATTTGAGTCAAATAGGTGAACATGAATTTGACAGCTAATGCCCCTTTAAAAGAAAAAAAGTGACAAATTCCTTCTGATGACCATACCCACATATGTCCTCCAACCAAATGAAAAGTGAAATTATCATAAAGAACCTTCAAAGATAATGTTCTATCCAAGTTTAGTTTATATTGTTCTAGCAATTTCAGGGAAATACTGACATTATGATTCCTAACAGGGTTTAATTCAATGAAAACCCATCAAAAGTTATTTTTTGCAAAGTGTGCCAATATAGTAACCCTGGTGAAAGGTCTCCCATTCTTTGTTGTTTAGGTTAAAAAATATTTAGTCCTAAGGACATGGGTCTTTGGACTATTATGAGCTGTCTGACTTAATGTGTTGTTTGACCAATAGATGACAGCAAACGGGCTGTCAGAGTATGGAACCTTACCAGAATGCATTGAACAAAAGTTTAACAGAAACCTTGGCTATCTACTTAAAGAACAATCAATCAATTCATATGAATACAAATTAGCAAATTTTTTCTCAAAAAAAATTTTAAGGGATAGAAGTTTAACTCTAATACTTTTGAGATTCTGAGTATGGGTCTACTTTCTGATTTAGTTGCTTACAGAATCCAATTTCATAGCCACAATTTGGCAAAAAATCAGCCTGGAATATTTCAACAAATTATCACACCTGGAGTCATTGTGTTTCTGTACATCCAGTACACCGTTAAGCACTAAAAGTATTCTCTTTTTCTTCCAGAATCATTTTTCTGAAATTTCTCTAGACAAATACAAATATTTCTGCCTACATGTATCTATCCTAACACATTTTATGGACATAAGGTAGCATGCAGTTAGGTGTGTGGTTTCACATTAGCCCAGGTGAATTTTTCAAATATGAAAGCTTTTGTGTAATATAATTCCTTTTTAGAGAGCTGATGACTAATAAAGTCTTCAAAGTGGGTTTATATGAACATCAAGATTATTTTTTACCTATTTTATGGGCTAGTTTCTGATTGACAGTCTGTATTTTCAAAGCCAGACCAGCCACAGGTCCAGAAATTATTATTGTAATGAACACTTTTTTTTAACAAAATTGATTAACATGTATATAACTACTGTTAAACATGTTAAAGGTAAAGTATTTAATACCTGCCAACCCTCCTGTTTTAAGCGGGAGTCTCCCACACAAACAAAAATTCAGGAAATCTCCCGCTAGCTGGTCGGCTCCCACGCAGGAGTATTGAATCTCCTGCATTCGGATATTTTAACCTGGAATGACATGAGGTCGAATTTTTGGGATTTTACACTACTGTCAATAGAAATAAACAAACAATGGGCGTTTATTTGAAATTTTTGCTTGATTATCTTTTATGTTTGATTTCATGCAGATTGGATGAATTCATGATCAAGTTCACTCCGCAAATTATGAATCTTCATTTTGCACATGATGTTGAGTCAACTCTTCGGTTGCTTTTGGTGGTCTGTACGATGTTAAAAGGCATGCTATGTGTGACTCACAATAAGGCAGTGGAGGCTAAAAAAATATAAAATTGATTGGCTTTTTCTCTTCTGAAAACCAAAAGATATATTTCACATTTGTAGTATGGATTACATGTATCATGATTATAACAATGAATTAAAAAAATAAAGTATATTTTTTAACCCATATTGGTGTTTTGTTGATGTATATAGTGCACAGGTCATATATTTAGCTTGAAAATGTTGCAAAATCTCCCCCTCAGCTGTCATAGCAAAGATCTCCCTCATTGAAGGTTTCAGAAGTTGGCAGGTATGACTATTCTCATAATAACAATGGATTCTGGTTGAAAATGTGTCTGTTTTAGTGAATACCTGCTTTGAGTGTACATATTGTTGCAGGATGTGTTAAATGTACTGGCACTAGATGCGATAACTTTTAAAAATTTTACAGACTGGATTCTTTGAGTGGCATGTTATTGCAGAATGCCAAGGATTAGATAAGTTGAACCCCGAAATTGTTTTTTTTTATCTTGTCAATATTAAGGTAGAGGCTTGTTGCAAGTAAAATATTTAAAACTCTTTTAACATAGGGAATCCTTCATTTGAATTTTCCTCCTACATTTCAGATAAAATCATCTTTTTTATCTTGGGGAAAATTATATATTAACATGGTTGGTCTTTTCACCGCCGAACGCCACCGCACATCACCAAACACCCCAAAATTATTTTAAACTAAGGAAAAAAACAATATCTTATTATGTTATCTTATCTATTTCACGTATTTTAGTAAAACGTTTGACAAATATTTTTTTTTTATCATTTTTAATAATGAAGTTAACACTTAAACAAATAATAAGACTAAAGCTTTAATTTAAATAGATCAGGCTTAAATAAATTTATTATACATTTAGAACACATTCAAGTTACAGTTGGCAAAATCCTTTTTAAGTTGTTTCTCGTAAGGCATACCGAAATATCTGAAAATAGTTTTTGTCATTCAAGCTCACGTGTTCTTCTAAAATTGTTAAGTAAAATGATATTCCGATGAAGTGTCGTTTTTGTCCAGAATAAAAAAGACAAAATTTCCTTAAACGACATCATAATACTATTTGAAATAAAATGCTTCGCTGAGCGCAGCTGGATACAACCGCAAAGGTCCAACCCTGAACAGTTGGGGCGAAAAATGGACACAATATTCACGCTTGATACAGGTCTGAATTTGGATTGTAATTAAATATTTGACACATAATAGGTTTCTAACACAGAATAAGTGTAGTCAAAGAACTTAGAATAGGTAATATGATTTGAATTTATATTCAATTTTTTGCTTTTGTGAAATACACTAATACACTATGCAGTGGTGTCAGTAAGTTTTTATGAAGCAGGTTAAACAGCCAATCGCAGCGACGAGCTTGCTCGTCGTGCCTACAGCAGGGGGAGGGGGGGGGGGGGGGGGGGGGGGGTCTGGGGCCCACTGAAGGGCCCAAGAATTTTTTTCAAAAATGGTGCAAAATCCTGCATTTTGGGGGTCTCCTGGACCCTTATTTAGACCACTGAAAACATCATTTTAATGAAGATAATGTAAATGATTAATCAAAATTAGTAGCATGGTGGTTGAATTTTCTGTTAATTTGATCAGATTGATATTCACATTTGATCCAGACTTAGAACTGCTGTTATGTTGGCAACTTGCATGACCAATATACATTTCTGTGCATTTTTCCAGCAGGTTGACTGCTTGTGAATATGGTTGAACTGAAAGATTCCAAAGATTAGTTTGAAATATCATTTGAATTATTTAGTTTTAAATGAAAATTTAATAAAATGCTCCACTGGGCGCACCTTGATACGACCGCAGAGGTCGAACCCTTAACAGCTGGGGCAAGTATGGACACAACATTCAAGCTTGATACAGCACTGAATTTGGATTGCAATTAAATATTTGACACAGCATAGGTTTCTGACACAGAATGAATGTGGTCTAAGAACTTAAAAATTTTTAATTTACTTATTCAAACCATATCATTATTATTTGCTTTTATATATAAATCAGAAATAACCAATTTAAAATGGAAAATTTTAAAGAAAAAAAATCCCCCCCCAAAATGTTTGAACCCCCCTATGATTCATCACCCCAAACCCAATCCCAGCCTTCCCTTTGTGGTATAGTACCTTGCAGTACAATTTCAGAGAGATTCATACACTTGAACACAAGTTATTGTCTGGAAACTAGAAAAATGCTTGTTTTTGGCCCCAAATTCCTAAACGTTTAGGGCAATTACCCCCAAACTCAAACCCAGCTTTCCTTTTGTGATATGGAACCTTGTAGTACAATTTCATAAAGATCCATACACTTACACACAAGCTATTGTCATGAAACTAGAAAAATGCTTGTTTTTTTCCCCTTTTTGGCCCCTAATTCCTAACATTTTGAGGCAATTACCCCCAAAATCAATCCCAGCCTTCCCTTTGTGGTATGGTACCTTGCAGTACAATTTCAGAGAGATCCATACATTTGAACACAAGTTATTGTCTGGAAACTAGAAAAATGCTTATTTTTTGCCCCTTATTCCTAAACGTTTTGGGCAATTACCCCAAAACTTAATTCCAGCTTTCCCTTTGTAATATGGAACCTTGTAGTACAATTTCATGAAGATCCACACTCTTACACACAAGTTATTGTCATGAAACTAGAAAAATGCTTGTTTTTTGCCCCCTTTTTGGCCCCTAATTCCTTAAATATTGAGGCAAATACCCCCAAAATCAATTCCAGCATTCCCTTTGTGATATGGGACCTTGTAGTACAATGTCAGAGAGATCCATACACTAACACACAAGTTATGTCTGGAAGTTACAAAAATGCTTATTTTTGGCCCCTTTTTGGCCACTAATTCCTTAACTGTTGGTAACATAACCCCCAAAATCAATCCCAACCTTCCTTTTGCGGTATTGAACCTTATGGTCTAATTTCATAGAGATCCATTCACTTAAACTAAAGTTAACGACGACGACGACAACGTCATACCAATATACAGCTGCAAAAATTTTTTGCGGTCGTATAAAAACTGGTATAATTATTCCTGCTGTCCAAGTTTCAGGAATAATACCTGTATCCAATACCACATTAAATAGCTAAGTGTAAATAAATATCAAAAATGGTGGAGAGTTTTTCAAAAACTCATTAAGTAATTGGAGCAAATGATAAAGAAAGGACCAAGTTGATGGATGTCATTTTTAATAAATGTTTATTAAGAAATATAACATTTATTTATTTGTTAAAATACTAAGGAAGGATCAGGAAGGCGCAATTGAACTACACAATGACAAAACAGACCGTAAAAATCACATAAATATTTAAATTGAAAAATTTTTTCATAGTATTAATTCACTTTTTGGGTGTTCGGTGGTGTTCGGCAGTGAAAAGACTGACCCATATTAACTTCCCTCATCCTCATGTAATTTTTTCTAACTTAAGGATCTGATGCAATAAAATATTTGTAAGTCTGAAAGTATGATTATGAATAATTTTCTTACAATAAAATGTCACACAACTTTGATTTCTGAAATAACTTCAAATTTTTTAATGTTGTTCTCCTGCACATATAGTCAACTGATAATGGTAAAGACTTAAGAAATTAATGTTTAAATGTGCTGAACTTGATCATAACTGAGAAGTAAAGATTTGCAATTTAATGTGCCTAAAATCTGCAAATTTATGATCGATAACCATTTTCTGTTTCAGCAGCTGAAGTGATGGAATGTACAACTGTTGAATAAAGGAATTCCCTGCGTTACAAACAAAACATCAAATGTGCAAAACTGAAAAAGATGGGCATACTTGAATTTGATCTTAATGTCAATCTGTCATTGAACATGTTATGGTAAATTCACTATTTATACTGGGTTGTCAGTATTTTCGCCATTGCGTCTGATTATTATGGCAAGTTAACTTCCGTGCATCTCATTTCCGGTGTTTTAATTCCGTCAGATGGCGGTTGACTGAATATATTGAAATGCGCGAAATTTAAAATATTCTCCGCAGCTATTTAAAAAAATATCAGCAGACCGAGAGACATGTATATATATGTTTCTGGTTCAAAGGATTTCGGCAAGGTTCAAGCTGAGATTACTATTATACATCTAGTAGAATAATCTCAGGTCTTCAATCTATTTATAATTAATGAAAAAAAAGAGGCTTTTCAGTTATCAAACCGAAGTTAAATCCGTTACCCAACTGAGCCTTCCAACGGCGGGAATATCCACGACGTGTTGGCTCTTTTGGCCTTTTGCTTTTCGAACATAGTTTTACTCATCTGATAATCAACAGTAGCATATAACTTGTAAAAATCCTCATCGTTTCACTGCCGTTGGAACGCTGCAGACTTGCTTCGCATCCTCATATAATATTGGTACATACTTATAAACAATAGATACAAAGTTAACATCATTGCTTTCTCCTGTTATTCATGTCGGAAAGAAAATTAAAGAAATACTTAAAAAGAGCACTGCCTCCTATAATTTGGAATAAAAGACTTACACCTGTTGTCCTAACTGACAGTAAAGGCTTTGGTTTATGGGATCAACGAAGTGACCACTCAGGTAGAATTAGAAATCAGATGGTGGTGTAAATCTTCACGCTTCACAACAGGGCTACACTTGACTAAAACAAAACACAAAGCTTCTCAAAATATTTCGAGGACCTGGCTCTCCCCAAAGACAAAGGATATGACCCAGACTTTCTAGACCTATGTAATGTCCGGCACAAAATCATCCAACAACTGTGCGAACAGAAAAATATTACAACTGAATTCAGCACTCAAACTATCTGCGATGCCATTAAACAGCTTCATTCCGGCAAGGCAACAGACGAATTAGGTCTCGTTGCTGAACATTTTTAAAATTCTCCGGCTATAGTTACACAATTTCTTACAGACTGTTTTAATACTATCATGAAAGATAAACCCATTCCACATATAATTAAATCTGGCATTGTAATACCCGTGCTAAAAAAGGGAAAAATCCAATGATGATGGACAACTACAGGGGAATTGCCATCACACCTGTTGTTTCAAAGCTCTTTGAATGTACCACAGCCATATCTGACTCAAAATTTTAAACAGTCAACTCTTCAATTTGGATTTACAAAGGGCATGTCTATGCTTTATGGCTGGGCTAATTATCACTGAGGCTAGAGCAGAAGTTTAACATCTCACAATTAAACCTTTGTATCTGATTACTGTTGACAGTCAGAAAGCATTTGATGTAGTGGATCATATAATAATGCTGGATGAACTACATGAACACACACAAAACCATTCAATGTGGACTGTAGTAAAAAACTTATATAGTGGTCTACTCTCAAAGGTCAAATGGAAAGGAAACATTGGCGATAGCTTCCAAATTCATCAAGGAGTACGCCAGGATGGAATCCTCTCTCCATTTCTCTACAAAGTATATGTCAACAATCTCCTTGAAGATCTTAAATCACATAGTTTGGGGACTTAAAATAGGCACAACATATGTTGGCTGTCCAACATGTGCAGACGATGTAGCCTTCGTTAGCAACTGTGAACAGGAATTGCAATGTATGCTTTCTGTAACAAATCACCATGCCAACCAATCTAGAGTAACCATCAATCCTTCAAAGACTAAGGCAGTCATCTTAAATAAACCTAAAAACGTTAACAGATCTGATTTACAATGGACATTAGGCAACAACTCTATATATCCTTCAGAAGATACTACACACCTTGTTCTAAAAAGAGCAGAAATAAAGGAAAATGAAGTAAACATCGATGCACGTATCAGCATTGCTAGAAAAACGTTGTATTCCTTGATGAACACTGGTCTGCATGGCACAAATGGTCTTAATCCGCAAACTTCTTATAAAATCTATCAGAGCTACGCCATTCCACGTCTGTTGTATGGTATGAAGATTCTACCACTTAACCAGAAGCAATTGGACATCTTGTCACGCTTTCATAAAAAAACTTTAAGAAATTTCCAGTCAATGCCTGCAAGAACAGCTACTGGAGCTGTATACCTCATCTTAGGCGCACTGAAAATTGAGGCTGAAATCCATAAAAGACAACTCTCTTTCCTGTATAACATTGTTTCATGCGACAATTGAACATTACAGGATCTGGTAGACAGACAACTAATTATGAATTTGGATAATCAACATAGCTTCTTCTGTAAGGTCGCGGGTACGTTAACCTTGTATGATTTGCCAAGCATTGATTCACTAAAGCAACGGCCACCATCAAAACTAAAATGGAAATTGTCTGTAAAACTGGCTCTCCGAGATTATTGGTCAAAATTTTTTCTTAAAGAAATAGAATCTAAAACTACTTTGGTACACCTGGATAGAACTCTCTTAAAAATCGGATCTGTACACCCTGTTTGGACCAGCTTATCATCAAAAATTTCAAATGTGAAGAAAGGAGCAATAAAAATACGTCTCTTAACTGGAACTTACCTCTTTGAGTCAAATAAACACAAATTTAGTGATGGAAAAGAGTCTTCTTTATGCAGATGCTGTGGAACATCTAATGAGGACATAACGTTTAAACCCGCTGCATTTGTTTGCACCTGTCCTAAGTCAGGAATCTGATGTTCAGTAGTTGTCGTTTATTGATGTGGTTCATAAGTGTTTCTCGTTTCTCGTTTTTTATATAGATTAGACCGTTGGTTTTCCCGTTTGATCGAATGGTTTTACACTAGTAATTTTTTGGGGCCCTTTATAGCTTACTGTTCGGTGTGAGCCAAGGCTCCGTGTTGAAGACCGTACTGTGACCTATAATGGTTTACTTTTATAAATTTTGACTTGGATGGAGAGTTGTCTCATTGGCACTCATGCCACATCTTCTTATATCTATATAACACACTTCTTACTTCTCTGTCCTGCATTACATCAGCAGAGAAAAGAGACATTCTCTAATCTAAAGGTCTTAGATCTCCATTATTGGCACGTCAGGATGGACCGCAAAATTTAAAAATCAATCATATATAGTTAAATTTATTATTGACAGTACGTTCTTGTTGCCTGAGATTAACAGTCGTACCGATTTAGACAAAATTCAGAAAATGTCTACCGATATGTGTTATAGGTTGCATACCCAGAGAACTTGCATTTTGCAGAAATCATAAATCCGTCCAATTAACTGTAAATAAAGTGAACCCGTATATATTGAAAATTTGTGATATGAGCTGTTTGTACATATGTGATAAGGTAGAGGTAGGGGTGTCCTGGTTTTTTTTTTTTTTTTAAAGCTTAAGTGATTTCGTTATTATTTATTTTTTTGTTTATATTTTAATCCGTGAACTTTGGATTTTAGTGTATATATTCTTAGTTTTACTAGAAACTTTTATGTGTGCGACATAAACTTTTTTATAACTCCTCATCTGGAAATAATTCCAATGAGTAGGTGTTCCCAAGGATTTGTATAACAATATATAATGACTTGAAAGACCATATCTTATCCTATGCCTATTTCTACTAGTATGTTAAAATGTATTTTATTGCACGTCGTTTAGAATGTGATAAGTCTCAAAATGTTAGACTGATTTGATTACAATTCGGTCTTTTAAAAGACAAGTAGTACAGCTTTTCTTAGTTTCGATCATCGGTATATATTTCATCAGATAGAATTTTCTAATACTTTGCCAAAATGTTAGTTTTACCATGCCTTTTTAAAAACTTCTATGAAAAGGGTCACCGTGCTATTTTTCAAGCTACAAGTCGTGCAAAATTGCCATAATAATAAAAACAGAGACCTATCTGAAAAAAATAAATCTTAGCTGATCGAATTTTGAAATAAATTATGAGAAGATAGATTTTATAATATGCATCAGGAAAAAAAAAAGAAAAATGGTGTCACCGAACTTGTTTTCTTGCTATAAGTAAGAAAAAATATTCTTTAACATTCCTTTATAAAAATTTTACTATTAGAATTATCTTCCCTTACATATTTACATCAATATAACCAATGAAACCAAACATCTTGGTATCAAAACCGGGCAAATATCTCAGAAAGAATAAAAACCGACAGGGCAACAATATACAGCCTTCTGGGAGCTGGTTTACATGTCAGAAGGGGATTCTCACCCATGGTCGCATACAAGCTATGGAGAACATATGCAGTACCAAGAAGCATCTACGGACTTGAGGTGATGAACTTACTTGCAAAAGAAAAGGATATGCTAGAACTGGCAGAGAGAAAAATTCTCAGACAAATTCAAGGGCTTCCAAATAATACAGCAAATATGGCTGTCTATACCCTGGTAGGAGCAGAACCTATTGCCATCACATTAGACAAAAATCTACTAACCTTCTTCATGAATACTGTTAGAAATTCAGGGACCATAGAATGTGAAATTCTGCGCCGACAAATAGCATTTTCAGACCAAAGAGGAAAAGACTTTATCAACAGAGTGGAAAAAACTCTATCAAAATACAATCTGAAAACTAGTAGTTACTACATAGAAAAACCACGTAAGAAAATCGAATGGAAAAGGCTAATAGGAATAAAGATCAAGGAATACTGGAAAAATGAATGTCATAATAAAAAAATGGAAAAAACATCACTTAAATACATAGAAATACAGAACAATCCATTAAATGAAGCTCACAATATCTGGAAAAGTGTAAAAAAACAATAGTAAAGATGTAAAGGCAGGAGAAATAAAAGCAAGAATAAGTAGTCAAACGTACATATTCCAAGCCAAAAGAGCGAAGTTCGATCCAAAAGTTAACCCTTTATGTACAATCTGTGAACAGGAAAATGAAGATCTAGAACATTTTATTCTACATTGCAAAGAATTGGAGCAAATAAGATCTAAATATTGCACAAAAATCAAACAGAAAATGGATGAAATTGATACCTCAACATACAGGAAGATCATACAACAAGGGAATCTACTGCAGCTCATAATGGACTGTACTAGCAA